TTTGTTCTCCCAAGGCCAAACTTGCCTGTTACTCCAGGTATCTCTCAACTTCCTACTTTTGTGTTTCAATACCTTATAATGAAAAGGACATCTTTTTTTGGTGGTAGTTCTCGAAGGTCTTGTAGGTCATCATAGAAGTGTTCAACTTGAGCTTCTTCGGCATCAGTGGTTGGGGGATAGACTTGGATTATAGTGATGTTAAATGGTTTGTCTTGGAAAGACAACAAAGTCATTTTGTTGTTTTTGAGATTTCACCTAAGTCTGCATGCAGTTGGGTATGTTTCCCTTTCTCCCTTGCCTCCAGAGGATGTTCTCGACCCAGGGATTGAACCTGTGTCCCCTGCATTGGCAGGTAGATTCTTTACTGCTGAGCCACCAGGGAAGCCCTTTGAACTTTATTCTTCCCTTATTTTGCAAAAGGCACACCAAAACTTACCTTAAATCTTACAGGGTGCTGTGAACACCCTCAGGGCACCAAATGAAGGCATGGCTGAAAAGGCTGATTTACTGCGGAGGTGGAGAATAGGAAGTAAGTTCTTGACAAAATTGGAGGGTTTCCAATACTTGGCTTTCAACACAGTCTAGTAGATTTGTCAGCTTATCTTTTTCTCCATACAGATTTTAGCTCCCCAACCAGGGATCAAACCTGTGCCACCTACATTGGGAGCACCAAGTCTTAAGCACTGGACTGCCAGGGAAGTCCCTCAGCTGAATATTTAATTAAAAATGACTTAATGACAGACCTTGTTTTGGTTTTGTTTATAACAGAAGCAGTGAAGGAATTGAGTGATATTGCTCCAGATAACTTTCTTCCTGTTAATTTTTGGAGGTTTGTGGTGCAGAAAGATTTAAAATGCAGTTTGACTTCAGTGTCCACAAATATTTCAATTCATGAACCTTTTACAAAATAAATCTATTTGTAATATTAGGCTTCCCAGGTGGTGCTAGTGGTAAAGAATCCACCTTGCCAATGCAGGATGTGTAGAAGACGCTGGTTTGATCCCTGTGTTGGGAAGATCCCCTGGAGTAGAAAATGGCAACCGATTCCGGTATTCTTGCCTGAGAAATTCCATGGACAGAGGAGCCTGGCAGGATACAGTCCATGGGCTTGCTAAGAGTCAGACATGACTGAGTGAGCACATTTGTAATATTATTCATGCATTGCTTTATTGCAATGCTCACAGTGCAGGTGGGTCTCAGGAGTTAGCACTTTTAAGAAGCTTAGCCAGGGACCTACCAGGTTAACAGACAATTTTAGGACTAGGATTGCTATTCAGGTGGATTGGTACAGTTTTGAAACCAGGGGCATCCTGTGGGCTCCTGGGCATGGAGACTTTTTCTGTCTCTCATTTCTTGTAGGCAAGACTCCAGCCTCCATGACCTTCCCTGAGTTCCAAAGAGTGGATTTGAACAGTTGCTAATCAAGGTGAGGAGCAGCAAAAAACCAATTGAGGCAAGATTAAAGGGACCAGAGAACTCATCAAGGTCAGGAGACCCACTACCTGTGACCCTGCACATACCCCACCCTTGAAATGTTTTTATAAAACTCAACAAATCCTTCCGGGTTATGACACATAGTTTTTCAAGCCAGGGGCCTTCTGTGCCCACCTTTACCTGGCAGAGCAGCAAGACTCTCCTTTTCTATTTCGCCCAAACTCTCTTGAGATTGGATTTGGCACAAGTGCAAAGAGGCAGAATTTTTGGCATTATAAAGCAGGTGGCATGCTTTCTGACACAAAGTGTGGGAAATTCTGTATTAAGTGACTTCTTGCTCTATGTGAAAGTATTTTGTATGTAAGTTTGACGCATTTTATAAGATTAAAAGTAATCCTGATCTAGTTAAAAAATTATACAAATTCATCTTTTTATGGTAACAGGAGTTGTATCTTTCGGGGGAATAGTTTTATCGGCTGTAATTCATATGGCACACAATTCATCATTTTTGAGTCCAGTCCAGTGGTTTCGGTGTGTTCATGGGGTGGTGCAACTAGGTTCACACCATCGATTTTACTATGTTCTTGTTACCCCGAGACACTGCGCAGGTCATCATCTCCAAAGACCTCTATTCCCATAGCTCTGGGAGACTATTAATCTCCTCTGTTTCTAAGGATTTGCTTGTTCCAGATATTGCACATAAATGGAATCTTAAATGTGCAGTCATGTGACTGGCTTCTTTCACTTAGTAGTCAAAGAAGTAGTTTCAAGTTTGATCCATGTTGCAACCAGTACTTATTTCCTTTTTATGGCAGAGTAATATTTCATTGCAGGGATAGTCTACATTTACTTGATTCGTAATTTAATAATATTTAGATTATTTTTGGTTACAGCCTTGTGGTTAATATACATGGCTTGAGAAAGAATGACTAGAAGACTGTCTAAGAGTGTAGGGATGGAGGAGGAAAAAATTGTGTATTAGATAATTGGTAAAAAGCAGTTTAGGCAGATAAAAAAGAGGAACTGTCAGCATAATGTGAACTTCAAAAAACAACTGGAATGTTATTAGTCTTCCCAAACCTCTTGCAGCTGCATCAGTCACCTGACCTTTGGAGCTGGGCCTTTGTCAAATCAGGGCCTCTGAGCATGGGAATCCTTGTCATTTGGGGCATCCACCATCATATGAGGCAACACAAAGCTGTGTCCTAGTCTCTTTACCCCAGGCCGTTAGAGCAGGGTGAGTGATCTAGACTTGACCAGTCAGATGATCCTGCCTGGGCAAGTGACCCAGAGACTGAGGAAGTCAGAGTGCACTTCAGTCATAGAAGCGGTGGCAGATTGAATGCTCACTGAAGCGAGGCCAAGGGAACCTGACTTGGCCGTGGCACCCACGTCCTTGCAGGTCTTCCCCTGGGCAAGACTTTGGCTATGGTTCTGAATGCTCAGCACGGGAGCGAGTAGCCAAGAAAACTGGTGAAAAAAAGTAATGAGGGACTAGCTACACCAGTTACTAAATGGCATATTGTACTGGAGTTACTTAACTCAACTTGGCACATTACTTAACTTTACTTAGCACAACTCTGGCGATGTCAGTTCCCCAACCGAGACTGAACCTAGGACCTTGGCAGTGAAAAGTGATGAGTCCTAACCACTGGACTGCCAGGGGATTCCTTGTACTTTGAGTTATTTTTAAAAGTTTGTATAGTAGTTAATGGTAAAACATTTAAGAAGGTACATTTAGAGGCTAAAATCTCTTAAAAATTATTTAGCATTCCTCTTTAGAGTATCTGGCTTACCTATCACTTTGAAACCGATACTTGAATGCTTTGACTGTTGTGTGTAACCAGCACAACTGATTAAAGTCGAACCCCCTTTCCCCCATCTCGTGTCTTTATACCTGAACACAATGTAGGGGCTCATTTGTTTTAATCCTTACACAAATAGAAACAGAGACATTAAGGACAAACATCTGTATTTATTTCATTAACAAAAGAATTTAACATCTTGTTTTCACCCTTCCATGTGTTGCCTCTATGCATTGCCTCTTTCATAAGTTAAATGACCTTTTCTCAAGTATCATTTTAAACCAATGGCTGTACTGTTTATCACAAACTAGACAGCAGCACACCCTATGTGACTCCTTTGTCCTTTCAGTATCATCCCTGCTACTTTTTTTTTTGGTTCTGTCAACCAGGTATTTCTGACACATTTTCATTCTTCCTATCTGAAGATAATGGATCAGCTGCCTTCCATGGAGTCTAGGTTCCTTTTTGTAGGGATTAGTGTCTAAATAAGGGTTGGAAAATTATATTAAGTCACAAATGGATTGATTTTTCTAATTTAGATCTTAGTACCAGCTTCTATTTTTATTATAGGATGTGATTTTATCAACTAATAACATTTTGCTTTGTATCTTCCAACTTTCTAAAAACTTAATAGGACAGTGTTTGGCATGTACATAATACGCACTTAATTATGTTGAGTGATCTCCCTAGAAAAAATGAATCGACTGTGCAGCAAAGGTACCTGTGTGAACTGATGTACCTGGAACAGCGTGTGATGGCAGCTGCTGCCTACAGTCAAGGAGAGGGAGGGCAGTGCTGGCCAGCAGCCTGGGGACCCTGCAGGTACCAGCGGCAGTGAAGAGGGCCTCTCTGAAAGCGCCTCTGCCTTTCCATCTGACACTGTTTCTCCTCACCCTCTACTCTTTCCCATTCTGAGGCCAGAGTTTACTATCTTCTCTATGTAACTACTCTAAGCGTCTTGTACTGCTGAGGTTTTGAGTTTAAACTCCAAGGGAGGACTTGTACAGGGCTTCCAGGTACCTTTGTAAGGTGCCCGTTGCTGGGCAGGCAGAACTTTTAAGCCCCTTTGAAAGTGGCTCACAAGTTTAAGGCTGACTGGCTAGCTGCCTGTGGGCCTGGTGGCCATTCCCTGTGTGCTCAGCTGTGACAGAAATGTGGTCCTGTTTGTAGGGTCATATGCATATGCCTAGTATGTGAACCTAGACCTCCCAGTTCCAGAACTGCATATTCAGACTGGAAATGACTGGCCAGGGAGGGAAACCATGTGGTCCCTTTAAACACTTTACTAGTCTGAGTATATTGCCTTCCATCCTGCCAAACTGTGAAGCTGAAATCTGGGTATTATAGAAACTGTCAATTATTAGAGGAATGAGTAACAATACTTCAAAACACTATCCCTCAATGGGAGCTACCCAGAAATTTTATGATACCAACTTATATAGATCAGAATAATTTGAGAAGTCTCAATTCAAATCAGTACAGATATACAATATGGGGACGACATACTAACTTATTAGACTTGTTAGCTCTTTGAAAAAGAAAAGACTAAGTTTTGGTATCATACTTGGCTGAGAGTAAAAGGAATTCTGAAGGCCTAGTTTGATTATGAACAAGAAGGCCCCAAACAGGTAAAGCCTAAAAGACCACTGGAGGCAATACACAGATGTCTCACACATCTTTTAGGCTGAGTCCATGATAGAAAGTCACCCTGCAGCACCTCCAATGCTCTCAAAGCTGTCTCCATTCCTGGGTGATGACGCTTCATTCTTCTTTGACCCAACAGATTTTGCCATTTTCTCCAAGCCGTACAGCTCCACTGGCCACCAGCTGGAGGGCTGAGGGAAATATTTTATGTTCCGCTAATTTTACTCTCTCAGATAGACTTTCAACAGTGTCACCCCTCTTCACTGGAACGGCTTCCTGTAAGATAATTTGACCGGCATCTACATCTTCCTGGAAAAGAAAGCAGAAGTTTTGAACATTACCTCTGGCAAGTGCAACTGACATTTAAATACTAATCATGAGCCATACTCACAGCTACAAAGTGCACAGTGCACCCGGTGATTGTGACCCCAGCGTCCAGAACTTGTTCATGGGCATTTGAACCCTTAAATGAAGGGAGCAAGGATGGGTGGATATTGAGCATTTTCCCTGGAAATTAATTAAAATGTGGTCAGAATCGGGAATGTACACTTTCCTATCTAGAATCAGGAGTCACAGAGGAGTAAGCTTTCTTTAGGTTGGGTGTTTTCATTGTCAAGGAGAGAAATGAGGAAAAGTGAAATATACGTTCTCATCCAAGGAGGCCCTGGGAGCAGCAGGTTTCTGCCTTGCACAGATGAAGACACAAAGACGGACTCTGAAAAGGTGCCGGCAGTGATTCAAAGCTGGATGGGAAGGGGTCTACTCTGTCTGGCTTATAGGGCTCTTGACATTAGCAGCAGATCCTCTGTAATCTGACATAGTGCCTTCTTTGCCATTTTCTGGCAATGGTTCACGCTTCTAAACAAGGAAAAAAGTCTCCTCCCAGTATTTATCCAGAAGATGAAATATTACATTTGTATTAATGTGAAAGTAACCTAAGCTATCTTAGAAAACATAATTATAGCACACCAAAGAAAACTGATGAAGGATAATAAGTCTATCACTGGGTCATTCTCTGGGCTAAAGGCAAAGGAAATTCAATTATTAAGTATGTAAAAATAAAATGTCATAGTAGATCTCTCATGACTGGGATGGTTTGGTAAGTTAACCACCCTAGAGTCATTTTCAGTTGATTTCTCAATGTGGTATCAAACAGTTTTTTGCTTACCATTCCATTTTCTGACGAAGGAGCCAGACAAAATTCTCATGAATCCTGCAAGACAGACTATGTCTGTGGAGAACTCTTCAAGGACTTCGTCAACTGCAGTGTCAAATGCTTCACGATTTTTATATAATTTATGATTAATTACCTAGAAGAGAAACAGGTAAGTACCATCTGTCTCCAACAAATTAACCAAAAATAATTTAAAATCCAACCTATAAATAGGCCACATTGATCATCTGAAGACACATGTGATGTCAAGAATGAAGGAATGAACCGGAATGGAAAGGCAAGCCTAGTAGCCACCCCAAATCCAGATGTCCTAAGAACACTTAGGGGCAGATTATGAGCTTGAATAATCTGTAAAGATACTTTTCAAAGTAACTTACTCTGGTGGGAATTCCGGCTTTTTCTGCTTTATCTAAGCCAGCCACTGCAGCTTTGTTGGAGATCACAACAACAATGTGTGCCAAACTACTTGGCTCCCTAGTGCTGTCTATGAGAGCTTGGAGGTTTGATCCTGGAAAAAGGCAGAAAAACACAGGTGAAGGCATATTTCTTTAAAGGTTTATATACTTCAAATAGAGAATGGTCAAGATTTTTTAATAAAAATGTCTTGGAAAAGACGGGCAAGATACGTGAGGCTTTTACATTTCCTTCCTCTTGGAATAATGGATTAGTATCTCATGAAAACATAAGCACAAAATATAATTTAGCATAGCAGTAGAAACAGTTTAACACGTTAGAACTGAAGGATGAGGAACAAGGTGCTTAACCAAACAAGAAAAAAACCCGAACATTTTCACGAAGAAGAAACCACTATGACTGACCCCTTACAATCATTTCTTTGCTTTACCATCAACTTGGGTCTAAAGTATACTGAAATCTTAAAATGGACTTGTAAAGCATTTATATTTCTGAGCATGTAATTTAAAGAAAGAATCCGATATGTACTTATGAACCTATTGTATATTTACAAGAATGTTCTAGCAAAGTCACTTAAAACAGTGGCGGGAACTGCTGGGTGGTCCAGCGGTCAGAACTCTGTCCACTTACTGCCAAATGCCTGGGTTCAACCCCACAAGCCAAAAAATCATGCTGTATCCATCCATATGAGAGAAAACAAGGCTCTTATTACTTTACCCCTCTGCCTACAAGAGGCAAATGAAAATTTTGTACTAAATTACTGTTGACAATTTTAAAAAGCCTCAACTGTCTTAAGACTTTTCAACTATAAAGCTATAATCAGAAAGTTGCAATTTGCATTCTGTCTAGAAGAGCTTCTCTCTCTTCAACCATCTTGCCAACACCCTCTAATTTTCTTTAGAAGGTGTCTAAAATGCCTGAGAAAAGTGGAAGGACTGAGGATGCAGAAAAGCTAACACTCCTTAAAAATATCCAGCCCCACTCTACTAACAGTGTTCTCACAGTTGGAGGTTTTTTTAGGGGGAAGAATGGGAGAAAAGCAAGAGCATTTCTACAGCTCTGTAGTAAAGAGGGACCCACGTCTCACCTGTCCCAGAAATTAAGACAGCTACTCTTGCCTTTTTTGGTTGAACAGAGAAATGATTTTTCAGGGTTCCATTCTCCAATACTGATCCATTTATTTGCATGGTTTCAATCAGATGCTCGACTTTCACACGAGGAGAACCTTTGGTGCAGACATACCCAATAAGTAAATCAAGAACTGTGAATTAACAGTAATATGGAAAGAGAAGTGTTTTAAAAACACTTTAGAACACTTATTTTATTCTGAAAATAAGATATGCAGGATTAAAACAAACAGTAAGTTTGTTTTACTTATCATTACTCACTCACAGAAACTTCCTGAAGGTGGACACTGCCCACTTCAACTAAAAGCTACAGCACTGTACCTAAAGTGGATATATTAGTGCCTGCCAGTGTTCTCTCCCTTTTCCTGTACATCTTCCATCCACACTAGTGCTATGACCTCTCAGCTTCAAGGGTAGGCATGAGACCAAGCAAGACCATTCAAAGGTTTGATATAGGATGTTGAGAAAGAGAGGGCCTCTCTTAGTGCAATGTGAGTTGAAGGATGTGGGCTCAAGACATCTTACGGGTATTTGGAGAGCCTGCCTGAAAATGAAACCTACACAATAAAGGAATGAAAGGCAAAATTAACAAATCTTGACATCTCTGTTAGAGAATCTGAGTAGGTTTTCTGCCATTCTGCCAATTTCTAGTACTTCTTGAGTTGTGCCACAAAGCAGAGCCTAAACCAAGGCCTCGAGTGAGAGATTACTTTGGGAAGTGATCCCAGGGAATGATGATGGGGAAGACTCTTATACTGAGTGTGTTATGCAGCTGGTCACCGCTGTGGGCAACTTGGGCTTGATCCCACTGGGACCCTCAAAGGAGCCATGTAGACAGACTGTGCCTAGAACCACTCCCTCCTCCTGTTTCTCAAGTGGGTGCTGACTCATTCTCTCTCACCCCACTGATCAAGGGTTGCTTCCTGCAGGGTGTGGTTATGCGTGTGACTGCTACACACAGGGGTCAGACCCTGAGGCAGAAATGAAGAGACGCGTGGCATTACGGGCTGGTATGTTTCCATGTGACAGCTGTGTAAAGATAGTTGCCAGAGCAATGGCTTGGAATAAAAGCCGGGCAGAGGTCCTAAGGCAGGGCACAGATATACTGAAGTTTACAGATCTAAGAGCCACTGAGTCAGGAACAGGTTACCTTCGGGACACGCAACCACTCTGCCGATCACCCAGGCTTCTTCCTGGTGCTGCTCAATATCCTGCAGAGTCTGCTTCACCAGGTTCTCCGATACCACGAGGGCAGCCCCAATCCCACAGTTAAATGTTTTGGCCATCTCCTCTTCAGAGAGGTGGCCTTCCTGCTGTAACCATGAGAAGATCCTGGGGACCCTCCAGGTCTTGGCATCTGAAAACGCGCAACAGTTGTTCCTTAACCTACTGTTGACCCAAAGTATAAAAGCACGCACATTTACAAAACTGTGGAAATTAAAACCAGAATGGCTATTTTATATAAGGTGAAACTACTAACTGGCCTTTCAGAAGCTTTCTGGGGATCCATCTGTACTAAGGCATTAAGAACACTTATGTGTCACATTTGGCCAGTAATTGAGCAAATTTTTTGACCAATTTTTTGCTCAATTAGTTTTGTGCTGCAGTAACTAAATAGATCCTCAGAAATCCTCTGATGAAACAGATGCTCTAATGGAGCTGAATTCCAGTAAAGGTTGGCATACTACCCTTCTGAGAATGTCTGGTTGGGTCTTAGTGATGACCAAAACGCACCCTAAGTTTGATGCAAAACTAGTGGCTTATATACAGACTAGAGGAAATACAGATACTACTGTATAAAACTTATGCTATATAGAAAGTTTAAGAGCAATACTCTGCCCCTCTGCATTTATTTGAAAATTTAGGGAACCCCCTGTCAGTCCAGTGGTTAGGACATGCCAGGTTCAATTCCTGTTAAGGAACTAAGATCATGCAAACTGCGCAGTGGGGCCAAAAAATAAAACAAAAACAACAAACAAACTAGACTTAGGTCTGTTTAAAAAACTTTTTTTTTTTGCCCCACTGCATGGCTTGCAGGATCTTAGTTCCTGGACTAGGGACTGAAACGAAGCCACCACAATGAAGTGCTGACTCATAACCACTGGATCACCAGGGAATTCCCAACCAATAAGTTTCTTGAAATAGCAATCTTCACTTATTGTCTCTGTATCTCTGCTATCATCCCTTGTGCCAATAATCTGGGGGGGTGGAATCTATCCTCTCAAGTTGCTTTTTGACATTGCTAACCAGTGTCATGTTGAAAACTCTGGAGCTGATACTTTCACATGGTTTACTCCCTGATTCAGACTTTTTTTTTTTTTTTTTTTTACAGAAATTCTACCTCTGCCAAACTTTAAGACAGACAGAACACAGAAGAACAACCTTTTTGTTCCCTCTACTCTTGTGGCTGTAACTGTTACTACCGGCATATGAACACCAATTTTAACTTCCCACAGAAATATTGCAATGAACATGTCAGAGATTTAAAACACTGTATTCTCATTCCCTATTCAAATCTATTCTTCTCCTGTGCTATGCACGTTCCCACCTATGCACCCACTAAACCAGAAACCTGGGACTTCTTTTTTCATGCTAAGCACACAGTGATTCTTCTGTCTCTCTTCCCGATGCCTTGGTTTGGGTCCTCTTTATCCCGCACATGGACTATTTAATAACTACCACTTCCCTTTCCCTCCCAGCAAGTTCCTGATTTCATCTTGACAGAGCTTAAGCTTACTAACCCCCTGAAGAATGTGCTTAGAAAACTTCATCTGATATAAGTCAATTATAGGGCTGTATGCCTTATAAACATGGCCAATAAAGTGAAAAGATGTGGTAAAGGGTCAGTCCTATTTTTTCCACAAGAAGTCCCAATGATGAATAATTTCTGGGTATAATCCTATGTGTATTTAAACTACTCAAAGAGTTTCCTTCCATAATGTATTTTTTCTCCTAATAGTTTTCTGAGCAAAATTTCTTTTTAGTGATCTTACCTAAATTCACCCCCAATTTCTGAGGGAGGACTCTGGGGATGTTTTCCAGTAATCCTCCACCAGTAATATGCGCAACAGCCTTAACACGTCCTGAACGCAGGACAGGTAACAGTGAGTGGCTGTAGATTCTGGTTGGGGTTAGAAGTAAGTCACCTGTATATTGGGAAGATAAGATAAAAACTTAAGTCTATGAAATGAAACCAAAGCATACATAAAAAATAATTCTGAAACAGAGAAGGACTGTGACCCTGCCAGATACACCTGTTCTATAACAATGTCTAAGCAGCCAAACCACAGGGTAAGTATTAATAATTTGCTCCATTCTAACTTTAAGTAATGAAAGCAGCCTAACCCTAGTGACTGGTTGCTCAGACATTTCCAAGTAGGAGAGTTTAAACATGAGTATGTGTACCTAAGGTCTGGTTACCACAGCCAGCAGGTGCTGGAGAAGAGTATTGGAGGGAAGATTTTGCTACAATTTTCCTCACAAGGCTGAATCCATTGCTGTGAAGACCAGATGAAGCAATTCCAATAACAACATCCCCTTCCGTGATTCTTTCCAGGTGAGGAAGTTTCTGATCCCGCTCCATGGCGCCAATGGCAAAACCAGCTAGATCATACTCTCCAGGGGCATACATGTCAGGCATCTCTGCCGTCTCACCTCCTGGCAGAAAGAGAAAACAAGAACAAAGGAATCACTGAATGTTTATACACCTGTCTAGGAAGTAGTGACACCAGCTATTCTTCATATGGACAATTAAACAGAAGCTGTATTCTGCAAACATTCAGAAAATGTTCTCTAAGGGCCATCTAACAACTGTCAACCAAGCATGATTTCAGGGGAAACGGCACTAATTTCGGCAAAGGGTGAATATAGCCTCCAAACATCGTTATTTTTATAGAATGAATGCTCAGTTGGACGTAACACCATTTCTCTAGCAGTTTAGTTTCAGAAATGCTCTCACCTACATTTGATCTTTACAATTACTCCATGTTCCAATAATGGTACAGGCTTAGAAGAGTGATTTAATCAGGCCTGCCTAACTCTAAATGCCCTGGCCTGATAAACACATCAAGTTCACATTACCACCATTATCTAGGGTCTAGGCAGGCAGATTTAAATCAGGAACGGTTCTAAAAGATGGTTGAAAAGCAATTTTGGCTTTTTGGATAGGCCTGTCCACAGAAATGGGAATGTAAAAAGGTAGTTTTGTTCTCTGGTTAACCTACAAATTTATCTTGTTAAAACCCTCACATATGTACTCCAGCAATAGTTCTATAAACCGTGGGTACATTTTATCCTCAGTGTCATTTCTGTGTGAAATTAAGGCTTAAGTTAAAGAGTCAGAACGCCAGGAACTGACCTGCCTCTGCTGCAGGGTCGTCAGGAGGAAACAAACCCCTACCCTGTCTGTCCGGGAGGCTGCTAAGAGACACGGGAGTCAAACGGGGGCCAGGGATCATGGGGAAGACAAGCCCTGGCGGATGGTGTCGAAGTGTGAGTCTGACCCTCGAGGGGAGGGTTTGGGGGCACTGAGGTCTAAGTTTTCCTTAGCTGGTACTGTCTATTATTTTGTTTGCCTCATCGTGTGGCACACAGTTTGTCTTGTTAGCTATACTGGTCACGAATCAGGCTTATACGCAGGGCTGAAACGCAGTAAGGGTGTGTGATTAAAATGGAAGCACATACCGAGGAGAGCACATCCAGCCTTTCTACAAGCTTGGGCGATCCCAGCGATAACAGCTTCAGTCATATGGAGGTCAAGTTTTCCACAGGAAAAGTAATCAAGGAAAAAGAGGGGCTCTGCTCCTTGTGCAAGAATGTCATTTACACACATTGCAACCAAATCCTGACCAATGGTGTCATGTTTATTGCACTGCTGGGCAATCTACCGAAGGGTATAAACATACACATTAGAGAGTAAGTGCCAAACTGTATCTTGTCAATTATCAGAGGCGGCTAACAAATAATGACTTTTAGCTAGTGCTATGGACACCTAAAGACAAAAGAACACTAAATTTTGATAAGCTACTTGGTCCAAAATTATTCTCATTTGTCCCATATATACTCTCAAAGACACTGCATTATTAGAAACATGTAGCCATTGTAGCAACACAAAATTTGGTATGGTTCTCTTTAGTGCATATATGTCAAGAGGAGAAAGATATTTGATACAGAGTACATTCATATCTTTCACAAAAGGCCTTTATTCACATAGTGTCTGATTACCTTCAGTTTCGTCCCAACACCATCTGCTCCACAGGCCAGAAGAGGATCAGTGAAACCAGCTGCTTTCAAGTCAAAAAGACCAGCAAAACCTCCAAGATCAACATCACAGCCTGTTGGGGAGAAACTTTATTTCTTGCTGCATTTCAACAGCAAAGGATTGATCAAGAAAGCAGATATTGAGGGGGCAGACACATCCTTTTGAGTTTAAGATCATGGATAAGAAATGCTTTCCCTACTATTAGAGACAAGAAAGCAGAAGACTTATGAATTTGGCTTAAAGAGGACAAGACTTACAGCAACTTGGCATTAGTCTGGAACATTTTCTTCAGTTAACTACAAAGTCCCAAATCAATACACAATGTTTGTCATGGTTGATGAACTAGGAAAGGACAGGATCTGACTTACCTGGTCTGGAGGTGGCCTTTGCTAAAGGTTTAATTTTCTGGACCAGCATATTACCAGCTGCAATGTCTACCCCAGATTCCTTGTAAGTCAGGCCCCTAAAAAGTTCAAAAAATAAACTAAGACATCACCAGGGAAAAATTGTTTTAACTTGGCCCCATCCAGAGATTTTGATTTGGCTGGTCTAGGGCAGGTCCTAGGAACTGAAATGTGTTTAAACAACCTCCCCAGTTGATAATCACTATTTGGAACTACTTCTCTAATTTAACTATTTCTTCCAGAAGTACCTGTCAGAGGCAGGTAAATATATCAACATTTGGCCACAACCCTCCTCTGTTCAATTTTGGTATGGGAAGGGAAAGATACCAAAACTGAGTCGAAAAAGTGAAAATTAGGATGATAAGAACTCTAGAAAGAAATCCCTTAATAATGAAATTGAGCTCTTACTGCAGTAATAAGAGAATTGTATCAGTTTTCTTATAAAGACTATAAGAAATAATTTAAAAACTCAAAAAAGAAAAAAAAAAACCCCAAAACACAACACACCCCTACACCAAAACCCCCACCGAAACCAGGTAATGATATTCAATGCATTATTTCCATCTTTATAATACTGCCAACAAGCTGGAGCATTCCATTTAGTGCTCATTTGCTCAGTCCTGTCTGACTCTTTGTGACCCCATGGACTGTAGCCCACCAGGCTCCTCTGTCCATGGAATTCTCCAGGCAAAAACACTAGAGTGGGTAGCCATTTCCTTCTCCAGAGGATCTTCCTGACCCAGGGATTGAAAGTGTCTTCTATGTCTCCTGCATAGTAGGCATATTCTTTACCCACTGAGCCATCGGGGAAGCCCAGTCATGTTAAATGGCACTGTGACTTTGGTAGTCTAGCCTTACAAAAACAACTCTGGCCTAGTGGGATTCAGGGATATAGGAAGAAATACCTCCAGTTTTATTAGAAACAAGATGCCAGGGAACAAATAGATTTGAGACTTTTGGCAGCTAACTACAAAAAAGTTGGCAGTTCAGGGTCACAGAAGGATAGGAAATGAAGTTCTATTGATTAGAAATACGTCATTTCAATAGGATCTAATTTCTTTTTTAAAAATGTGTACCATTTTTAAAGTCATTATTGAATTTGTTACAATACTGCTTCTGTTTTATGTTTTTGTTATTTGGTCACAAGGCATGTGGGATCTTAGCTTCCTGATCAGGGATCAACCCTGTACACCGTGCTGCACTGGAAGGTGAAGTCTCAACCACTGGACTATCAGGGAAGGCCCAGAATCTAGTCATTTTAAAAGTTAAAAAAATCAAATTTTAGCATGTTATTTTTATGTTCAATTAAAACAATTCAATTATATAAAGTTATCTGCCTATCGGAATAGCTGTATATGACAGTAAGTGAAGTTACAAAATATACTTCAGTAATATAAATGCAGTGACCAAATGAAATGGTAAAAGTTATAGTATAATCAAAGCTGTAAAGTAAAGATAACCAATATTTTCATCTCAAATTGTTTTGACAAAATCAGGATAACTAAGATATATATAATAGTAATATGTAAATATGATAACTCAAGGAATAAAAATCCCTTCCCATATTTTTCTTGAATAACTGACAGCTGATAGCATACACCTAAAATGTATGTGAAAAAAACCTTTTAATAGCACATTTCTAATATGAGCTACCATGAAGTTTTTTCCATTTCATTTGAATATAACTAATACTTTTGAGTCAAACTAAATGCAAATCAAAATTGGATCAGTTTCAGAGTTCAAAATACAGAATACCTTAGTTCAGGTTCAGTGGAGTTTTCTACATCACCATCTCTGCCAGTTCTAAAGCTGTGCTGTGATCACCTGGGTCACAAGTTTACCTGGGTTGTTGGAGGAAAGCTATGGCTCGAAAGCCGATGTCTTTCCTATAAACAGCTCCCTCAAACTTTATAGCGGCAAGTCCTTTCCTGGCTTCTTCAAGGGCTGAGATGAGATTTCCCCTGATGGCCGTGACAGTAAGGACCCTACCCCCGTTAGTCACCACCTTGCCATCTTTTAGGGCAGTGCCTGCTTGGAACACCTCCAGTCCTAAAGCCTGAGCCTCAGGAAACCCTGTAAGAGACAGCATATTTGATACATCAATTACAATAATATTATACACTCTGGCGTATTCAATTCGAGAGGGTTTTTTAAAAATAAAATCTTTATTTCACTTAAGTGAATTTTCACAAGAATCCTAACAGAAAGGAATTATGTGATGTAACAGTAAATTGACCCTTCCTCCTATGAACAGCCTGTTCTGCTCTAGGGTGACAACTGTATTACACTAAAGCTTTGTGTTATCATAGATCTCATGTAAGAATGATTATTTCAATGAAGGGAAAAAAAAAAAAGGCAAGCTCTGAAAAGTTTGGTACTAGAAATGCAATTATATTCTCCTGAAAAGTAAAAAACTTAAACATCAATGAATTAAGTCCTGATCACTTTTTACTGAAGAGTAAAAGAACTTTTTTGCTTTATCACAGCCAACTAGATAAGGTTGCTTTTCCTTTTTAAACATTAAACTATATTTTCTAAATTATGCAATGGACAATTCATACAAAGATAACCTCTTAATTAAAAAAAAATTTTATATCCTCAGTTTGTCTTTATCCTTTTCTCTTTTAGCACTGTATTTGGTAATCTATTAAATTTTTTCTGTATCAGTTAAAAAAAAAAGTTTTTTAATTGAAGTACAGTGGTTTATAATATTGTGTCTTCTCTTGGTGTCTGTATAAGATAGGGGCATTTAGTCATAGATACCCAAATATTTGGTGGTGTCAGTAACATCCAATATTGGGGCATCAGAAACTATTACACTTGTCACTAAAACCTTAGGGAAATTTCACCAATACAAAGATCTTGTTTCTATCCCTTCCCTTTCTTTGTTTTAAAAGGCAATCAGTTCCTAACTGCCCATTTACCATGTGTGGTATTTACAGGGCAAAGGACTTCCTGTCTGGGTAAGACAGTAAATAGGGTGTCTGGAACTTATTTACCATTTTAAAACACTGACATACATAAATTGGTTACAATCATTTAACTATTGATAGATGCCTCACCTCCTATAAAGAGAAACAGAAGAAAGGCTACAGTTCTGAAACTGCTTTAATTCTGCCATCAAAATGACTATGGGGTATACTGCAAAATGGGGGAGGGGTTAATCTCTGATCAGAGATCACACCCTGAAATCTGAAATTTACATTTCAAATTTACATTACAAACTTAATATGCTTTATCAAAGCATATTAAAAAGCAGAGACATTACTTTGTCAACAAAGGTCTGTCTAGTCAAGGCTATGGTTTTTCCAGTAGTCATGTTTCCAAAAACATGTATGTATGTTTTGCCAGTAGTCACTGTGGTGTTGGAGAAGACTCTTGAGAGTCCTTGGACTGCAAGGAGATCCAACCAGTCTATCCTAAAAGAAATCAGTCCTCGGTGTTCACTGGAAGGACTGATGTTGAAGCTGAAAGTCCAATCTTTGGCCACCTGATGTGACGAGCTGACTCATCTGAAAAGACCCTGATGCTGGGAAAGACTGAAGGCAGAAGGGGATGACAGAGGATGAGATGGTTGGATGGCATCACTGACTCAATGGACATGAGTTTGGGTAAACTCCGAGGGGTTGGTGATGGACAGGCCTGGCGTGCTGCAATGCATGGGGTCACAAAGAGTCAGACTCGACTGAACTGATGTAGTTTATCCTAATGTTCCTCTGACTCTCATATTTTCTTATTATCTTACTGGCTCTCGGATGATGGACGAGAAAGGCAGGACTGGGTGATTCTCTAGAAACTGGGCTAGGCCCACTTAAGTCTTCATTGTGCAGAAAAGGAAATGGATAGCAGTTCCTAAATACAGCAATTTTAGATTCTGGATACTCATATCCAAGCAACAAGCAACAGAGTTATGTTAAGAACCCCTGAATAGTTACTGATGGCCTCACACCCTTAGAGGGCGCTTTGCATGGGACAAAGGCCTACTGCGGTACTGTTCACATTGTTTTCCAACCTTGCATTCTCTGATGTTCACCTGTTATCTCCACACCCTTGCTGTAGTCTCCTGGATAACCTTTACTTGCCATGACCACAGTTACGGCAGCACAGTTGTCCAGCCAAATAGGCAGAGATGTGCAGAGCAGGCCATCTAAGGTAGACTGGATCACTTCATAAAGATCACTTTTAAGAAGTGGGAGGATCACCTGGAAAAAACACAATCAATGACAACTGAGAGAAATTTCAATTCTCCTGGGACACTTTATTCACTGAAATACCAGAATTTGCATTATAGTTATCAAAGGTAATTATTTTAAGGCTGAAAAATCCTAAGATTAAAATACCACACATCTTTTTTACTCACTTGGCACTCTGGATCACCGAAACGGCAATTAAACTCCAGAACTTTGGGGCCGCTCTTGGTCAACATTATACCAGCATAGAGGATACCTTCATTAAAAAAGGAAAAAAAAAATCTTTAATGCAGACACTATATTGTGACTATGCAATTTAGAATATAGACTCAAGGTTTCGGAATGACCATAACCAATGTTACAACAGTGGTCAATAAAAAGGTGGTTTAAAACAAAGGGAAAATTCTGTAAACTTCCTCCATGAATCATGTCCAACAATGACATCCATGTGCTTACCTGTGTATGGCATACCCTCCTCTTGCATGCCATTCACTGTCCTCTGAAGGATGGTATTTTTAATTTTTAGCAACAAATCCTTAGAAACCTGGGGAATACAGAGAAATATTTAAATGTAATTGGTATTAAACTAAAAAGTCCTCACCCACATTGAGGCTCCTTTGTATACTTCAATATAGTCTGCATACCTCGTAAGCCTGTAAGTTGAAAATCTAGAGTTTATAAAATTATTTATAGAAAACAGAGCTAGAGTTCTTATATTAAAATAATTTTCACCAAATGGTAGTTTTAATATATAAAGTCTAAAGGAAACCATGTTTGTTTCTTAATCTTTTAGTTAAGAAAAATATGAAAAAGGCACCATGTTATTCACACAAACAATTATAACTATCAGTGAAATGAAATTTGAGTTTCTAAGTGCTATTTATAATATACTCAATGCAGATTTTTCATAAAACTGTCCAGGAATTTTGTGGAAACATACTTTATCCATTATAGTAGAAAGAGAAGAACAAATGATAGTCTGACTTGCTTTTTTTTTTTTTCCTGACTTGCTTCTTGATGAACCACACCCACTCTTACTGAGCACTTATTGTTGGGCCCTGGATATCCAAAGGTGCATAATTAATTTCAGATTATAATTGGCTCAAGGGGTAAAAACAGGGTGTAGAAAGGAGGGGCTGTAAGGATCTGTTTAAATCCCAACTTAAGTTAGTTCCACAAAGGCTTTTAGAAAAGGTTAGTTTTAGAGTGAGACCATAAAAGGTATTTTTCATTTATAAGGAAAACCAATTTGCTGATTAGTAATGTCATTTACCGGAGAAGGAAATGGCAACCCACTCCAGTACTCTTGCCTGGAAAATCCCATAGACGGGGAAGCCTGGTAGGCTACAGCCCATAAGGTCACAAAGAGTCGGACACGACTGAGTGATTTCACTTCACTTCACGATGTCATTTACAGGAAAAAACCAAAAACAAACCGGAAAAAGGAAAAGTGTCTAAGAGTTCTTTGCAAAGACTAAATGATGACTACCTGAGGGGCTGGACAGTAGGCGCCCATTCCCCCAGTGTTGGGGCCCTGATCGCCCTCCAGCAGTCGCTTATGGTCCTGTGCTGGTGGCATGGGGGCCACAGTCCGTCCATCAGTGAAGCACAGACACTGCGGAAAAAACAAACAGTCCACTTAACCTTCGATGCCAAAAAGGTAAAAAAAAAAAATTTAATAAGGAGAACTATACATACCTTAACTCCAGTTAGAGAGTTTTTATGTAAAGTGATTTAAAACATAAATAACTTTCCTAGATCAAGTATCAAAAGATTTTGTATATTCAATTCTGAAGGATCTGTAATTTTTGAGCTAGGTTGGTCAAGGGGCAGGTCAAGCTACTCCCAAAAATAAAATAGTTCAACCTTCTCCCTCTTTAAATAATGTGTGATATAAGTCCAGTTCCCCTACTGATACACTAGGGGTGATTAAAAGAAGATAAATTACTTTTTCATTTGTATTCAAAATACTAAACACATACAAATTCCTTTGTATTGCTCAGTTTATGCTCTTGGTTGAAGCAACCAGAACAAATCAAGCCTTTTTTGGGGGATCATAAATCAGATAACACAGCGTATACTCTATATAAGTTCAAAAGATGGATATACGTACAGACACCTCTTCTCCTTCAAGAAGTTCTTCAATGACAACTGTTTCTCCTGCTTCTCCAAAAGCTTTACCCTTATTGGAGATAAAAAACAAAGAGAAATCATAAGTTTTCATTGCTTATTTAATCGGCTGCTGTCATTTTGCACCATTTGTATAATGGACCAATGCACTGGTTTATAATTTCTCTTTCCCTTTCTGAAAGCTGCATAGGAACATATCAATGTCTCCTATTTGTAAAGTGGCAACGATGTAGAGTTAGCACTGGTACATAAGAAATGAATACATCATTAGAACCCTCCTGGGTAGCCACCTTTCCAGGTTCAATAAGGCAACAGAAAAACAGATGTTTTCATCGTCACTTTTTTTTTTCATCATCACTTTTTAACTCTTATTTCCAATTACAATTATGTTTGGTTATAGTAATTATACCGTGCTGTCTGTGAAAGCAGATTTCCAAAAGATGGAGAAGCCCAAAACAACCAAGATGGATCATAAAAGCAAAACATTAGGGGCTTCTCTGGTGGTCCAGTGATTGGGAATCTGCCTGCCAGTGTGGGGGTCCCGGGTTCAATCCCTGGTCTGAGAGAGTCCTGCATGCTGCAGAGTAGCTAAGCCCCCATGCCATAACTACTGAGCCTGTGTGCTGCAACTGCAGAAGCCCATGTGCCTGGAGTCTGTGCTCCGCAGCAGAAGAGGCCACCGCAGCAAGAGGCCCGGGCCCCACAGTGAAGAGTGGCCACCCGCCAGCTGTCAAAGCCTGTGTGTGGCAGTGAAGACCCAGCGCAGCCAAAAATACTTTTATTTCTTTAAAAAAAAAAAAAAAGCGAAATATATTAAAATAAAAAGCAATATATATTATCATTGTTTCACTTTTCTTAGACTTGAGACACCAAGAACAGATACTTGTCTTTACAGAGATGGATTATAATACATAGTATTATGAACAGTAACTACTACGCATTTTCCTCATCTTGAGGATAAGAATTTGTTAAGTATTTGCAAAGTTGGCAGTAGTTATCCAGTGTGACTAGAAAATTATGAACGTTTTTCAGAAGGATCAACTTACCTGCATAATCTCCCTGACAGCTTCACAGGCCTCCTCTTTGCTCTTGGCAACAATTACCCCTTTCCCAGCTGCAAGCCCACTGGCCTTCACAACCAAAGCGGGGAAGTCTGCACTGTGAAGACAGAGGAAGTTTCCATATTCAGTAAATCCTTATGATTCAAAAGTTTAAAACACTTTCAGATTTTGTGATGATATGCTACAGCAACAATTAAAAAGCAGAAAGAAGAAAAAACAGCCAACACCATTTTGATGTACTTCATGTGAGATTCTTCTCTTCTGTATTCCTCTGTAGTTACCTGTGATCATATGGTACATACGATTTTCCTCTTCTCACCTACCCTGAGAGCTTATCAACAAATCTTTGGTGGAAAAAACAGCAGAAGTATAGCATGCACAAGGAATGATCTTTAAGATACAAAGTAGTGAATCATAGACCAATATAAGCACGGATACATAACTTCTCCAAGTACATATAAGAAATTATTGTTGGTAGTTTTTTCTGTTGAGTAGACCTGGAGATCCAGGAGAAATTGTTATGTCCAAGGAATCTGGCTACTAGAAAACAATTAATTTCAATGTAGAATAAAGAATAAATAAGAATAACTAAAATGAAAACTATGCATCGGAGATTCGTGACATTGTACAGGAGGCAGGGATCAAGACCATTCCCAAGAAAAAGAAATGCAAAAAGGCAAAATGGTTGTCTGAGGAGGCCTGAAAAGAGGAAAAGCGAAAGGCAAAGGAGAAAACGAAAGATATACCCTTTTGAATGCATAGTTCCAAATAGCAAGGAGAGATAAACCTTCCTCAGTGATCAATGCAAAGAAATAGAGGAAAACAATAGAATGGGAAAGACTAGAGATCTCTTCAAGAAAATTAGGGAACATTTCATGTAAAGATGGGCACAATAAAGGACAGAAATGGTATGGACCTAACAGAAGCAGAAGATATTAAGAAGAGGTGGCAAGAATACACAAAAGAACTATACAAAAAAGATCTTCACGACCCAGATAATCATAATGGTGTGATCACTAACCTAGAGCCAGACATCCTGGAATGCAAAGTCATGTGGGTCTTATCTTAGGAAGCATCATTATGAATAAAACTAGTAGAGGTGATGGAATTCCAGGTAAGTTATTCCAAATCTTAAAAGATGATGCTATTAAAGTGCTGCACTCAATATGCCAGCGAATTTGGAAAACTCAGCAGTGGCCACAGGACTGGAAAAGGTCAGTTTCCATCCAAATCCCAAAGAAAGGCAATGCCAAAGAATGCTCAAACTACCACACAATTGCATTCATCTCATACACTAGCAAAGTAATGCTCAAAATTCTCCAAGCCAGGCTTCAACAGTACGTGAACTGTGAACTTCTAGATGTTCAAGCTGGATTTAGAAAAGGCAGAGGAAACAAGATCAAATTGCCAACATTTGCTGGATCATCAAAAAAGAGTTCCAGAAACGTCTACTTCTGTTTTATCGACTATGCCAAAGCCTTTGACTGCGTGGATCACAACAAACTGTGGAAAATTCTGAAAGAGATGGGAATACCAGACCACCTGACTTGCCTCTTGAGAAACCTGTATGCAGGTCAGGAAGCAACAGTTAGAACTGGACATGGAACAACAGACTGGTTCCAAACCGAGAAAGGAGTACATCAAGGCTGTATATTGTCACCCTGCTTATTTAACTTATATGCAGAGTAAATCATGAGAAACACTGGGCTGGATGAAGCACAAGCTGGAATCAAGATTGCCAGAAGAAATATTAATAACCTCAGACAAGGAGATGATACCACCCTTATGGCAGAAAGCGAAGAACTAAAGAGCCTCTTGATGAAATTGAAAGAGGAGAGTGAAAAAGTTGGCTTAAAACTCAGCATTCAGAAAACTAAGATCATGGCATCCAGTCCCATCACTTCATGGCAAATAGATGGGAAACACTGGAAACAGTGACAGACTTTATTTTCTTGGGCTCCAAAATCACTGCAGATGGTGACTGCAGCCATGAAATTAAAAGACACTGGCTCCTTGGAAGAAAAGTTATGACCAATCAAGACAGCATGTAAAAAGCAGAGACATCACTTTGCCCACAAAGGTCCATCTAGTCAAAGCTATGGTTTTTCCAGTGGTCATGTATGCATGTGAGAGTTGGACTACAAAGAAAGCTGAGTGCTGAAGAATTGATGCTTTTGAACTGTGGTGTTAGAGAAGACTCTTGAGAGTCCCATGGACTGCAAGGAGATCCAAACAATCCATCCTAAAGGAAATCAGTACTGAATATTCATTGGAAGAACTGATGTTGAAGCTGAAACTCCAATACTTTGGCCACCTGATGCAAAGAATTGACTCATCTGAAAAGACCCTGATGCTGGGAAAATGAAGGCGGGAGGAGAAGGGGTCGACAGAGGATGAGATGGTTGGATGGCATCACCGACTCAATGAACATGAGTTTGAGTAAACTCTGGGAGTTGGTGATGGACAGGGAGGCCTGGTGTACTGCAGTTCACCGGGGTCGCAAAGAGTTGGACATAACTGAGCCACTGAACATGAAAACATACAATGTAGCTAGATGTGTCAACAAAAAAAGGGCAAAAGCATGTATCTTCCAACATTCATTTATTGCTCAATGTTTTCCATAGAATAAAGAACAGGATGTTTAATTTCAAGATTTAGGATTGAACAGTGGTGGCAGGCCAAGTGATGATTCTTCTCTCTAGTTATTTATGGGAAAAAAAAAAAATCCATACCCTTTATGTTGTAAGATGCCACTGTGTCAATTTGGCTAACAGTGCATGACTACAGAACCAAATGTATCCTTTCCCCCTATAAACTATACAGCAGAATTGTTTAAAAGCTTATCCTTCTGCAAGGCCACAAGAGTGAATCTCATTTTATTTTGATGTTGGAAAAAGGCAATCTATATTCTGTGAGTTTTCCCCTAGAATTACCTTACTATAAACTTGTAACAGTGACTCTTACATTCCAATATGATAACAAGATAACAAGACAACTGCTTTTCACAGGCTGTCTTCTACCTACCTCATAATGAAGTCACAGGCTTCTTCGGGTTTAATGAAAGCTCTCCATCTTGCAGTTGGGATTCCGTGTCGGTCCATAAACTCTTTGGCAAATCTCTTGCTGGACTCTAACTGAGCTGCTTCTGCTGTGGGGCCGAAGCACCGAACTCCCACAGAGTTCAGGTTCCCAACAATTCCTAGTGATGGGAATAAGCAGCCTTAGTCAGGTCTCTGCGGGGCCTTTTCACTCTGAAGAATTAGGATTAGACTAAAGCTACACTGAGATAAGTCAGATGGTAGAGAGTAGGAAACATGAACATTTTTCATGTTTTCTATAGGATATAACAAAATGCTATTTGCACGTGATTCAAGTACAACAAAAATTTATGTTATATTCAAATATATGAATAGAGAAGAATAAAACAAAGTATTTCTCATGGCTGCAAATTTGATCTCTCGTTCAAATTTACTCATATTATTATTGATATTATCCACAATAGTAATGCTTGGGAGAAAAAAAATCCTAGACTCCACAAATTTCAAGAGGGTGAAAACTTTTTCCAAGGTAATACTGTATTAGGAAACCTCATCTGTAAAATGTATTAGATTAGATGATCTGGAAGCTCCTGTTGGCACAGTATAAATCATAACAATAAACAGAAATGAACTTTACCAGCAGCTAGAGGTGCCTCTGGTCCAACAACTACAAATTCAATTTTCTCATCTTTGCAGAACTGTGCAAGGGCAGTGTGATCACTGATTGAGATGTCTGTGAAAACAGAAAAGAAACAAACCCATCTTGTTTATATAAACATACTTTGTTTAAGGTATAGTAAGTAAGTGTCTTGCTGAAGTCTAAGTACCTATACTCTTGTATGCCTATCAATTGTTGATTTTCTTTTACTGGTGCAGGAGAGTTTCACCATGAAAAATTCAGAGCAGAGTACATTAGGCTAACCAACAAAGTTGAGTTCTCTGTTATCACTACATTGACAGAGAATTGAGTAAGTTTCCCAACAGCTGTACTCTCTTGATTGTAGTGTTCACGTCACTAGTGCTGATTATAAACAAAACAGTGTATCAGAGAATATACTCAGAAACTGGCCTTTTAAATGTCTTTCATTCAAGATTTACTAAAAATTACTATGTGCTAGATAAACTGTTCTAGTCACTGAGTTAAGACATACACACAAACAGGGTCCCTGAACTTAGGATGCTTATATTTCCCTATGGGAATGCTGGGTTATGACTATCCAAGCAAACTAATAAAGTTAGGAAAATCTGATGTGAAGTAAATTGGGAGGCTATTTCTGACTAAGCCAGGCAGGGGCTCTTTGTGCAAAGATGTTTAAGCTAAGAATAGAATGCTGATTTTATGACCTTCCTCACTTTCCCAACCTACCAACGAGGTTAATCTTCTTTCTCAGTGGAGTTCTAAGTAGTAGTGGGTTCAACCATATACTGAGCATGAGTTAGTTTTATAGGCACTCTTCCACTTCACTGTATCTGGGCCACCATTCCTAACCTGGATGAAGTCTCGAATTACTCTGCACATATGTGGTGTTTGTGATGTGCAGGGAGTAAGTGCAGAAAAGGTAAAGTTCTCAGTGTACAGAAACTGCCTGAGAGGGATAAGGATGGATACCATGAACTCTGGGTTAGTAGGAGCAAACACAACTGGGCCGAGCAGAGCCAACTACCTCAGCACAACAAAGGAAGATGATACACCTAACCTGTGAATACAAGTGATGGAAGTTTCATGACAGTCTTGGGAGATTTTCATGGGCTGGTCCATGTAACAGCAATTGCAGCTAGATAAAATGTGCCAATACTTAAAACAAAGCAAAACAAAACAAAACAACCTCACTCGCTGAGATCCCAGGGAAGCAGATATTTTCTTATTTATCTCTTATCTGTGGTCCCATATACACAATCATCTCCCAGTTTGTGGCTCACTGGATCTATGTTCTCCCTGTAAATACTATATGCCATGCAGAGTACTAAGTACAGTGCACACAGTGCAAAATCAGACAGGCGAGTTCCTTGCCCTCATGCAGTTTACATTTTAGAGCTTCTGTTCCAGGAGGGAAGTGAAGATGAGAGACAGACAAGAGAAAAGTAAAAGAAGACACAGGTAACAGTTCACTTTAGGAAAGTCCTCTTTGAGGAGGTAACGTAAGTTGAGACGTGAATGATAAGGAGCCAGTTGTGCTGGGTTTCAGAACAAAGTGCAAGGCAGCTGTTTGGGAAACTGCCACGACTACATGGATAGAGCACCGCGAAAAGAAAACAAAGGATACAAAAGATCAGGCTGGAAATGCAGAGAGGCCAGATCACAACAGGTTTTGTAAGCAACAGTAAGGAGTTTGAGTTTTATGCTAACTACTATGACAATTTACTGGGAAGTTTAATGCAGCATAAGAATTGATCACTATCTTATATTCACCAGTGGAAGAGATAAAGGCTGAGATCTATTATGAAATAAAAATTAGCAGAACTTACATTTAATAGCACTGCTCAATTTTTCATTCCCCAAAACATATACCCAAACACCTTGAATCTGTATTAGGTACTGCTTTGTGACTTTCTTATTAGACATGTTTAAAGGTTTAAACTAATTTAAGGTAAGGAAGTGCTATACTGAACAACAGGATACCTTAAATTTATAACATATGGCAACTATTCAAATAACCATATACATTTTTGGGTTAAGCAAAGCATTCAAATCTGAACAGCGATTGACTCTTAAAAAGAACAGATGTGGTTGACGGTTTATCATTTACAATTGTTCACTTTTACTTAAAAAAAAAGTGATTACCAGTATTTGAAATCTTCTCAGAGCAGGCAGTGCCTGCATTTCCTGGGGTAACCAACACTTGTTTGACATGAGTAGACTGTGCAAGTTTCCAGGCCAGTGTGTGTTCCCGTCCTCCATTGCCAATGACAAGTACTCGGGCTGCCATTGCACTATCTGCAAAGCAGGAATTCAGCAGGAAGATGAAAGCTGCAGAAAGAAAACCACAGTTGACCATTTTAAACTGGGAATCATAATTTAGGAAATATGACTGTACTCTTAAGGATTAGCATAGTACTTTAGAAATAAGGCAGACTGGCCTAAAGAGCTTGATTTAAAAAAAAAAAAACACAACTACAAACAATCACCCTTTTTAGGGCTTCACTTTTAGAAGATTTAATAATCATCAAACCTCAGTTTAAAATGAGTCTTAATGTTGTTCCAGTGGTTAAGAATCCATCTTCCAACATGGGGGATATGGGTTTGATCCACGGCCAGGGAACTAAGACACCACATGCTGGGTAGCTTGCGTGCACAATATACTACTGTGCAGCAGCTCAAGCGCCACAGCTAGAGAGAAGCCTGTGCGCCACAAAGAAGACCCAATGCAGCCAAATAAATAAATAAATTCTGATGGCCATATAGTCTCTGTTGCAATTACTGAACTCTGCCATTGTAGCACAAACAGCAGCCTTGGACAAGAGACAAATGTGGCCTGGCTATGCTCAGCAAAAACTTACATAAAACAGGCATGGTCTGTAGGTCATAGTTTGCCTATTTCTGCTCTAAGCAACAAGAAGCTGTAAGAGGTTTATGAAGAATTAAGTGTGGCTCTGTTTCAATAAAACTTTATTTATGGACATAAGCAATTTGAATTTTGCATAACTGTCACAGAAACATCACTTTTTCTTTTCTCCCCCTAACCATTTAACAACATAAAAATTATTCTTGTGCTCACTTCGGCAGCACATATACTAAAATTGGAACGATACAGAGAAGATTAGCATGGCCCTTGCGCAAGGATGACACGCAAATTCGTGAAGCGTTCCATATTTTTGAGACTCAGATGTATAGAACAGACTTGTGGACTCTGTGGGAGAAGGCGAGGGTGGGATGTTTCAAGAGAACAGCATCGAATCATGTATATTATCTAGGATGAAACAGATCACCAGCCCAGGTTGGATGCATGAGACAAGTGCTCAGGCCTGGTGCACTGGGAAGACCCAGAGGGATTGGGTAGAGAGGGAGGTGGGAGGGGGGATTGGGATGGGGAGTACATGTAAATCCATGGCTAATTCATTTCAATGAATGACAAAAACCACTGCAATGTTGAAAAGTAATTAGCCTCCAACTAATAAAAATAAATGGAAAAAAAAATTATTCTTATTTAGTGAACTGTACAAAAACAGGTAAATGGCAACCCACTCCAGTATTCTTCTGGGCCCCTTCACCCTAGAGCCCCTGCTCCAAAACAGGAGAAGCCACCACGATGAAAGGCCCATACACTATAACGATGAAAGGCCCATACACTATAACAAAGAGTAGACCCTGCTCTTTGCAACTAGAGAAAGCAAAAGCAAAACAAAAAAGATCCAGTGCAGGCAAAAATACAAATAATAAATTTTTTTTTTAAGTGCAATATGCTAGAAAACTGGCAAAGGGACTTCCCTGGTGGTCCAATGGTTAAGAATCTGCCTTCCAATGCAGGGGATGCGCATTCCATTCCTGGTTGGGGAATGAAGATCCCAGGTTCCAAAGGGCAGCTAAGCCCAGGGGATGCAGTAGCCCCCTCCTCCCAAAGGAAATTGGTGGAGAAGGCAGAAATCAAATTTAAACACATCTCATTTAGTTCTGGCATCTGATCCTGAGCAGGATGGGCAACTATCTCTCAGTCAAGTTAGCATGTGACCTTGGTTAAGCTCCTACTGTCTGCAATTCGATTTCTATGCATCTTACAAGGTGGAATTAAGAATGTGCCTTATGAGATATAGTAAGAATTGAAATGTCATTTATTTATAAGTAATTAGTACAACTGCATACACTCAGTAGTAAAAGAAAGAATGCTAACATGCTACACTTGATTCCTTTTGTCTAAACTGATGCTTCAGGGATAGAAATTCTAGAAAGCCAAAAGAATGAATAATCTGTCATATTTGTCATATTCATTTATTAATTTTCAGAAGACATCTAATTACATAGAATGTAAACTGATAACAGGAAAAAGTGAAATCAGTTACTTATGAAATACTAGGAATACATATTTAAAGAAAAATCTAGGTTGATAATATAAAAAAAATTAGTGTGAATTACAGGGGCACTGAGAGGATTATCGCAGTAGATCTCCGAAATAGCTTCAGTACTCAGACCGAGGGAATGTACATTCAGGAGTGGCTAGGAGCCCTTCAGTCAGAGGACCTGGGATTGGGTTAAGACTTACTAGCTGGGAAACCTGGAGGAACTTAACCTTCTTGGACCTCAGTCGTCTAAGTGAATAACATAAGAGAATTAGAGAGCCGAGAAAAGCCATTTCAAAAGACTTGGTTAATAACACATAATAGAAACCAACTACAAAATGGGATTAAGTAACCTGCTAGAGACAAAGGACGGAATTAACAAGAAAATATGCAATTCTGGTGCATGACATTAAAAAAAAAAAGCATAAAGGTACAAAAAGGGCCCTGACACCTAGAGCAGAGAAAATGACAGACCCGTTGTAGACCCCAGTTAAAGTGAAAAAGCACATGGCCAACCTTCACCCATGGCATGTGGAAATAAGATGAAAATTCCTACAGCCAAACCGGTTCAGACAGTTTCATCTCATGCCTGAGAGTAAATCCGCCAAACCAAACCGTAAAGCAACTTTACTGTGAGGCGGAGGAAACTCACCCGGCGACACAGTGGGACTCCAAGGCCCGCTCGTAGACCCTCGCCGAGCCCTCTGGATCTGAACGCCCGCCACGCGCGCCGGAAGTTGGGAGCGCGGAATCCGGCGCCCCCCCCCCCCCCCCGCCCTCGACTGGCTTCGCCTCCCCATTGGCTGGCGCGGCCCGCGGTCCCCACCCCGAGGTAATCAAGAGCGATTCCCTCCCGCTCTCGGGCGCGGCCTGAACCTCCCCTCCGGAGCAAATCTCTTAAGCCCTACTCGTTCAGAGTGTTTAATTCTGTGGTACCAGGTGCCACGTAAAATCTCTATTCTCCCCCCCCAGAACCTCCTGCACTCTTGAGGAGGGTGGGGAGCGCCAAAATGCTAAACCCATGTTCAGCTACTTGTGTGTTGCTTAGGAATCAGAACTGACCGGCTACTATGCAAAAGTCTTGTGACGCGCCAGGCTCCTGACGAGATTAGAATGCACCAGGGGTTGAGCTCAGCTGGCTCGTGACCTCTGGCCCAATGCTAAAATGGAAAAAAAAAAAAAAAGCTGATTATAGGATGCCATGGGAGAGAGGTGGGGGTATGAAAACGTTATTCTTCGTACGGTGGGCAGGCGCTGATAATGTGCTTTCCCGGATGGATCTCCCCTGCTGAAACACGGAGACATCCAGGAATGTTGGAGCACCCTGTTGCACTCCCCGCTCCCTTTCCTCTCGGAATTTAATCTCGGGTAGTTAGTGACTAAATAAGGCTCTTAAACCGCTCCCCCCCTCCCCCCGCCGCCGAACTCTGTTGAAGACTGACAACTGAAACTGACACAGCCACCTCGAGAGAGACTTCTCCTGTAATGGCGCCTGCGTCAGTCACTAACATGGCGGACACAGTCGTGCGCGGCGCAAACGTCAGCAGCTCTACCCCAGACGCTCAGAAACAGAGGAGGAGAGCGGGGCCGTGCTCGCTGATAGGTTCGGAGGCGGAGCGTGCCGGTCTGGGCTCTCCCACAGGAGCCAATCAGGACGGCGAGAGACGGAATTGGCCGCTGCGCCTCCTCCCGAGGCATGCTGGGAGCCTGGAGGACTAGTGAGGAGGAGTTGAGAGAACGGAGCGGACGCCATGGCGACCAACATCGAGCAGATTTTTAGGTCTTTCGTGGTCAGTAAATTCCGGGAAATTCAACAGGAGCTTTCAAGGTAAGCGCTCCTCAGACTCTTCTGCTCCCAAAGGACCCCTTTGACCCCACGGGGCCCTCCATGGAACCTTTCTTCAGAGACGCTGTCGTTGCTCGTCTCAGGCCCGGCTACAGCCCCGCCTGGGCCTGGGATCCATTTTCCGGCCCCCCCACCCCCATCCGCTCCCTCCCTTCCCGGCGAGGAACTTCGCCCTTTCCGAGGTAATCCCAGGGACTCTCTTCTAGAACCGATTTAAGATGCTCAGCCTTCTCTCCTATTTGGGCATCCCCTACCGTCTAGCTACTGTAGGCCTGCTGGTCTACCAGGGATGGGCCTAGTTTCTTCCTCAGCTCTGCCGCCGCGCTTCCCCTCCCCCTCTCCGCCTCCGCGGATTTCGCCGGCCGGTGTCTTTGACCGGAAAGGGGTCTAACGGCCGTTTCTTGAGTAATCTTAAATACACTTTATTATTGCAAGCTTCGGACCCCTTGGGGGTCGGGATCTTTTGAGAAGATTATTTGGGTTCTAATGTCCTGTGGCTTCCACCAGGTAGCATTCTAAATAGTCTGGTAGATTAGAAATTTAAATTAAAATAGTTCAAGTTAACGTTAGCTATTGTGACAGAATATTCGAGGCGAGGATGGAAGGAAACTTTGAATTACTAGTAATTACTCAATTTAGCAAGCGGAAAGTGGAGTTCGTGTGTTGGTCTAAATATTCTTCCTCCCTCTGCCCCAATTGACATATTTGACCAGCACGCTATTTTTGTCATCGCTACTAGTTTACCCTTGGTTCCACACAATTTGAATGGGAAGAGACTTTCAAAGAAATAGTTGCTTACTCAGAAAGGAAAACCGCGTGGGTCATGTTGTTTAGTGGTTGTCTTTTTGTATTTTTACTTTGTATAACGTAAACATTTGTTCCGAGTTCAAATGCATTGTTAGTTGTGTTTTAAAAGTTGAGAGCTAGAATCAGACGTGAGGTGAATTTGAAAATTAGCCGGAAACGCAGTTGTAAACTGAACGCTCCAATTAACATAAGTTTATGGGGCAGTGATATAGATTTGCTGGAATTCTTTGCGTGATACTTTTTTTTAAAGTGGGAAATATATCTGTTCATTGATTTAGTTGCTTTTTGAAATTTTGTTATCTGCTAGTTATTTTAGAATGGTGAGAAACGACCTGAGCTAAGGGGATAGAATTTTCCTGGAAACTTTTTAATAGTTGCATGCAATAAGTAGTTGTGTTTTCTAGTTGTAATGTCTTGTTTCTGTACCTTTTAAAAATTAGGTTTTGTATTAGAAGTTTTATTGTTATAGAAGATTTATAAAAAATAGAGAAACGAATTTTAAAACGTAGTTATTGATCTTTATGTTCTTTCGTTTTTTTTTTCTTGTGCATACAGATGCACATGTTTTGTGAAATGTGATCATCTTGTTTTGTGTTGGTTGTTTTTTTCACCTGTATATTGTGAACTTTCATCATGGTTTCAGTAGGCTTTGGAATATTTTTCACGGCTCCATAGAATTCTGTTTATTGTAGAATTGATATTTAGGTGCCTTGAAATTTCCACCCTTTTTCAGTAGTTGAATGAACATCCCAATAGCTTTAAGATGATTATTTTCTTATAGACTGCCTGGTTTTGTTTTTTTTAATCCCTACTTTTCTGATTTTTAAATCCGTGGATTTTTTTTTACTAAGGTAAGCACAGTGTAAGTGCTTAGGAAAAATGTAAAGAAAGTCCAGGAAGAAAGTCTAAAAAGAAAATTAGATAAAGCAGTGTATTACTAGAGGAATATTCAGCTTCTTTTCAAGTAACTTATACATTATCACTGTCGCTATTTCAGTGAGCTGTAGTTTTTTTTTCTCATTTTTTTATGTATATTGATTTGAGTGAGGAGACGGATACTTAAATAGTTTTAAGTTTTTATATATAGATGGTGAGGAGGAAGAGCTCTGGTTTTGAATGCCAGCTTTACCGCTTAATAGATGTGTAACCTTTAGCTAGGTGTTTTTTTTTTTTTTTTGGTCTTCTCTGGGCCTCTTTGAAAAATCAGAACAATAGTGCTGATTTCAGAGTTTGTGGGGATAAATGAGTTTAGAAATGTAGAACCATGTGACCCTAGTTAATAGTTAATAAATGTTAAATAATATTTATTGTATGATTCATTGTATTCGAAAACCAAATATTCTTTAGTAACATGGAAAGCTACTAAATTTTTTTGTTAGTTAAGACTTAAGTTACATTAAGTCAGGTGCTTTTAAACTATTTTTCAAAACAGTTCTGTAAATTTGTACAGAATAATGCAAGTGACAAAGATGATACATAAAAATGTATCATCTGTCAAGATTTTTCTGTCCCTGTGAATTGAAAATACGTTAAGTGATTGATTCATTTACTGTTACTATAAATAAATTGGTTTACATGATTTTGGTAACTGGGTGAAAATTACATCTGTATTTTTTCTTTTCCACATTGTGGCATTTCAGTAACTGAACAGTGTCAACCTGATCTGAAGCTACCAGTTATACTTTTGACTAAATGTGGCTAAATTTGTGTTCCTTCATATTGCTGATGGTGATTGTGATCCATCCAGAGGTGTAGCTTTATTGTCACTATAGCATTTACCATAATGTTAGGTAATGTGTTTTTCTTTGGTTTTGTGATTGTGATCTTAGTAATTTTTTTCCCCTGAGAGAAATATGCTGGTTGGGGAGTATTTGTTTTTGTTTTTTTTTTTTTTTTTTTAAAGAGTTTGGAAACATTTTTTAAAGATTTTCTTAACTTTTAACACTTCTGAGAACTTTAAGAAATTGTTTGAAAATAAAAATGTGCCAACTGTAAGTAGTGTTAAGGAAGCACCGTTGATGGGGAAATGGGGAATATCATCCAAAATTAAATACAAAATGGTGAAATGTATGAATAATATGAAGTTTTTTTTTTTAATAAGTTGAGTTACAAGTATTTATATGTCATGATAGAATTATTAACGAATCTTGATAACTTTTCTTCTCAAGTGGAAGGAGTGAAGGACAGCTCAATGGTGAAACAAACACACCTATTGAAGGAAACCAGGCAGGTGATGCCGCTGCCTCTGCCAGGAGCCTACCAAATGAAGACATAGTTCAGAAGATAGAGGAAGTACTTTCTGGGGTCTTAGATACAGAATTACGATATAAGCCAGGTAAGTTGGAGATAATTACCTGTCTTGAAAGTTAAATTTTTTAAAATAGTTAATAGTTAAATAATAGTATTTCCTGATTGCAGGGTATTTAAGATGTTCATTAGATCTAAAACGTCAGTAAGTTGAATTTTTAATTTAACTGATTTACTGAAGACTTCTTGCTTATGTCCATTTTTTGAAAATAGAGTACGACTTGTTTGCTTTACTGGTGGAGCATAACTGTATTTGGCTCAGTCTTGTAGTGCCTCAGTGCCAGGATTTTGAATATGGATTTTCATTGAAAAATTGTGTAAATGTCAAGTTTTGGAAGGTACAGGAGTCTGGACCAAATTGTAATGATTTTAAAACCCTGGAAAGTTTTATTTTAAAGCTCAAGCTTAGAGATTACCTTGTTTTTGCATCTACTTTTAAAGGTGCAATAAATGGGGAGGAAGCATTGCTGCATATTAAGCATTTGGGGAATTAATTAAATAATTGGTGCTTAGAAATGAGTTATGATCAAGCATCTTTTATTTTTGGAAATGGAGACATGGATTTTTTTTTTTTTTTTTTTTTTTAGTATAGAGTATGGCTTAAAAAATAGTATAGGCTGTTTAGATTCATGACTTCAGCAACTTTTGTTGAAGTATAATGTAGATTTGGTACATAATGTAAATGATAAGCAGAAAATGATTAGTTTTGCTTTGAAACAGGTCTTGTCATGTGTTGATTCAGTTTACCCATAATCTTGATGACCTGGACTTCTGATGATCTTTTTCTGAGATCACTAAGGTTTATCAGATTTGATACTGGCATTAGAGTAAATCTCATCTAGTAATAAAGTAGAAGCCATTTTTTGGTTCAGATGAGTAATGAAAGGAAGAGGTGTTACTTTTATTAGAATGCAGCATGAGTGAAAATTTGGGTTCCATGTTTTGCGTTTGTTGCTCAGACCTTTGCATTCTTTATAAAACCATTTGCTGAGGGTTTACTTGATGCCAGGTGTTATTCAATGTACTTTGCATGTTTTAACTCAGTTTGTCCTCTGCCTGTGAAAGACAGTGTCAGCAATTGAGTGGTGCATTGATTCAGTATGCAAAAGCAGACAGTCTGTTCTAAAGTCGGTGCCACATTGTTTCTTGTATAAGTAAATAGGGGTTGTGAAATAGTCACAAAAATTATTCAGTATATGTATTTTTAGGAATTCTAATAGTTAATAACATGAAAGATGTTCATCTGTAAGTGTAGTTTAAAAGTAACTTGTATATTAAGAGATGGAGAAAATGATTGTTTTTAATGAACTCAGGAAAAATACATTTTAATGTAGTTCTAAAAACTTTTGTAATAAATTAAGAACTTATTTTTAATCCTGGCTCTAGTTGTAGAAGAAGTATTGCAAAGGTGCCAGTCTTCAGATAGCTGGTTTATGGAAAATTATTTAACAGGAGATGTTTTATGGTATCTTAAGGTATTGTTTATTTATCTAAATCTATCTTGGGGAATATTTGACATAATTAATTTTCCTTAATTTCAGACTTGAAGGAGGCATCCAGAAAAAGTAGATGTGTGTCTGTCCAAACAGATCCTACTGATGAAATTCCTACCAAAAAGTCGAAGAAGCATAAAAAGCACAAAAATAAAAAGAAGAAAAAGAAGAAAGAAAAGGAGAAAAAGTATAAAAGACAGTCAGAAGAATCTGAGTCAAAGCCGAAATCACATCACGATGGGAACATAGAATCGGATTCCTTTTTGAAGTTTGATTCTGAACCTTCAGAGCTGGCACTGGAGCATCCTGTGAGAGCGTTTGGCCTGTCTGACACCAGTGAGTGTCCCGCAGTTGGGCTTGAACATCCTGTGGTTTCGATGGAGGTCTCAGAGCCACACACCTTAGAAACTCTGAAGCCAGCTACAAAACATACAGAACTGTCAGTTGCATCTACATCAGTAGTCTTAGTGCAGTCAGAGGCAGTAATGCTGGAACCATCCACAACAAAGATTCTGGATTCCTTTGCAACAGCACCAGTGCCTACTACAACAGTAGTGCTAAAGTCATCTGAGCCAGTGGTAACAATGTCAGTGGAGTGTCAGGTGAAATCTGTGCAGAAATCTTTGGAGAGCGCACCTCCAGAGCCATCAGAGATTATGTTGCTAGAGTTATCAGAAACTCTTGTGTCATCAGAGACACCTACTGAGGTGCACCCTGAGCCAAACACGTCAACAACAATGGATTTTCCAGAGTCGTCAGCAACTGAAGTGCTAAGATTGCCAGAGCAGCCTGTAGAAGGACCATCAGAGATTGCAGATTCATCCATGACACGACCGCAGGAGATGCTGGAGCTGCCCAAGACCACAGCGTTGGAGCTGCAGGAGTCGTCGGTGGCCTCAGTGATGGAGTTGCCGGGGCCACCTGCGACCTCCATGCCGGAGTTGCAGGGGCCCCCTGTGACTCCAGTGCTGGAGTTACCTGGGCCCTCTGCTACCCCGGCGCCAGAGTTGCCAGGGCCCCTTTCTACCCCAGTGCCTGAGTTGCTAGGGCCCCCTGCAACAGCAGTGCCTGAGTTGGCGGGGCCCTCTGTGACATCAGTGCCACAGTTGTCACAGGAATTGTCAGGGCTTCCAGCACCATCCATGGGGTTGGAGCCACCACAGGAGGTACCAGAGCCACCTGTGATGGCACAGGAGTTACCAGGGCTGCCTGCGGTGACAACAGCAGTAGAGTTGCCAGGGCAGCCTGTGGTAACAGTAGCAATGGAGTTGACCGAACAACCTGTGACGACGACAGAGTTGGAGCAGCCTGTGGGGATGACAGCGGTGGAACATCCTGGGCAGCCTGAGGTGACAACGGCAACAGGGTTGCTGGGGCAGCCTGAGGCAGCAATGGTGCTGGAGTTGCCAGGACAGCCGGTGGCAACGACAGCGCTGGAGTTGTCAGGGCAGCCTTCGGTGACTGGGGTGCCAGAGTTGCCAGGGCTGCCTTCGGCAACTAGGGCGCTGGAGTTGTCGGGGCAGCCTGTGGCAGCTGGGGCACTGGAGTTGCCTGGGCAGCTCATGGCAGCTGGGGCACTGGAGTTCTCGGGGCAGTCTGGGGCAGCTGGAGCCCTGGAGCTTCTGGGGCAGCCTTTGGCAACAGGGGTGCTGGAGTTGCCAGGGCAACCTGGGGCGCCAGAGTTGCCTGGGCAGCCTGTGGCAACTGTGGCGCTGGAGATCTCTGTTCAGTCTGTGGTGACAACGGAGCTGTCAACGATGACCGTGTCGCAGTCCCTGGAGGTGCCCTCGACGACAGCGCTGGAGTCCTATAATACGGTAGCACAGGAGCTGCCTACTACATTAGTGGGGGAGACTTCTGTAACAGTAGGAGTGGATCCCTTGATGGCCCAGGAATCCCATATGTTAGCTTCTAACACCATGGAGACCCATATGTTAGCATCCAACACCATGGACTCCCAAATGCTAGCGTCCAACACCATGGACTCTCAAATGCTAGCATCCAACACCATGGACTCCCAGATGTTAGCCTCTAGCACCATGGACTCCCAGATGTTAGCAACCAGCTCCATGGACTCCCAGATGTTAGCAACCAGCTCCATGGACTCCCAGATGTTAGCAACCAGCTCCATGGACTCTCAGATGTTAGCAACCAGCTCCATGGACTCCCAGATGTTAGCCACCAGCTCCATGGACTCCCAGATGTTAGCAACCAGCTCCATGGACTCCCAGATGTTAGCCACCAGCTCCATGGACTCCCAGATGTTAGCCACCAGCTCCATGGACTCTCAGATGTTAGCAACCAGCACCATGGACTCCCAGATGTTAGCCACTAGCTCTATGGACTCCCAGATGTTAGCATCTGGCACTATGGACTCTCAGATGTTAGCTTCTGGCTCCATGGATGCTCAGATGTTAGCGTCTGGTACCATGGATGCCCAGATGTTAGCATCTAGTACCCAAGATTCTGCTATGTTGGGTTCAAAATCTCCTGATCCTTACAGGTTAGCTCAGGATCCTTACAGGTTAGCTCAGGATCCGTATAGGTTAGGTCATGACCCTTACAGGCTAGGTCATGATGCCTACAGGTTAGGGCAGGACCCCTATAGATTAGGCCATGATCCCTACAGACTAACTCCTGATCCCTATAGGATGTCACCTAGACCCTATAGGATAGCACCCAGGTCCTATAGAATAGCTCCCAGGCCATATAGGTTAGCACCTAGACCCCTGATGTTAGCATCTAGACGTTCTATGATGATGTCCTATGCTGCAGAACGTTCCATGATGTCATCTTATGAACGCTCTATGATGTCTTACGAGCGGTCTATGATGTCCCCTATGGCTGAGCGTTCTATGATGTCAGCCTACGAGCGCTCTATGATGTCAGCCTATGAGCGCTCTATGATGTCCCCTATGGCTGAGCGCTCTATGATGTCAGCTTATGAACGCTCTATGATGTCAGCCTACGAGCGCTCCATGATGTCCCCAATGGCTGACCGATCTATGATGTCCATGGGTGCTGACCGGTCTATGATGTCGTCATACTCTGCTGCTGACCGGTCTATGATGTCATCGTACTCTGCAGCTGACCGATCTATGATGTCATCTTATACTGCTGATCGTTCAATGATGTCTATGGCAGCTGATTCTTACACCGATTCTTATACTGATACATACACGGAGGCATATATGGTGCCACCTTTGCCTCCTGAAGAGCCTCCAACAATGCCACCATTGCCACCTGAAGAGCCACCAATGACACCACCATTGCCTCCTGAGGAGCCACCAGAAGGTCCAGCATTAGCCACTGAGCAGTCAGCATTAACAGCTGAAAATACATGGTCTGCTGAGGTGCCAGCATTACCTCCTGAAGAGTCTGTATCGCTGCCTGAACCTCCTGTGAGTCAAAGTGAGATTGCAGAGCCTTTGGCAGTGACTGCTAATTATTCAATGTCAGCATCAGAGCCTTCAGTGTTAGCATCAGAGGCTGCCGTGACTGTTCCAGAACCACCGCTAGAGCCAGAGTCTTCAGTTATGTCAACACCTGTAGAGTCTGCTGCTGTAGCAGAAGAGCATGAAATTGTTGCAGAGAGACCAGTGACTTACCTGGTGTCTGAAACTCCCACAACATCAGCTGAACCAACTGTGTTAACCTCAGAGCCTTCTGTTATGTCAGAGACAGCAGAAACTTATGATTCCATGAGGGCTTCAGGACAGACTGCCTCAGAGGTATCTATGTCCCTGCTGGAGCCTGCAGTACCTATTGCAGAACCATCACAGAGCACTGTAGATCTGCCAGCCATGGCTGTCTTAGAGCCGCCATCTGTGGCTGTTTCAGAGCACCCAGGTGGGACTGTTTCAGAGACATCAACCATGGCTGTCCCAGAGCCACAGGCTGAGGCTGTCCTAGACCCTCCAGCTGTGGCTGTCCTGGACCCACCAGCTGAGGCTGTCCCAGAGTCCCTGGCCTTGTCTGAGCCAGAGCATGTTACCATTCCTTTGCCAGTTGTTTCTGTCCTGGAGCCTACTGTGCCTATTCTGGAACCAGTGGTGTCTATCCTTCAACCTAATGTGATTGTTTCAGAACCATCTAGTTGTGTCCAAGAGTCCACTGTGACAATTTCAGAGCCTCCTGTCACTGTCTCAGAGCAGACTCAAGTAATACCAACTGAGACAGTTGTAGAGTCTACACCAGTAATATTAGAGTCTAGTGTTACAAAAGGAATGAATTTACTATCTGGTGATCAAAATATTGCTTCAGAGATTGGCATGCAGGAGATAGCCATGCATTCAGATGAAGAGCCACGTGCTGAAGGACTCCTGAAGAGTGGCTCTAACGAAACTGAAAATTGTATAAATACAGACCTTAATATAAATAATCACTTAATTGCTCAAGAGATGGAACATAGCACAGTGTCTGCTGCCAGCACTGGTGCTGTTGGTGAAATTGGTGAAGAGACAATTTTGCCTACTAGTGAGACTAAACAATGCACAGTATTGGATACCTGTCCTAGTGTTGGTGAAACTGAGCTAGGAGGAACTCTGTCTTCTATTGGTCCCCTTGTCCTTGAACCTGAAGCAGTGGGAACTGGTAAGGATCTTGAATTTGGCACAGCATCTGCTCTCAGTTCAGTTAGTAAATATGATGTTGAAGTATCTTTAACTACTCAAGATACTGAACATGACATGGTAATTTCCACCAGCCCCAGTGGTGGTAGTGAAGCTGACATAGAGGGACCTTTGCCTGCTAAAGACATTCATCCTGATTTACCTAATAATTTTATCAGTAAGGATGCAGAAGGATCATTACCTGTACAGGAAAGTGATCAGATGTTAGCAGCTGCTGTAAGTCCTAAAGAAAGTAGTGGAGAAGATAAAGAAGTGTCTCTCTCTACTAAAGAGATAGTGTCTGATTCAGGATTTCCTGCCAGCATTGATGATATTAATGAAGCTGATTTAGTGAGACCATTACTTCCTAAGGACATGGAACGTCTTACAAGCCTTAGAGCTGGTATTGAAGGACCTTTACTTTCGAGTGAGGTGGAACGGGATAAATCTGCTGCCAGTCCAGTTGTAATTAGCATACCAGAAAGAGCTTCAGAGTCGTCTTCAGAGGAAAAAGATGATTATGAGATTTTTGTAAAAGTTAAGGACACACATGAAAAAAGCAAGAAAAATAAGAACCGTGACAAAGGCGAGAAAGAGAAGAAAAGAGACTCTTCATTAAGATCGAGAAGTAAACGTTCCAAGTCTTCTGAACACAAATCTCGAAAGCGCACCAGTGAATCTCGTTCTAGGGCAAGGAAGAGGTCATCTAAGTCCAAGTCTCATCGGTCTCAAACACGTTCAAGGTCACGATCAAGACGCAGGAGGAGGAGCAGCAGGTCAAGATCAAAGTCTAGAGGAAGGCGATCTGTATCAAAAGAGAAGCGCAAAAGGTCTCCAAAGCACAGATCCAAGTCCAGGGAAAGAAAAAGAAAAAGATCAAGCTCCAGGGATAACCGGAAAACAGGTAGAGCTCGAAGTCGCACCCCAAGTCGTCGGAGCCGGAGTCACACTCCAAGTCGTAGGAGAAGATCCAGATCCGGGGGGAGAAGGAGCTTTAGCATTTCCCCGAGCCGACGGAGTCGGACCCCGAGTCGACGGAGCCGCACCCCTAGCAGACGGAGCCGGACCCCGAGTCGACGGAGCCGCACCCCTAGCAGACGGAGCCGGACCCCGAGCCGTCGGAGCCGGACCCCGAGCCGTCGGAGAAGATCAAGGTCTGTGGTGAGAAGGCGAAGCTTCAGTATATCACCAGTCAGATTACGGCGATCACGAACACCCTTGAGAAGAAGGTTTAGCAGGTCTCCAATCCGTCGCAAACGATCCAGGTCTTCAGAAAGAGGCAGATCACCTAAACGTCTCACAGATTTGAGTGAGTCATTTAAAAATTTAATGGTATTAAAGAATGATTTAAATCTGAATTTTTTTCTGTGAGTTTAGTGAAATATCAGGGGTTATTGGTTTAGGATAAATATTTCTATGTTTAAGTTTTTGTAATTAGCTTCTGTTTAGAAAATGTGGGAATAAGTACATTTATAATTAGCTTTAAAAGACTTGCCTTGGAGTCCATTAGAACCAAAGTATTTCCATACTTTAATGTTTTCTTTCTGCTTGAACCATATACCATAACTAAAAATGGCAAGTAGAAGTTCAGTTAAGTGTTGTTACTGTAATTATTCCAACATAGGATCTTGCAAATAAGCCTAAAGTCAAACATTTCTTTTTTAAATAATTACATGTCTTAAAATGGCATAGAACTGTTAAATGTTTGTGAAGATAATTGATTGGTATAATGGGTAATGTAAGTGAGTAGGGGATTTTGCATGTGGGGAGTTAGTGATTTCAGTCTGCCTTACTTTTACAAAATGAAGTGTTTTAATATCTCCTGGTTTTTTAAATGTGCAGAGGTGACTAAAACTTGATGGATACTGTATGACTACTGTTAATAATAGTGGATAATTAGTCATTATCCCAGTAGATTGGACATTTCCAGGTCAGAGTAGTCTAAAGAAAAAGCCCTTGACAACCCTAAGGGAGAATGATTCAGTTCAACAGACGGTTTTTGAGTTCTTTTTTATTAAAAAAACATAAAGATTACGAGCTAGTACAAGAGACACAGATAAAATGCATGTATGTCTCTTTTACCAAGTAGTGAAACTGCCTAAGAGCAGAATGTGATGATTGCTGTAATTACTGGTACAGATTAGGTACTTTGGGAGCATGGTGGAGAGGAATGTTAAATTCTGACTTAAGACTTGTTACTTTGAAACTGTGGCAATTTTGAAATTGGGCTCAAAGAGTGATTTAAAATGTTATTAAGAGATTTAGAAGGAGAGTAATCTAAGGGGCACCATAGTTTTGGAAAATAAAGTAGGCTTTGGCAGGTGTGTGACTTAGCGTGTGTAACAGGGTGATTATTCTAGTTGTGTAGTTTAGCTGTTTTGTATAGTGTTTGAGTGGGAAGCTGAATACGGACTTAATTCCTTTTTAAATATGGAGCATTTTCTTTATTTCTTTAAGTCTTTGAGCCAAAGAGTGATTTCATCACAGCTGTAAGTTTGGGCAGAAAATGGATGCCTTTAATTTTTTAGCATGTAAAACATTAGATAATATAAAATGTATAGCCTTTCAGGAAAACTGCTTTTTGTATTTTTCCTCTTGCAGATAAGGCTCAGTTACTTGAAATAGCCAAAGCTAATGCAGCTGCCATGTGTGCTAAGGCTGGTGTTCCTTTACCACCAAACCTAAAGCCTGCACCTCCACCTACAATAGAAGAGAAAGTTGCTAAAAAGTCAGGAGGAGCTACTATAGAAGAACTAACTGAGGTAAGCTAGACAGAATTTGTTTTCATTCTTAAATGGATTACTCCAGTGATGTTGACTCTGGAGCGTGCCAAAAACCTGAATTGTGGGCTGAACTGATAATGGCTGGCACCGAGTGGCCAAAACCCGAAATACAGACGTGGCAGCGGCAGAAGCTCTGTTTAGCAGGCCATTATCCGGGATGGCTAAGCTCCGCTAGCTAAAAGTTACTTCCCATTACTTTTGCTTTCCAGTTTTAGAAGCCAAACTGACTGAGGAGTGGGACGGTTCGTTTGAATGGAGGAGGTGTTGAGTGAGCAACACGCAGAAGCTCGCCTACAGTTTCGTTTCCATTCACGACGCTGTTCACTGATCGCCACGAGTGTACTGCATATACGCAAAGACACAGACAATCTTCAGAAATGATCTTTTGCCACCGGAGCTTGGAAATTAATGAGAATAGCTGGCCATTGCCTGAAAGGAACTTCTTTCGCATCAACATTTCGGGTTTTGGCTGTTTGGTACCAGCCATTGGTGATAATGGCCGGCCATTATCAGTTCTTCCTGCGGTTCGGGTTTTGGCAGTAACATATATATTTTAAATACAATTATTTTTGTTTTTAAGAATTGATCTTTTCAATTGAGGCTTTTTTTTTTTTTTGTCCTTTGGCTTTGTTTTATTAAAATTTGTGTTTTTGTTTTTTTGTTTTTTTTTTTTTGGAGGACGCTGAAATATTGCTGCTAGGATCCAGAAATACCACACTGTTTCAGATATTGAAACTTGTTATTGGCTAGCCTTATGCCAGCCTGCCACTGTCAATATATTCTGTTCCCCTTGGTTACAAGCTTGGTATACTCCGTGTTTTTGGCTAAATGAGCTTTTTATCCTATTAAAATATTTTCAATTGATAAGGGATATGATAAATTCTACTGCTTGTATAGAGACAAGTCCACCCAAATTTACTCTGACCTTTTTATAAAGCCAGATAATGGGAGTCTGTTCCTTTGCTTCTCAAGGAGGAATTGACTTTGCTTTATGTGTCAGACCTCATCATTGCACCCTCTCCATCATGCCTTATATTCCATCCTTGAGTTCTGTTCCTTTAGAGACTCAACCTATAAAACATTTATGGAAAGACATGCTATTATCTAGCCCAGTTGCAAGTGTTTCAAATTTTATTTAGCCATACATTTGGGGATTGTGTAGTTTCTTAATATCTCTCCTTACTTAGATTTACTACAATATGAATTATAACTTTTTTTTTTTAATGTTTAAGGACCTAGTGAAGGCTTCTATTGCTTGCTTATCAAATCCAAGCTCCTTATCCAAAACCTTATGAACACTTAGTGATTCCCTATATATTTTAGCCTCATCTTCAGCCCTCTTATCCCTTTTAATAAGTTTTTTCTCACCTCTTTACCACTACCTGACTATCGAGTGACTTTCTTTTCCTTTCCTGCTAATCCTTTTTCTTAACTATGAAAATCTGGCTTAGAACTTTCAAGGAATATTCCTTGGTTATCAGATTCTGCCTGATTCTGTTCTCTCTTAGGCTTTTGTTCTTTGAGCACTTATGTACTCAGTTTGTATTATATCAGTTTGCACTTGTTGCCTGTGTTGCTCTGTAAAGGCGCCCCTCAGTTATCTCATGTGTATGTACTCCGTCTTTTGAACTAGACTGTAAGCTCCGTGAGAGCAGGGACCATGTCTCTTACTGTATGTTTTGTATTCCCTGGACAGTGCCCAGTACAGTGCTCTGCACATAGTAGGTGCTCAATAAATGTTGTTAACTGGCTGACCAGCTAGAGTGTGTCTAAATAAGTAGTGAGCTAAGTCACCCAGCGATAATCTGTCATTAATCTTGTTTCAATTTTGAAAGTTGGTTTTATGTGGTTTTGAATTTAAGAAATTATGTGTTATTCTACATAAAGTGTAAGATTTATCTTCTGTTTGTTTTTACTTTTTAAGAAATGCAAACAGATTGCACAGAGTAAAGAAGATGATGATGTAATAGTGAATAAGCCGCATGTTTCGGATGAAGAGGAAGAAGAACCTCCTTTTTATCATCATCCCTTTAAACTCAGTGAACCCAAACCCATTTTTTTCAATCTGAATGTGAGTATTAATGTTTTTGAACTGGTGAAACAGCACAGCTTATAGAACTATTTAAGGAAAACTGAAATAATATTTAGTTTTTAATTTAGGTTAAATACTGTGAGAAAGTCATTTTCAGATTATGTTGAAAATCTGTTGAGTTTTAATTAAGAAAAACATTATGTTTTTAGATTGCTGCAGCAAAGCCAACTCCACCAAAAAGCCAGGTAACATTAACAAAAGAATTCCCTGTATCATCTGGATCTCAACATCGGAAAAAAGAAGCCGATAGTGTTTATGGAGAGTGGGTCCCTGTAGAGAAAAACGGTGAAGAAAACAAAGATGATGATAATGTTTTCAGCAGCAATTTGCCCTCTGAGGTAAGTAAGAGGACTATTATGTATTTTTCCTTTTATATACCTGAATCTGCATTTTATTGTTATTTTATATCTGATTTGGATTCTGTTTCACTCTTCTTAGGGCCGGGTTAAACGGCAGGGCCGGGTTAGACGACAGATGAAACAACCCGCAGCTTCTCATTTGACAGTAACTCGATGCAGTTCACTTTGTGGAACCAAGCCACAAAGTGAAAAGCATCGAATTGCAGAGAACAGTGTTATCACATCCCTACCCAACATTGGGCCCTCCTTGCACTTGTGGGAAGGTAGCCCAAGGTACAACTATTTAGCTTCCCGTTTTGCTTCAAGGCTCTATAGCTCTAGATTTTGGTGGTAGCAAATTTATTGGGTGGAGGGATTTGAGTAGAGAGAGGCAGATCCTCAGGTTCAACACAAGAACTGGATTGGAAAAGGTCCCTGTAGGCTGATGTGAGCATCTCGGATACATAGCCTGTTGCCCTTTAAATAATGCTTTCTTACTATATTTTTCTGGGTTGTTTGTCAGATAGCCTTTAATTTTAATCATTTCCCCCTTCTGTGTGCTACCTTGGCCCTTTTGAATTCTTGTGTTTAACCTAACGCTCAGCCTTGGTATTCCATTTCCCTTCTCCTTCCCCTTTTTGCTACTATTAAAAGTTGGAGAAGTGGAATTCACACCTTGAAATTTCCAGGAGGCTATAGTTGTATCTTGTCAAAATGACGCAGTAATAATGCTAAGTGTCAAAACAGCCCCATTAAAATGCCGCCTGATTAAAAATGTGCTGCTAAATATAGTGCACATGAAAACAGCGAGACTGTATATATATGTAAATATATATATATATCTGTATCTTTGTATGTATCTCTGTATCTGTACCTTTGCTGTATCTTTTAATAAACAGTTTACTTTTATTTAACTTGTTGTGCAAAATCACGCTTGGGGGATCTGGGAGGGTGGAGACTTACTAGGGGGGTGGGAGTTTTAAATGATACAGTAGACTAGTCATCACCTCTTGCCCTTGGTTTCCAAAACCCAGACATTCGTCCAAGGACTGGACTAGATATCTGATGCCCGTACAGTGTAGGGATTCTTCCCCAGTTCTTATCCTTGCCATTCTGGGATATGTGGATCCAGAGAGACCTGTGCTCTTCACCTTACAGGTTCCCCTTATTGGCGATATAATCATCATCCAGTAAACACCTCTGATAATACAAATAAACAAATTCTGTTTATAAAGTTAAAAGTGAACAGAACCCAAATCAGAAACTGGTAGTGTTTTTTCCCCTGAGCTATTCACAGGAGACATTGTTTTTTTTTGTTTGTTTGTTTTTGACCCTGTGGCATTTGGAAAAGAGAACACGTTCTGTACAATGACATTGGACATAACTAGCCAGTGCAACTTACAGTCACTGGTGATATTTACATGAGATTCAACAACTGAAGCAAGGTACACCATCACCAGTGAAGGAGAGACAGATAACTTATTTGGACAATTTTTAGTGAAGCCAGTTGAGTAGTTCAGTTGCTGATTTGCAAATCAGGCTACTGCACATCTCAAGAGGGAAAGGTTAACTGACATTGATAACTGACTTGAATCTAGTAATAGCTGAGCATAAACCATGGTAAGAGGGCTAAACTGACTGAGAAATTCTAATACACATGCTTTTAGTAATTTCTTAAACATTAAGCATTTAACAGAGTTAGGAAAAAACATAAGGAGACATTTATGTGAAAAAAATTTTCCAACGTGGTGAAGCCCTATAAATATTGCATAATTCCAAAAGATTTTCCTGGGAAAATAAGTGACTATAACTATTTAAACTTCAAGACTATAACTATTTAACTTGAGTGGAACATGGGAAGGATGCTTAGTGAATCCTGGTGATTACAGTTCTTGTTGATTAAGAGTTTATATATAAACGTGTGTGTGTGTATATATATATATATATATATTACAGTATTTAGCCGTTTTCAGTCTTAACACTGAAACTGTGGTGCCTTACGTTGTCTGTCATCAATAGTGGTTGTCAAATTTGAATGAAAAGTTGGGAGAATTACTCCAAAGATATCTGGGACCGGGGAGTAGGTGGGTATTAAGATTTTATAATAAGTAAAGGAGCCTTTTATTAAAGCAGGAGATAAAAAAGTTCTATTCATGAAGCAGATTTCTCCTGTGGGGGAGATTATATACAACTATTGGTATCAGAACGCTAAGCTAGTTTCTTAGACAATTAGACTAAAAAATATGTGTTAACTTTAATTTCAAGTAAAACAATCCCGAAATTTTAGGAAGGGACAGAAATTTGCTTTTGTTTTCAGGTCTGTGTACTTTTACCTAGAAGTAATATTACCTTTAGAAATAACATCTAAAGGTTGTTCACTGTATGAAATGTTTAGTTCTAGTTATTTAGCTGTATCTTACAAATAAGTAAGATTAATGTTCTATATTCTAATGTTTGTAGAATACTATTGGTGACATTTTATGGGAGCATTGAGTCTTGATTCCCTGTTGGGGTTGAAATAAAGATTTTATGTAGAAAAGGAAAGTTCTTTTTAAATGGTCTATATTTTAATTGAATAGTGCTTTGAATTATTCTGTTATTTTTTCATTTTAATAAATATAATTGGAATTTGTGGTTCTTTAGTTTTGAGCATAAAACATTCAGGCAAAGATCACAGATTTGATCTCAGCTTTGCTATATGATCCTTAATCCCACCAATTGTGCACGTGAGTGCTCTCTGACATAAGTAAGAGTGAATAGACGTGGATGGATCAACATAAATCCGTATCTTGTGGAAATACCAACTCATCACACTGTGGGCTCTGCTGCCATAGCATCGTCTTCCTACCCAGAAGCCAGCCAGCGTCGTCCTCAGTAAAGAGTGACTGCAGAACCTTGATCATATCTGTGTGAATTTTGATTTATAAACAATGAAACCAAAAGTGTTGGAAAACAGTTTAAAACTTGTCCTTTGGGGGCATTAATTCTTGGTAATAAAGATAGCAAAGCCTTACGGGGTAGAGGATATAAGTGTAGTCTCTGGCATAAAATTTCCTTACTTCATGTCTCAGTGGAGCTAAAATTCTCTTATGGTTAGGAACTCTGTATTTTTGAGTTTTAAGAAAACTGAGTTCTTGTGGTAAAATGAAAATTTTAATTGAAAATGAAACACACAGGTTTTGGCAGTGCTAGAATGTGTTATGCACAGCTTTTTTTATTCATTCTTCTCTCTTTAGATTCTCCCAGGTTATTAAAATGGAATTTTTTTATGATTTAATGTTTTATCTAATCCTCCAATTACTGTAATTCATTTACATGTAGTAAACTAAAAATTGCACTAGAGAATTTTATGTGAAATAATAAAAGACTCATAAATCAGTTTTTAAAACCAAGCCACTTAACTCCTGAAGCATTCTGTATTTAGTGTGCATTTAGCACAGTGTATTAGCACACAAATACAGAATATTTAAAATTCTGTATTTGTATATATAGTTGTCATTTACTTTGTATTTTATTAACTTTTGCTAAATATTTTAAATCATGTTTTGTATGCAGGCTAGGTACTTTTTCTTTAACTCTCTTTACTTAAAAATTTCCTTTTATATCATCTTTTAATTGGAAATAGATGCAATTTCTTGTGTAGAAAGTAATTTGCCTTTTACAGGTACTATTTTTTTCCTTACCTGAATGACCACCTTTTAATAATTCTCATTAGTTCTTTTATAGCCTTTCATTGACTTAAGAATTATTTTAGACAATTGTTCTATTTATGTAAATAGTTGGGTTAACACAGGGGGAAGGTAAATTGACTTAGAAGGGTTTTTAAAATAAGGAAGATGAAGATGCACAGTTAATAAGTTAGGTTGTGAAATGCATATTACAGTGTCAGTTACATTTGTGTTTTATTAGTCCTGAGAACATTTTAGGTTACAGAAATAGTAATCTGCTCTGTTGCTGAAGTGGAGGGGTGAAATAACTTGGATAGGTTTTTATTGATGTGTGAACTGGAATAATAATTCAGGATACTCTTTTTATGTGGATTTCACCTTTTATAACAAGCCCTAGGGAGAAGGAAATAAAACATTTCCCCCCATCATGACACCTAGAATATTACTACACATAATACATAGACGGTCTATTGTGTATTAGTGGAAATAAATTTGCTTTGTTGATGATAGCTTGATAATAGTGTTCTGCAGGGTTTAAGATAATTCCCACCCCCCCCTCCCCCAGACTTTGTAGCATTCTAAAACTTTTAGCATCATTTTGGTTCCTTTCACACTTGACTGTTTTTGAGCAACATTAAGTTAAGACTCAAACTCTGCTATGTATTATAGCCTGGTAGTGGTGGCATAGTTGTGTATGACTTAACGACTCCATGGACTGCACATTGCCAGGCTCCTCTGTCCATGGAACTTCTAGGCAAGAAGACAGCAGTGGGTTGCCATTTTCCTTCTCCAGTAGTTGTTATATGCTTTATATATACACATACAGATCCTATGCAGTCCAATACAATAGTCATTGAGCCACTGAGAAATCAGTTCTTTAATTGCACTAGGCACATTTCAAGTGCTCGTTAGCTTTCACTGTAAAAGTTCTCTAGGACTGCTGTTGTAAAGGGTAGCTGTGATGTTTTATGAGTCTCTTAATACTGATTCAGAACTTTGGTCTAATCTTTGAATATTAATGTTTTGAGAATTATAGTTGGTTTTTTACTGCATATCCTGAGCTACCCTGGCAACTTGGATGTATGCTTTTTGATATAAACTCTTGAGGATTCTTAAGAGATTAAGATAATCCTGATTGATCCTATTTTGGGTATGTTTCCTCACATTAAAAAGTATGAACATGAAATTAATAGTCAAATTACTATTTGTTAATAAAGTTTTGACATGAACTTACAGCTCACTTGGTAAGCCTGTTGAATAAATGAAGTTGTATTAGGAAGAAAACTAGTTGTAATTTTATCTAAATTTATATTAAATCTCAATGTTGCTATATTAAATAAATACTATTTAAATAAATAAAAGTTCCTTTCAGAGTGAGATGTGAATTTAACATAAAATACTGAGATTTGAATGCAGTTTCATCCTGAGGATAAATGATGAGGTATTTAGGTTACCTGCTTGCTTAATAAAGGTTAAAAGAGTAAAAAAAAGTATGAAGATACAAAGTGTCTTCAGAAGGATGAAGTCACAGATAGGTATGTTAATTTGCTTTCCATTTGGGAAGAAGTGATTTTATTTTAGAAAAGTTGGAATTTTCAGAGCCATCTTAACTACATTTTTATGGCTAATTTACAGTTAGAAATTGAGGGATCAGAGCTTGGCTTGGTGGTGGGTAGGTACATTTTCCCTAGTTTCTCCTCTGAATTTCAACTTTTTAGAATTAAAACCTATTATTTATACCTGAATACCCATGCTTAGATTTGTAGATGAGTATGAAACCCACAGTAATTCTGGCAAAGTTAAAGAACAGTATTTCACACATATTTTATGGGCCTCCAAAAATTACTTCATCATCTTCCCTGACAGGTTTATGAAATACCTACATCTTACCTGACAGGTTTATGAAATATCTAAGGCCAAAAAAGAATGTGATTCTGATCTAAAAGTCTCTGGATTCCCACTTTAAAAGTCACAGTGGGTGATCACAGTTGTAATAGAAGTGAAAAGTGAGCATACTGTGTTTTTTAGTGTTTCAGTCTGCCTTTACCTGTATATCCCCAGAAATATTCCAGTTAGTATGGATAAGTTAACTAAGAAATTAGGATCTTTTATTAGTGAGATCTGTGAGCAGTCTGATTACAGAATAAATTCAGTTTAATTCTGCTTTCATTTTAAGATGACAGATATATAGAAACCTGTACTTTTTGGTACCTTGTGGAAGAAAATTTTAATTTTGCTAAAGGAATGATGCTAGGTGATTCAGCAAGATACGAATAGTGAAGGTAGGAAAAAGGAAGATTAGTAATCCTTATGCGTGAGATAGAATTATTCTCTAATAGTCATTTACTCTTAATTATGTAGGTCTTATTTTTAAAAGAAGTATTTCATATTCAACTATACAAATTACAGGTTGCCTTAGTTTGGCTTTTTAAAAAAACTTTTATCTGTTAACTTATTTTAACTGACTTCCTTATATTTGTCACACCCATGCAGTTGCTACTAGTTACTCTTTTTATATGAATTTAGGAAAATCCTCACATGTCAGATAACTATTTTCCAAAAATGAATTTTCTTGGATGAGATACTAGAAATTAATAATGGGTTTAGTAGTGTTAGAAGAAAAACAAGTATTAAGACTTGGTGAGTTGACACAAATCATCCTGAGCTCTTAATGTTAGAACTGAAAAGCATCAAATACTTGATTTTTTTTCCTTCTATGGTTGAGCCTTCCACAAATTTGGTAAATAGGATATTTGGTCTAAAGATAATCCTTGAAGTTTTCCTGGATATTCTGAAACTTAAAAAGTCGCATCTGCTTAGCATAAGCTTTTTACAGGTAGAACATGAGCACTGAAAAGGAGGACCTAAGGCATTTCAAACATACTTGAAGTGTTCCAATTTAATAATTGTGTACCCCCCACAGAAATATTCTAACTTCGATCATCAGTGTACATATTAATGAGTTAAAAACCATGTATAATGAATATATTCTTTGAAGAAGCTGAGTTCTTTGTATCAGACTTAATGAACAACTACAAGTAGGTGAAAACATGCAGACATCAGTAAAGGAGTGGTGTTTGACATGGCAGTGGTTTTCTGCTTGCTTATTTAAGAACCTTGCTTATTGCCTCTGAGGGCTGTGCTGAGAAGCAGGATAAAATGAAAACTCCAATAATTATTTCGTTAGTGAAGGCAAGAGTTAAGTTCTTCATGAAAGTTTCTCTGATTGTAGTTTGATGTAGTAGAAAATAAAGCAGTTGGCTTTTGGATTGAGTTCATCTGCTGCCTGATACTTTGTAACTTACCTTAAACAATCCATATCTATTTTCCAAGGTTATTTTACCTTTTAGAGTCTTCTCCCTGCTTTACAAAATTATATATATACACATTTTTATATATTTGTATATACAGAATTTTATATACAACTGGTTTTTGACAAGCAACTAAAGATGTGAGCATTTTTCATAATTTAGGGAGTCTTTGGTTATTTGAGATAATTATCTATGTTTTCTTTCTTAGCCTGTGGACATCTCTACAGCAATGAGTGAACGGGCACTTGCTCAGAAAAGACTCAGCGAGAATGCATTTGACCTTGAAGCTATGAGCATGTTAAATCGTGCTCAGGAACGGGTATGTAGTGGTTTTAGTATCTAAATGATAATTTCACTAACTAGAGGGTTGTGACATAAGTAAACCCTGTGGCATGCTGTTGACATGTAGGTCTTTGAAAATCATTTATCTAGCAAGCCTTCTTTACGTGAAAGTGATTTGGGGCTTGATTATTAGTAAATGTTGTGTACTATGGGACAGGAACTATTTGAGAGAATAAAAATTGAAAAAATTACCTGCCTTCATAGAATTTGTAATCAAATATATAAAAATAATAGCTAAGTGCCCGTAATAGTCTTCTGAGACATTTGAGTTTGCATTTAGAAAGAGTGACTTAAGTGAGGCCCAAGGTCACAAAATTAGTAGGGGAACTGGGATCTGAACCTAGACAGTCTGAATCCAGTCTGTGTTTTTAACAGTGGACAGCTGCTCCATACATTCTCTTTCTATGGTAAATATATGGGGACAGTAAGTACATGTTCAGACAAGTAGAAAATACCGCCTGACAGTTCCAAGTGTTCAGTAAATATACTTTGAATGAACGACAACTAATTCTTTAACCATCACAATGTTTGAGTGACCAGTTTCCTATATTATGTTTTAAGCATGTATCTTGAATTGATTTTTGATTATAACACTTCAGAGAAAGTAATTAAAAATTGAGGCTATCAACATTTATTATGCATTTATGAGATATGTAAGGAGGGCAAGGATCCTTTACCATGTGAACAATTTTCTGTATTATTTTCAGGTATCTGTGTAATATTTTGAAGAAAAGTATCACAGCCATGCTTTTCAGTTGTTAGATATATATTTTAAGTTTTGTTATTAATGGGATCCACTGAACAGTTACTGAACTGCTTTGGACTGTTTAAGAAAACAGTTTTAAAAGATATATGTGAATTCAGTATATGTATTTTCTAAAGTTAAATATTTAAGTCTGTTATTTAGTCTTTGTGGGAACCAAATAAACCATTTCATTTAGAGAATTAATACCAGTGGCATTAACTAGAAAGGTAATTTTACTTAATTGAGGCATTTTTTCTTCAGATTGATGCCTGGGCTCAGCTGAACTCTATTCCCGGCCAGTTCACAGGAAGTACAGGAGTGCAGGTTTTGACACAAGAACAGTTGGCCAATACTGGTGCCCAAGCCTGGATTAAAAAGGTACACAACATATGCACATACAAAAGTGTCCGTGTACAAAGTTAAAATTTTTAAGAAAATGTTTTATTAAAAATGCACAAAGAAGCCAGTGAATTTAACTAAAGTTCATGAGTAAATTTGCTATGCGTATATACTCCAGGATGGACACTGAAGATGGATCGATCCCTGAGACAATGGCTAATGTATAAATACGGCTTAAGAGCCACTCAGTTTATATCCTGCTGCTCCTGGGTTTTGTGGGGGTGGTTTTTAAACTGTGTTTTGAATGCTAACAGTGTATCTCAGTGACCTTCAGAATATTCTACAGTTCCTGTTGGACAACTGATCTTACGATTTCAAAGCAGTGGTTCTCAGATTTTTTCTCATCATGGGATACTTTATTACAGGTTCATTTTTGGTGAATCACTGCCCCCAAGAACCTTCTGCCACTTGGTTTTCCATTCCTTTATTCCTTTGCCCTTCTTTCCCCTTTGCTTAGTGCCCGTCCTTCCTGTAAGTGCCCTTGGCCCCTAGTCCTCGCTCCTGTTGCAACCTCCAGCCCCAGGTCCATGTGGTTATCCACTCGGTTACAGCAAGTGGTTGGGAGCCCCCGTCAGCGCTGCATGTGGTGGTCTTGCCAGGGGACTAGAAGGATGGGAGGGGATGGCTGAAGTGTGGGGTGGGCGGTGCTGAAGGGTGGCGAAATTGGCTGGGATGTGGGTGGAGACGACTTATCTGTGGACCACCATTTAGGCCCTGGTGGCCTCTGGTGATCCACAGGTTCAGTTTGAGAACTACTGATTCCGTGAAAAAACAGGATATGTAAGACGTAAATGCGAGGGAGAGGACGGACGCCTCGCGCTGTGAAGATGTAGGTGCTCCTGGTTTCAGATCCCTGCAGTGAGACGTGTGAACTCCACCTACGGCTGCCTCGTTGCTGGGGGAGTCTTAGGTGGTCACCAAGGGCTTTCTGAAGAAACGGGCTCTGGCGAAGGGATGTGGCTTGGTTGGATGGGTGATGGGAAACTTTGTTTCAGGAGTATTGGCAGCATAGCAGTGCTGAAACAGGGAGGCTGCCTGGTCTAACGGATTGGGAAGGTTTCTTAATCGCGCTGTACTCCTGACTCCTGTTGTGATCGTGGCAAGTAATTACTTGGAATTTCAGTTTCCAAGTGCCTTCTTAACTGCCTCGCGGGGTGCTGATCGATGTCATGTCATGGGTGATAGAAAACTTTTGCTGAGTGCCAGTGAATGAGCTGATTTTTTCTGAAAAATCAGATTTTTGGTTGCTTTGGACCTTTTAATCTCATAACATTTCTTTTTTCAATTTTGATAGCATTATATCTGGTGATCTTATTAACAAATTAATATAAAGCATACCCTTACTTTGCCTGCCCCCCTTTTTTGGAGCGGCAGAATAGTTGCACTGATATGTATAATACACTGTGGGTACATAGTCAGATTGGTTAAAAAATGAAAGTAGCTTACTAGGGGTTGGTGTTGGAAAAAAAAAGATGAAAATTAGCAAAATTAATTTTGGACTAATTACAGTATTTAAAATATGAAAGTGATCGATGTAGTGCTTGAAAAATGGCTTTCATCTCATTGGGAATAACTGTAAATGTACATAAATGTCTAACAATTCTAATTTAATACTATCTAATGGTGAAGCTGAATACTCCAAATTTCAGAAAGTTATACTTGAAGTGTTTAGGCACATAATAATTGAATAGTCATGTACACTACTAGGTAGAAACTTAAGAATGTGATTCCATTGCAAAGTGCTGGTCTTCATTTGTACATTGAAGTTCTGATAGATATATATTGCTGAAGACTTCTAAACATCACATAACTTTTAAAATGATTAAATTGGGTTCCTCATAAACTTTCCTTTTTCTTTTTGATTGCTAGTCCTTGTAGACAGTTGGCAGATTTTATTTATTTATTTTTTTTTAGTTGGCAGATTTTAAATGATTTACATCATTTAAAATGTAGCTGTAAATCATATTTGATAAGTTACCACAAGATAAAGATGTGTTCATTCATCACACCAAATTTTTGAATAATTATAGAAAGTGCTTTCAGGAAACTTCTATTTGTGTGTTGCTGAAAAATACATGCTGCTAATATCAATTAAGGCAGGAATATTTTACTCAGAAAAATGAGCAAAAACATGGACAAAGTCATTAGGCAACTATAACATTCATTTTTGTGGTCAGATATCACAAACTACTTGTTTCATTTAGAACTTTCTCAGACGTTCATTCATACGGTGTTCCTTGCCTTGCTGTAGGGCAGCACCCTCTTCATGTTAAGGACTACAGGGAATGCCAGCATTCTCCATATTCTTTTAGTTTGCTGCAGTATACTCTTGGATGAAAAGGAATGAGTTTTATTAGTAGTAAGAAAAAATTCCAATGGTTGATTTGAAAGAACCTTTATTTTCTGAAATGATTTGGACATGACCTGATGAATATTGTTTACTATTGTAGTCTTACTAGATTAATTAGCTTTTTGTTGAACTGTATATACACCCTGGTGTAAAGAAACATTTGAAGATAGCAAATGGAAACAAAATCTGAAACCTGCGTTATTTGGGGATTTGTGTTATACTCTGCACAGTTGCCCTTTTTTTTAGGAGTGTTTCCTGGAAAAGAGGGGCGGATGAACCTGAAAGTAAGTAAAAGTCATTGTAGGTGTGTAGAAACAAGGCAGTTGGTTCCCAAGCATCAGCTAACTTTTCTCTCTATACATCAACACTGCATGGCCTGCACCACGTCAGGAACTGAACCAGGGCTATGTTTGTACCTCCACAGCTGCCTCCTTCCATCAGAGCACCGTGTTGAGCTTAATGTCTGGTCACATACCATTGGCATGTCATACCATTGGCACGTTTCCTCCCCAGCTTATAATTAAATAGCTGGGGAGGGGGCGAAGTATACAGTTTTACTACTGTGTAAAACCAAAATTAAAAATTCAGTAGTAACTTACCAGTAGAGGAAGTGATTGTACTGTGTCCAGAGCTTCCAAAATATTTGACTCCCTCTGTTGATAAGTTAAATGACTTTTGCTTACATTTGCTAGAGAATGTAAATGTAAAATACTTAATAACACGGGGAAACAAGACATGATTTGGCGATTATATTTTAAATGTTTAGAAAATGACCATAAAGATCAACAGTAGAATTCAGTCGTTTATTACATATACATGGATGCCCTTTAAAAAGGAGGCATCACTTAATTTCTTAACGGTGTGAAAACAATTGACTGTTGACCATGCTAATTATATAGTCTTGTGCATCCTATGACATTAAGTGGTTTGCTGCTTTGATGGAAATTATGGTTCAGTGGGTTGGATACAAGAGAGATGATTGTTCACAGAATAACCTGTGAACTTTCACCCCTCTGTATGGAAACTTGTTTCAGGGCCAAATCCTTGTAGCTGTCTTCTTGCCCCGGTCAGTGCCAGCCCTACTATTCACAACACTGCTGCTACCGAGGCCTAGGTATGTAAACGTTTAAGGAGTTTTTTAAAAGTCTTTTAACATCAAGCTAGGTTTTAAAAGAATTCAGATTCAGTTTGGTTTAATTACAGGGTATTGTATGTGTTATCTTTTTGCTTCATAGGGATTTTCTAAGTAAAATATTTATACTTATGGTAGATTGGGGGAAAAAGCTTTGGATGATAACAGTATGCTGCTTCAGTGTTCAAACTATTTCTAAATGATGGCTGGGCTTTATTCATTAACTAGGTACACCTGGGACAATTAATATTATTGACTGTTTTAACATTGCCTTCTTTTTATTTTGCAAGCTAAGAAGAGATACCAGTGAACCTAAATAGTGGACGAAAACAGGAGTGTTCTTTTTTTTTTTTTTGGAGGGGGGCACAAGGGCCACTGTTTTAAAACTGCCATTCGACTTATTTGACTTTTAAAATACTGTTATGTTTATATGAAAATATTTTAGAACATACACACTACAGTATGTATATAAGTATAGAAGCATTTAATTGCTATAACAGATCTAGAAGTAAAGTAAGCTTTCTTTCTTTAAAAAGTTACACTGAGTTTGTAGCCAAATTCTAACTATAAAATGGGGATATTTTACCTTTCTTTCTTTGGATAGGATCAGTTCTTAAGAGCAGCCCCAGTAACTGGAGGGATGGGAGCCGTTTTGATGAGAAAAATGGGCTGGAAAGAAGGAGAAGGATTAGGAAAAAACAAAGAAGGAAATAAGGAACCTATCCTAGTTGATTTTAAGACAGATCGAAAAGGTAAGATTTTTTATTTTTTGTAGAATGTTTATTATACCTCCTTTAACATTTAGGGTTTCATTACTATTATAAATTCATAAGTTCTTCTGATGTCAGGGATCTGGAACTGGGGGCACTTCTTATAGTACATATACAGTTAGGAAAAAAATGTTTAACCCATTTTGAAAGCTTTGTACACATAGTAGGTGGAGTCACTAATTTTGAGGGTAAAAGGCAGCCTTTGTTAATGTGTAATACATGATTTAGGCTTTTAATTAGATTTCATATTTAGAAAGTAACTATGTTGCCATTTTGTTCTATATTGGAGTGAATTTATTATATTGTTACTCAAAAATAGACTAGAAATAACACAATCCTATAATGTAGTACTAGTGCAAACATTAATTTAGAAAGAGAAATTGAATGTCACACTGACATTGTACTGCTTTTATACAGGCTGAATAGATTCTTTGTTAACAGAGGGTAGTTTATTGGTAGAAAACATCTGTGGGAACACTGCATAATTCTAGGGAATAGTCCTTTGGAATTGTGCAGCATGGCCTAGTTTTGGGAAAGCATAGTGGCAGAATTTGTGAAGAATTCTCCCTAGGCTAAATGGAAAGCATTGATTTTAGATAGTGATATAGCTAAGCCCCTTTTGGAAAGGGAGGCCGAGGCTGGCATCTCTTCAGTACATATCACATTTGAAATCAGAAAGGGCTTGTTTGCTGGAAAAAGAAATGGAGAGAGCCTTTTTAACTTTTCCCACTTTGTTTTGGCCTAAAGTCCTTGAATTTGGGGGCGCATACTTAAACTGAGCATCATTTTTTAAGGGATGAGAAACCTTTAGAAATCACTTGCGAATAGCCACTATTTTTTTTTGCCACTAGTTTTTAAGCAGATCTAGAGCAGTTAATTGTGGCAATTTATATATGTATTCACATATTGTTTTTCTGAACATTTTTATAGTTTCTAATAAGATAAATGAAGTTTGGATATATGTATAGAAATGTCAAAACAGATTTGTATAGAAATGAAGAGTAGGGAGTGTCTGTTGAATATTCTGTTTGAGGGCATGGATTGAGGTTAAGGTTCCTACAGAGGGAGTAGTTGTTTTGCCATATTATAATTTTAAATGTTTTGAAATTTATTCATTGATCGTTGATTTTTTTTTTTTTTTTTTAAGGTCTTGTTGCAGTAGGGGAAAGAGCACAAAAGAGGTCCGGAAACTTCTCTGCTGCAATGAAAGATCTATCAGGTGAGAGTATGATTTTGAATTTCCTCTTGTCCCACCCTCCCCTTGAATTCATAATTTGTTGCCACAGATGTGGAGATAATTGTTTATTTTTTTTCTCTGCAGGCAAACATCCTGTGTCTGCCTTGATGGAAATCTGTAATAAGAGAAGGTGGCAACCACCTGAATTTCTCTTGGTCCATGATAGTGGCCCTGATCATCGCAAACATTTTCTCTTTAGGGTAAATATGAATTTTTGCATTAATTGTATACATCGGTTAATTTGATAACTTAATGTTAGAGGGTGAGGGATCAGCATTCTGTGATCACAGGGTAATGTTTGTGGGCTGGGAGTGTGAATATGTGTGGGTAGAGTGGTAGAAGTTTTAAACATTTAAGTATGCTTCCCTAGTTTTTCAATATTTGGAGGGAAAGATGTGGGCACAATCTGGTGAACAATTTGTTGACCTTTTCTAGTGGAACATGGGGAATTAAGTAGTTTTTAATCAGGTTTTTTCTTTCCCTTCAATTTGGAGACCTGCTTTTAAATTTGCAGTCCCTTTTCCCAGATGATTTGCTTCTCTTGGGGTGAGATTAGACTCACATAGTATGGGTTTTGTAAGTTATTTTTCTAGCATTTAGTGAAAAAAATACAAAGCTAATAGATAATAAAGTTTGATGCTGTTCTTATTGTATGTTTTTCTTGAATAGGTATTGAGAAATGGAAGCCCTTACCAGCCCAATTGTATGTTTTTCTTGAATAGGTATTGATAAATGGAAGCGCTTACCAGCCCAGCTTTGCCAGCCCTAATAAGAAGCATGCTAAAGCCACAGCAGCTACTGTGGTTCTTCAAGCAATGGGCCTTGTACCAAAGGACCTCATGGCTAATGCCACTTGCTTCAGGAGTGCCTCACGTAGATAGATTGAGGTTTTATATTAATCATTTCAGATAATTTTACTCTGCATCAAAATGTATTTCCTCTTTAATGTTGTAAATATTTGGCAATTTAAGACATTGTGTAAAAAAAGCAATCTGTACAAACATCTCCAGGCTTTGATTTTTGTACCATGGAAATTGTATTTAACCATACAGGGTTTTGGTATGTTTATATTGTTTACCTTAGTGATGTATTTGTTTAAGTGGCTAACATCCAAACGACTGTTTGAAGGCATCCGTAATCTTCAGTGTGGAATGTTAAAAATAACGCTTTTATACTGTATTTTGTACTATGATGTAACTCCCCTTCCTTATGGCTAGGCTGCTGTAACACTTGCCTGTAATCAGTGAAGGGCTGTGCACCTTGTACTAGTTCACAATGGGTTCTGCTGGACAGATACTGGGCCAGTGTTATTGCGTTAATCAAGCAAGATCTGTTCCGCAGGGCTAATGCCACCACCTCCCCTTTCAAATTTTGTAGAGGTTATGAAAAAGACAGTGGTTGTTGTGTGACGATGAGCACTGAGTCCTGCGTTTCTGTCAGAGCCACTTGGGCCGTGATGAGAAGGGAGTAAAAATGAAGTCTGAATAGAATTTTACCGCAGAGGCCAAGTACATTTAGTATGGCATTGAGTTGTGATATAGTTTTACTTTGATGTGCATTTTGAATTTCAGCTACACCTAGATAGACGTAAAATGATAATTAAAATGCTGTAACCAACTTACCTAATAAAATCGGCACCCAGCCACTATTTTGTTGACTATGAGAAAGTTTAAGTTTATGTTAATTTTTAGGGTCTGATAGAATATTTCATGTGTATTACAGTGGTATTCATATGCTATGTCTCTAAACTTTATTTTCAAAAGCTTAAGGCCCAAATATAAACTTCTCTGGAATAAATGTGGTGTTTTATTTTCTGGATTACAAAGTGAACACATAATTCTTCTCTAATGTTACTTCTTTACCCAATGCTTTTGATTTCTAAGCACTTTTATTTAAGAAAATTTGAATTATATATGTATATATATACACACAGACACACAAATAACCTACAAGAACATATTAAATACTGCTTTGTCATGACAGCTGAGCAAACTTTACAACCCTTGACCCTATTCTATACGAATATAAAATACCCTAATCGGAATGAACATGCATTAAAACAAGTATTTGAGAACAGAGGAATCATAAACAAGCAGGAAAACAACTAAGGCAGAAGCACCATCAGTCAGCTCAGATAAGCTGTCTGTCTCCTAAGTCAACTGTTAGTTTTGCCCCAATGCTGTTACAATGTCTCAAGATAATTGATACTAAGCCTCAATTTCTATTTGCAATGAAACACTCATTTTTCTACCCAGTTTATAATTAGATTAATGGATCTAGAATTTTCATTCAAGATTTAAATAAGTTTTATCTTCATATCTGAATAGTGAATCAAAAGAGTAAAAACAAAATGATTTTAAAACCTTAATCCTATTTTTATGCTTAGTGCATGTAATAAAAAGTTACTGTGAAAGGTTAATATTTGTAAACATTTGGATAACTTCCAAAGTGAACTTTAAAGCCAAAGGTATAATAAGAATCTTGGAATTTCCTTGCTAGAAGGGTTTTTTCCTCACAGATTCCTTTTAGGCTTACTTTGGTGTTCAGGATCTCCAATTATAAATGTAGTCACTCATTTCCACATGCCGTAAGGACAGTTTCCCCAGTATCGGTGTTTGACAAAGGTGGTCCAGAGTTTTAGGGTGCAATCCACAGTTGGCAAGCTCCTTGTGAACAGCCTCCTGTGAAAATTTGTAAGGAACTCAGTAAAAAGCATGAGTATGAACAGATGAGTTTTTAAAATTACCATGGGATCTTTGACAGATGCCTCATTCATGATTATAAAGGCAAATTTATCATCAATAGAAGCTCACCCTGAGAATTTCTACACAATGACAGCATCCCAAAATACTAGTTTTGGTTATTTTTATAAGTGGCAAACTGATAAGTTTAAAAGGTCTTATAAATAAAAATCTACATATTCAAAATTAAAGGTAAATATACTTCAGTTTTTAAAATGTGTGGGATACATATCTAGAAACTTCTGTATCACCTGAAACTTACCAAGTAGCTCTCCCCCCACCCCCTGCATCTAAGAAAAATTTAAACATGGAAAAAAGGCACGGGGGTTAAGTAACATCCATAATTATTAATCTTCCAATAATTTATAAAAGGAATCAGGTACTGTTAAGTTCTGCATCTGAAAGGACAATGAAAATAATGTGCCTTTTGTTAGGGAAGTTCTTTAGTAAATGTTTCCTACTACAGCGTGAATTCATAGAATTTATCTCCTCAAAAAAACTTAAGTCATTTTCCCCTTCCTTTTGCTAATTAATACTTAGTACAGTTTAATAACTTAGAACACCAGTTTGGCTCATCACAAATGACTGATTTCCTCCATCCATGTAGTTTGAGGGCTTCTCTGATAGCTCAGTTGGTAAAGAATCTGCCTACAATGCAGGAGACCTGGGTTCAGTCCCTGGGTTGGGAAGATCCCCTGGAGAAGGCAAAGGCTACCCACTCCAGTATTCTGGCCTGGAGAATTCCATGGACTTATGTAGTCCCTGGGATCGCAAAAGTCAGACACAACTGAGCGCCTTTCACTTTTATGTAGTTTGAGAAGACTACAACTAAATTTCTTCACCAGCTGTCTACTTACCTTATCTAGTACTTCATCCTTTGGTGGGCAGATGTTAAATACAGCAGTTGGCTCATGTGTGTACAGTCCTGCAGAAAAGGACCCATTCTGTGAAGACTGGAGTAGCATCGTCACAGAGTGTAGAGAATGAGGCATAATGGGGCCTGTAATCTCCAAGCTAAACTGATCTCTGTATCCAGAAAGAGCTTGTGTCTTCACATTCACACTTCGAGCCTTCAAGAAAATTTTAAAGAAAGTTATGGTACCATCTCTCAAGCTTTTGTCCCCAGTTAAAAATGTGATCACTAACTTCTCATTTGGGCATCCCTCTCTAACAGGGGACAAAAGTAGTTTATAAGGTCCACCACAAGAAAGTTTGATGAGTAAACCTGTTCAGAAATTGTCAGCTTCCAGCATCCTGTCCTCCAAATTATGAGACTGTCAATGGAAGTACTAGTTCTAGGGAAAATAACTTCCAGTAATGGTATCCTTTGTGATTTATTAACGCACAGTCAATGCATAATATTAGGAAAATAAAAATTAAGATTCTGTTGCTGTTGTTCACCATGTAATTCACATCAAAACTTCATGTGTATTTCTTCAACAATATGGAAAGAGTTTCTTTTCACTTAACCATGATCCAGTTTTTGAGACCGCCTATAATTAGAACATGGGGCTTCCCCTGTGGCTCAGTGGTAAAGAATCCACCTGCCAAGGCAGGAGATGTGGGTTTGATCCCTAGGTTGGGAAGATCCTGTGGGAAAGGAAATGGCAACCAACTCACAGTATACTTGCCTGGAAAACCCCTGGACAGAGGAGCCTGGTGAGGCTGTGGTCCATGGGGTCAGAGCGCTGGGCACACTCAGTGACTAAACAATAATGATTTAACGGAGCACTCTTGGTTGGCACTGTTCTTTCAGTGCTTGAGAAAGACGAAATGAAATTAAGCAACTTTTCCTATGGCAATAATTAAAATACAACATTTCAAATAATTTAGTTCATATAATTCCTTTGAGACAACTTTATATCAACGAATTTTTTTACTCGCAGGAAACAAAATGTGCACCATATAAAAAAGTTGTGATTTAGTCACTCAGTTGTGTCTGACTCTTTACGACCCCATGGACTGTAGCCCTCCAGGCTCCTCTGTCCATGGGATTCTTCAGGCAAGAGTACTGGAGGGGACTGCCATTTCCTCCTCCTGACCCTGGGATTGAAACCCGTGTCTCCTGCATTGCAGGCAGATTCGTTACCACTGAGCTACCAGGAAAGCCCCTGTAAAGAAGTTGAGCTATTAAAAAAACCAAGAATTTATCCTATTAAAAAAGGGGGAAATACATCTTTAGAAGTTAGGTGATGACAATTAGTACAGAATTTCTTTCTTTTTTATTACCTTAAGCATTTGCATCGTGGCACCTCGGAAGGCTACTGGGGACAAGAGGGTTGGTGGAAGTCCTGCCTGTGGACCTGAGGTAGCAATTAAACTCTTACAGTTGATCAAAAAATTTAGCAGTGTAAAGGTATTCATTCCCTTCACAAACACAACAGACTCTGGTCTGTGATCCATTTGTACTTCATGTATCTCTTTACGCCTGAACATGACAATCAAGGAAATTACAAGTGCAAATCCCATACCAACAGTAACAGCAGTTATCTTGACTCACCAGGAACCCTTTTCCCTACTCCAAATGAAATGCTCTTGCTAATTCTCTTCACTGCAATCATGAAAGTGAAGTGAAAGTGTTAGTCGCTCAGTCAGGTCCGACTCTTTGCGACCCCATGGACTGTAGCCTGCCAGCTACGTTGTTCATAGGATTCATCAGGCACGGGTATTGAAGTGGGTTGTCATTTCCTTCTCCAGGGGAATCTTCTCGACCCAGGGATTGCACCCAAGTCTCCTGACTGCAGGCAGATTCTTTACCAACTGAGCCGCCAGGAAAGCCCTTGCAATTTTAAGGCATCCTAATAAAATCATTTCTTCATGACCATCTGAATTTGCTAGAAATTGATTCTGAGAAAAATGAATTTCTTCTCTAGTCAAAAGTCCATTCCATTCCCCTCCCCAAATTTAACCAAAATGGAATATTTTTACTTAAAAAAACTTTAATTTTTCTTGTTTTATTGCTCTTAGGGGTTTGCTTTTTAATGTCATGTGGGAAGTAAGTTTGAATATGATCTTAAGGATACTTTAAGATAATAGTAAAAGGAAACTTTCAGGCAATATTACATTGCTCAAGAGAATTCTCTAGTGGTCCAGTGGTTAGGACTCTGACCTTCCACTGCAGGGGCCATAGGTTCGATCCCTGGTCAGGGAACTAAGATCCTACATCCTCATAAAAAAAAACCAAAAAACAATTACATTGCTCACTAACTGAATTCAATGAAAATCAATTTGAGTTAACAGTAACTGAAAGGATATAGCTTGATAGAAAGTACGTCTGGTTTTTTAATTTTATCTTGCACACCCATCTCTTCCAGCCAGGAAAAACTTTCTTCTTCATCCTCATCACTGACGGCTTGCTCCCTAGGACATTGCTACTGTTAGTTAGGGTTCACATTTCATAAAGATGTTTCCTCTACATTGAATCTTTAAGTCACACAGATGATGTAAAAGTTTATCTTAATCACATACTCCCCGTGTCGCAAGCCTGTTCCAGACACTTTCCTCTTCTCATGGCCATTTTCTTTTATTAAAGGCAGAGAAAACTCAATACCTACGTGAGAAAAGAAAAATGTAACTGTGTTTTATTTAATATACTCTGAAAGAAATAAGTCTTGTTGACTTGTACAGAGTATTTGAAAATGAGTTTCTACACTTGATCATTAAAGCAGTGTTTTCCATGCTTTCTTGACAGCAGCTCACAATACCTACATATCTCCTTGAAACAAATGGTTCAGGACAATACATATTCTCACTACACTTGGTAATCTTTCATCGAGTATATATTACTCTATTTCATTTTTTTTTAAAAGTGCTGAATACAAGTCCACTAAATAGACTTCATGATCTACTAATGTGTTGACAAAGTTAAAAGATCAAGTTATTAAAAAAAAATCAAGTTATTAGAAGAGTGTAGATAATTTGTACTATAAAAGAAGTTCTACAGGAGTATATTAAGATTGGGACTTTCCAGCTTGACATGTTTAGAGACTAGAGAACGGAATGTAACTTAAAGCTATGTACACTGGATAACTTAATTAAATGCTAAGAAAAAAAATTTAAAAAGTGAAGAAATGAAGTAATTCTTAAAGTTAACAAGATAAAAGTGGTAAAAGATAATTCAACTGTTAGAAGACAGTTCAAATTTTAACTTTTAAGGTGTCTACTATACAGTTTGGTATTCTCACTTTAAAGGCATAGTTTTACCTTCATTTTTCATAGCTTCTCTTATACCTCTAGTTGTAGGAGATATGAGAGCCGTGATTACATCATCTCCTGCTAATCCTGCTGCACGGAACAGGATAGTAAACTGATAGGTACAAACGTAGAAATAGGGGCAAAGTTTTGTCTTCAGCAGGTTATATAGAGAAGTAAAGCTCACAGACCTATGAAGAAAAATATTTTTCTTTAGGCATTATTAAAATGTCAACTCACTGTTGAAAATTTTTATATCACTTGATCCTTACCTGATTTTAAACACAATTATTACAGGTAATGGTCTGAATTTTTCTCATGACACAGAACTTGGCTTTTTAAAGGACTGAAATTGGTCACGGGACTCACTGATGAATTTTAAATACTTCAACAAGTAGCATTTAACATTTAAATGCTTGCCATTTTTTCTTTATAGACAAAGCAGTTGATATCAGGTTGCTGACTTTTAATAAGCAGCTTCTATTGATGAGAAGGGACACAGCCATTAACAATAAGTAATATTAAAGAATTATGTCTCTATATAGTCATCAAACACTTATATACATTCCATAACTACATAAAGAGAGAATAAGCTGGGAATCCCCTGTCAGCCTAGTGGTTAGTACTCCTGGCTTCCACTGCAGGGTGCATGCGTTCTAACCCTGGTTGGGGAACTAAGATCCCACAAGCTTTGCAATGCAGCCAGAGGGGGGGAAGAAAAGAAGTGAATAAGAGCTAAAGAAGTAAACAATTTGAGAAAAAAAACTCTTGGCGGGGAGTGGCCTGCACTATGCAAAATGCAGGATCTCAGTTCCCTGACCAGGACTGAACACAGGCTACGAGCCCTAATCAGTGGACTGCCAGGGAATTCCCCAAAGGTAAACAATTTAAATCAGTTTAAATTGTTAGCCATGGCTGTTTTTTTTCAGTCACTAAGTCACGTCCGACCCTCTGTGACCCCATGGACTATGCATGCCAGGTTGCCTTGTCCTTCACTATCTTTAGGAGTTTACTCAAATTCACATCCATTGAGTCAGTGATGCTATCTAACCAATTCATCCTCTGCTGCTCCCTTCTTATGCCTTCAACCTTTCCCAGCATCAGGGTCTTTGCCAATGAGCCGGCTCTTAGCATCAGTTGGCCCAAGTATTGGAGCTTCAGCATCAGTCTTTCCCATGAATATTCAGGGTTTATTTCCTTTAGGATTGACTGGTTTCATCTCCGTGATGTTCAACGGACTCTTAAGAGTCTTCTCCAGCAGTTAATCATTAACATTTTAATAAAATAATTCAGAAGGACAGAGAAATCCATCTACTAATGCCCAATCACACATCATAAATAAGGAAAGAATACTGCTAAAATGAAAATTCACTATGGGATTCACGAATTTTTATTCATCTTACCAGTCACTCATTAACACGTGTTGCAGGGTTTCATTGTTTAACCACGGAGCTGTCTTTCCAGCCATTTTTCTGTCAGCCCCAATGCGAGGGAACAATGGCAGCCAAGACAAGGCAGGGTGGAGCCAGTAGATGAGGCTCTGCTGGAAAGCACAGCGGAGCTCAGCCGAGAGTTTGGGATCCTAAAATCCAAAGATGGTATCGGACAGTTTTTGCCCCATTAGAAACACAGAATTTAATTAAAAGGACACTGAATATACCAAACATTTATTCTTCTGTAAGAATGTGTTAATAACAGTTACAGAGGCTAAAGTGTAGTTTATTATTGTTTGGGAAAACCTTCCTTGCCAGTAATTATAGTCTGTTAACCCACAAATCAGAAAGGACACCTGGACATAGATAGAAACATTTGCCTGTCTCTACCATCCTTGAGAACAATGATGATCATTTTTTACCACCAGGGCAGCGGTGCGTGTGTGCAGGTAACACTGTATTCAACTCCTTTGCCTCAAAACTCTTTCAAAAGTAGCCAGTAAAAACCGACAGTCCCAATCACAAATCACCAGGATCTATTGATTAAAAAAGAGGTAACCAAGGTAATCTTTTAACCCAGTTTGAGTTGAGCTGCTTGAAAGTAATGGTAATTACATTTGTAAAAATCTTTCTAGAACTCATTAACTCTACTAAATTTACAACAGACTGTCTCCCAAGCGGGTAAGAGTTAACGCATTTAAAAAACGCAGTATACAGTATATGAGGAAACCAGTAAAATCTCGTTGCAATCCTACTCCTCAATTGCTTTTCATTTTGTTCTTTTTTTTTTTTTTTTTCGCAAAAGGCCTTATAAAGAATAGTTTAGTTCAAACAATTCTTGCCTGCAACAATGAGTAAGTCTCAGGACAGGTCTATAAATCTAACAGTTACTCAGTATGATTTAAAGAAGTATATGAACGCGGAATTTGGAAAATAAAAAAATTCCCCATGTCTCTGTGTCTTTAAATGTCCAAAGAAAAACTTAATGGAAGGAAATATCACTGACAGTTTGCAGAGAAGTACTTTTTAGACTTCATTTGTTACTTTAAAGCATAGCTATTTTCTCACAGGATTACCTGTATACTTTGAGGCAAAGTAACTTCTGTTGCCCTGCAATGCTGGATGATACCTTGAGCCTCTTCCTGGGCTTTCAGATGATCTGCCCAGGTAAAGGGTTGAGAAGAGGTGAAAAGGAGTCGTGTTTTAATGCTCCAGTCCACAGGTAACTCGGTACTTTCTGAGTGTGGAATAGCAGATTCGGAGAATGATACATGAGGAGTCTTTAGAAAACAAAGAACACGAAAATTAGTAGAGCACCAAGGGAAGAACCCTCCAATCTACAGGAGTCATCCACTAGACATGCTTATGATTACTGAAATCTCAAAATGTTATGAACTGTACAATAGATAACACTGAAAATTAACTACACACTGTGAAAATGTCCAGAAAGAGCTACACTCAACCATTAACAGCGATGTTATCTCTGGGAAGTGGGAATTTGTTGTTGTTGGGGGTGGTGGTAGTGTTGGAAAAGGCAGTGTTCACTTTCATTATAGTTCTACATAGTTTAGTCACAAGAAAAACACTATTTTCATGATTATAATTTTAAAAAATCTGCTATTGATACTGCTGTCAAAGCATAAATCTTCCAAGCATTTTTTCAAAAGCACTTTTTAGCTTCCAAAACTCTGGAACCAGGGCTAAGCTGCTCCTTGCAGGTAACCTGGCCTCTAAATCAGCCTCTAAGGCTGATTTAAGAAGCATTTGCTGACCTCAAAAATTCCTCCCAAACTGTCTGCTGTCAAGTCACTATTCTCTATATTACAATGATTTTTTTTTAAGTGATGTTATTTAAAAATAATAGGAAAGGGGGAACTATTTCCAAGGGATCTGAAGGCAATTTACTTGCAAGGAAGGAAACTGGGTCTTGGGGGAACTCTTCTAGCCTGCTCCCCTCTGGACAAACGTCACCAAGGAAGTAGCTGAGGAATGGGGTCAAGAGGAGCGTGTGGTGTTGAGGGGGTAGGACAGAGGTTCAGTGATATGCCACCACCTGTGGAACTAATCTGGGGATTTGGTTTGAAGATTCAGGGTGGGATAAGCCTGGAGGCACTAGTTCTGAGTGATGTTTTGGACTTGTCACTACCAATGAAAGAATGAAAAAGAAACCTCACCTCTACATCTGCTTTAGCACTGGTACCGTGATAAACTGTTACTACTACATACTACATCCTTTACCAAGGCTGATGCCGGATGTCCTTTCACGTCTAGTAGAAATGATCACACAAGGCTCTCTGGTAAAAGATTTCTCAAGTAAAACGCTTCTCAGCAGTCTGAATTTATAAAAATATACATTCTAAGCATTACCTGGTGTAATTCTGTAATGGCTGTTCTTTCAGGAACCTTCTCTTCCCAGAGCAAATCATTTTCTTGATTAGAATCTAAAAACTGAGGTGAAAAAAATGGTCCTTTTAAATTCTAAATGGTGCTAGAGTTCGCTTTAAACCTGCAGAGTTTCACTTGGCATACAAGTTTCTCAGTCAGCCCAGGAGCCCAAATCAGTGTGACAGAGAGTGTCACTTCAGCTTTGTGTCTGAACTTTAACCATCAAAACGCACGAGGAAGACGGCAGGTGGTCTGCACAACTGGTAACTCAATAATCTCCACTCAAAAGATCCAAAAGGTTTTGGAGTAAGACAAATCATTTATGGGGTAAATTCTGACCCCCTGATGAATCCTTACCATTCCTCCAAACCCAGAATAATTTGGAGGACGGGAGAGGCACTGAATGCCGCAGGGAAGAGGGTCCTGTATTCTTGCCCAAACGGGGGCCTTCCCCGGTGGCTCCAGGACGACTCCGAGCCACGTGCCCACTGACCTCTCACCCTTCTCACTCCACGGCGACCGCCCAGGCTCCGCAGGCCGGGCACCGGACGGAAGCGCGGGAGATGCAGGGTCCGCTCCTCGGGACCGACCGGCCCCGCACGCCCCGCGACCGCTCGCGGAGCGACCTTCACGCCGCCCCCCACTCCCCACCCCTGGGCACCCCGAGGCCGCGGGAGACTTCAACTGCGCGCCCATTTCCCTCTCGGGACGCGAGAGCCCGCCAGCCCCACTTCACGGCCGAATCGACCCCCGGACTGTTACGAGCCCCCAACCCTCGGCTCCCAGGCGCGAGGAAACTCACCGGGCCCGGCGCCTCCTGCTGGCCGCGAGGCGGGCCCTCGAGAGGTTCGGCGGCGGCCCGCGGCCGGTTGTCCAGGCGGGCGAAGGGGTTTCTTCGGGCCCCGGCCGGGCCGCCGCCGCCGCCTCTGCCCGCCGCCGGGAATGGGCGGAGAGGCAGCCCGGCCGCGCGTGCAGCGCGGCGGGTCGCCGGCTCGGGTCGCTCCGCGGGCGCCGAAGCGGCGCCGAGGCTCCGACCCCTTTTTCGTCGGAGCCGCAGTGTCTCGGGCGGCCTTTTAAAACTGGGCGAGTAGCCGGGTACCGACAGAGCCATGACGCACGGCGGAGTCCGAGGGGGCTGACCCGGCCAGCGCTTCCCGCGCACCCGGGCTCCGCCTCCGCCGTGACCCCGCCCCCGAGCCGCTCATGGCGCGTGCGCGGCGAGGCGCTCGCGCGGGCCCGCCCCCAACATGTTCCTCCCGCGGCGGGAAACGCGCTGCTGTCGTGTGTGTCCCAGGACGTTTCCCGGGCGCGCCAGCCTGACCTCCCGGGGCTAGGTGGCTGGGAAGCACGCCGGGAGAGCCGAGTGCTATTTAAATCCTCAGCGAGGCGCCAGGAAGAAAGGAAGCGTCACACTTGAGCTGCCGCTTCGGTAAGCTTCCTGAGCTCAGCGGCGACGTCCAGGGCTGCGGAGAGGGGCCTGGGCCTCTCCTCCCGACCCCCCCAAAACGGCACGCCGCCTCCCGCCCGCGGCCCCAGCCGGCATCGCCGCTGCAGCCTTCCACGCAAACACCGCAGCGGTCACGGGCGCGTTACCGTGATGCTCTGGTGCCATTCTGAGGAAACCCTGGAGTGAATGAATATTTGAAGAAAAAAAAATTTTAGCTTTCTCTTGACTAGATCCTTTCATACTTGGAAATATAGTCTAAGTATTAAATTACGACAACAAAAGATGTTTAAAGAAGGTAAGTATTGAGAAAGGAGATGAATAGAAAATAACGGTATTTTGACAAAGCAAGACTCCCAACAGCCTTGTCGACATAGTGTGGATTCCGATGACAGTTTTTCTTCATGTAGAGAATTTATAAGAGGCAAATATATAGGGACAATAATTTAAAAGGCTTTCAGAATATTCCCTTTAGATGTTAAATTTTACAACTGTCTCGACCTGTACGATAATTTTTTTCAGATGCTTTTCAAATACTTCAAATATGAGCATCTTGTTTCAGCACGAAAATATGCTTAAAAACACAAAACTTGCTTTTAGGTTCCTTGACTTTTATGAACAATTTCCAAGAAAGCTCTGGCTTCAAATACTGGAACTGGTTCATCCACCTGAGGTCTGAGAGAGAACGTTAAAACTGAACAACTTGCTTCTTTCTTCCTTGATTTTTCTGAACAACTTCCATGGTGACTTTTGCCTCGTATAGTGGAATGGGTTCATCCAACTGAGGTCTGAGGAAGAATGAAATTATTAGAAATGTCTAGTTAAGGATGAGGAGAGTACACAGCAGGGTAGTTGACAATTGCTGTAGTTCAACTGTTACTTTATATAAAATTTGTCCATTAATATTTTCACTATTAAAAGTGGTTAGATTTTGAAAGGGGAAAATACCCATTCTCTCCATTCCCTTTTTAAATTCCTCTTTTTTGATAAAACAGATTCAGCTGAAAAAAAATTGTACTTTTCTCTCCTGTCTACCTGTGGGTTATTTCAAATTGCTTTGGGAGGGGTGATGTGGATAAGTGAAGGGGCTGATACAGTATGGAATGGAGTAAAGAAAACTCATGAACCACTTCCATCTTAGGGAATACTGGTGTATCACAGGATACACTTTAGAAATATTAAACAGCAGCTGTTTATCTAAACAAAATGTAACATGGTGGCAACAAGTGTACTGAGAAAGCTGAAACCAAAATGGGAATGCTCATTTTATCTCTTGGAGAATAGAAAAATAAACAAGAACAATGATTTGGTCGTTCAGCATACCTAAAAACACCAGTTGATAACTTCTCCATCACGTCTTTTAAAATACGTAGCTGGAAAAGACTGTTAAGGTGACAATGTAAAGGAGTAAATAAAACTATCTGATAAGCAGAGGATGCTAGGCAGGTCACCTATTTTTGTAACGAATTCTGTAAGCTATCCAAGTCTACCTCTAAACCAGGAAAATGGGGGAAGTGATTTGAGAGAGATATTGACATAACAGAGCATAAAACTTCAAAGGACAAGTGATGAAAGAAGCCTGTTTCTCCTTAAGTAACGACTAGTGTTATCCCAAGTAGACGGTATTATTAACAGAATGGGTCAGGGTTTCATCTTAGCGCTACATATGGTATTTTTAATTAAAAACTTTAGCACTGACATTTCTTACTTTAGGAGCACATTTATTAAGCTAGCTGATATATGTATGCAAGAAAGTTAATCTCTGTGTCTAATATGTGCAAATAAGAAACTATAAAATTTAAAACTCTAGTCATTTAATTGAAATAATATTAGGGCTGAGAGTCTATATAACTGCTAGTACCGGGGAATTATTTATGGTGTATAATCACACAATTGGAAGCCTGTCTCTATAAATCATAAGCATCAACTGGCTCATGTGTGATGCAGTTGAGGGGGGTTTGCACAAGTGAGGACTAAAGTTTGATTCACGACTTTAGGAAATGTAAGAGAGAAAATACAAACATAAGCTACTTTGAAGATATTTTTTAAAGGACCTAAATTCACTCACAATTAAATTACTGCAAATTCACTTTCTTCTGTTAATGAAATTGACAATGGTATGTGTAAGTGTGTGTGTGTATAAATATGTATTTCTGATTTTTGAAAATTTAACATTTCTAATAAACATGTCATATTTCAACTTGGTCCATGAGTTTGTCAGATAGGTTAAAATCTTATGGTGTGGGGGAAAGGAGAGCAGTTGAGAGAATTAAATAATGGAGGCAGAACAGCCAGCCTGCCTTCTGACATGTAAGAGTCAAAACATGCTAACTTGTGTTACTTTTAATACAGTGTATCTATAATTAACATCCCATGGTATTCTTGAGAATTACAATGTTATTGGACATTTCATTATTTAAAGCTGAAATTTAAATAATTCTTTTAGAGAGTTAAAAATTAAGTTTATTTTCCAAATTTAATAGGAAAACATTTAATCAAAAATAAACACATTCACTACATTAAAGGGTTCTGGTTTTGAAATGAACTCTTTAAAACTCAAAATATGCAATATACTGATTAAATACTACGATTTGAAGGCTCTGAAATAAGCTTGCCATAGATTTTAGAGGAGGCTGGCCTTGTACATAGCATGCATATATAACAACGTGCATTTGATAAAAATAATGATATTCAGTGAGACATGTAAGTCTCTTCATGCATAATTATACTCTATTCAGTAACGAGAACATATTAATATTTATCCAATATATTAATATTAAAAATTTTACCAAGTACAGCTGCCTTTAAGACAGGCATCTCAGAAACAAAATGTTTATTCTTAAATTGAGCCTGCTCTAAAGAGGTTTGGACCTTTCTTTCAGAACTGCTTTCAGAGTCTCAAGAAAACTTGATTACTTTTACTAAAATGGAGTGATTCGATTTTATACTCGATTTGTTACTGAATCACTTCCATTAAAAATAATCCATCTTTCTTTGATAAAGATTTCCTAGCACTGATATTCTTAAAAACAGCCCCCCCTCAACTCTTTAATTTAGATGAATATTTTGAAATGTTTTGCACAGTGGTGCCGCCATAAGAGTACAGATGTAGTCTTTTAAGGTGACCTCTGATTTTCTTGAGGCCAGATTAAAATGAAGTAAATTTTTCCATGTCTCCTATAGTTTGATTTCTTATTCAGAAACGAATGAGACAGCTTGCGTGTGATTCCTGTCCTGGCACTTGCCAGCTGCATCGTTGGTGTGTATTAACCTTTCTATCCTTCTGTTTCTTTACTTGTGACAGAGGGATAATAATAGTACTTAAATTTCACAGGGTTGTTTTCATTTTTTTTTTCTTTATTTTTAACCACTGCAATGATGTAAAGTAATGTTTTCATATTTAATTAAGTACCTACAACACACTTGGAACTTTGGCATGTTCAATGAAAGTTAGCTGCTATTATTATTAACTATTATCATTATTAAAGAATTTAATGATGAGAATACAAGGTACATTTCAAGCCAGAAATTCAAATCAGTAGGAAAAAAGGATATAAAGATACTTTCCCTGTTGTACATTTGACAGATTCCAAACTTCATCATTAAGGAAAGCCACTGCTGCTCCCTTGAGGAAAAGGCAATGACTATCTGGAGGATCCAGCTTGGATAAAATGAACAAAGAACGCTCAGTTACTGTGAGTTTCATAGCAGGAGAATAATTGGTATCTTAGGTCAGAAAAATTTTAATACAAAGTAATACCCAAATCGCAAGTAATCAGCACACAGACTTTAGTAACAGTATGTACACTGTAATGTTTTCTTTCTAATTCATTGTCCAAAATTATCAAACAGCAAGGTCAAAATGCAAGGCCAATCCAGAGGTGATATAGTGGTATTGGGGGTGGGGTGGGGTGTGTGTGTGAGTTGGGGTGTGTGTGTGTGTTAGAGGTGTGTGTGTGTGTGTGTGTGTGTGTGTGTGTGTGTGTGTGAGATTTCTAGCTGCTACTCACCAGTCGTTTTCATGAGGAAGTTAGAAAATCATCGAAGACTGGAACATGAGAATTCTGGTATGTGAATATCACCATAATAAAAATCCTTGAATTTTGCTGAGAAATATAACTTTGGAAGACTACACACACACAGAGTAAATTCTAATTTGAATAATTAAGAAATTGTCATTTTATATAGAAATATTTTGCTAAGTATATGTCAACATGAATGTTACTAAGGAAAAAAAATCTTATTTGAAATACTATTAAAAAATTCAGAAGTCATTATTTCCAAACCACTAAATAAAAGTTAAATGAACTCCTCTGCTATATTTCAACTATATTTCAACATCTTGGCCAACAGCTAAAGTTAAAAAAATAAATAAAAGCTATATTTCTTTAAAAATAGGAAATAATTAAAAATTTATACAAATTTAGCCATACCATGTTAAAAGACTTAGGCATTATTCTTTGTTAATTATATCCTATTGGTGGAATAGTAATACTTTATTGTTTCTGTTAATACCTGCAGGTTTTCTTCTGTTGTTACCCAATGGCCTCCAACACCAAGAAGGGTGATGATATCATGTTTATGTGGTAGTAGTTGTAATTTTTCAGCTGGTTCGTCATCTTTACTATATAACCTCACTTACAGAGGAATTGTTTAAAAAGAAAGAGAGGAAGAGAACATATATTTTATAGTAATCTGATAAAAATTTATTCTTCAAACTAGTTCTCTTTACTTTTAATGTAACAAGGAAGCATTTTTCTTAGAACAAGGTAACATATGATGTGTTCAGACACCTTAAAATACACTTTTGCATTAAAACTGTTAATAAAATTTACTTTAGATTTAATTATAAATGAGATAACTAAAGATAAAATGACCCTTTTAATTTGAAAATCAGACAAGGTAACAACACACACACAGCTAAGTCTGACTGTTTTAATCATACCATTGATAGCTTAATACTTTGGGAAGTTGACTTCTGAGTAAGGAATTTATAGATTCAAGAATGTCCTGCTTTGACATAATTATTGAAATGTCCATTTGAAAAGTTAATAAACTATACATTCACTTCCACTGAACTATTTTTCTGAGTTAATTTCAAATCTTGAAAATACTGGCTAAAATAAACAGCTATGGCCACAGCTCCATTTGTTATGATCTTAGAAGATAAATTCTAACAAAATATAAATAGAACCCCTTGGCAGGTTTGTGAATCCTATTCTTAAGGTGCAGTGGCACTACCTAAGTGTGTAGAGATTAGGTGTTAAATAGCTATTGGTTAAGCTACAAAAGTTCAAGGAAGGTAAAATGCAAAAAAAAATCTGCATTTTCCAAAAAGGGACTGCAGAAGTGCACCATCCCTCAGAGGGCAGCCATACATAGCAGAAACAAGTGACTGGCTGAGACCTGAACGAATCCAAGAACCTCTGAACCCATGAAGAATCCACCTGCCAATGCAGGAGACGCAGGTTCAATCCCTGGGTCAGGAAGAGCCCTCTGGGAGATAGCAATCCACTCCAGTATTTTTGCCTGGAAGATACCATGGACAGAGGAGCGTGGCAGGCTGCTGCTCACCAGGAGTTGGACGTGACTGAGTGAGTGAGCACAGCCAGCACAAGCACAACCAGGGAGGCCCCGGACGTCTTGTAGATCCTATAATCCCCGTGCCTGGACCTCACAGGGCGTCTCAGGCGGCACCATCGGTAGAGAAGTGAAAGTGAACGTCACGCAGTCTCTCTGAGGCCCCATGGAATTCTCCAGGCCAGCATGCTGGAGTGGGTAACTGTTCCCTTCTCCAGAGGATCTTCCCAACCCAGGGACTGAACCCAAATCTCCCACATTGCAGGTGGATTCTTCACCTACTGAACCACCAAGGAAGCCCCCAGAGGTAAAGAACTGGCCTGCTAATGCAGGAGATGTGAGACAAGGGTTCAGTCCCCGACTTGGGAAGACACCCTGGAGGAGGGCATAGGAACTCACTCCAGTATTCCTGCCTGGACAGGAGCTTGGTGGGCCATAGCCCATAGGGTTGCAGAGTCAGACATGACTGAAGCCACTAAGCAAGCATGCATACCTTTTTAAAAAGTAAGCATGTTCTCTCTTCCAACAATGCTTAAAATGGAAATAAAATGAAGAAGCTCCAATTCAAAACATTAAATAAAAAAAAAAACTCTCTGGAGAAGGCAACGGCACCCCACTCCAGTACTCTTGCCTGGAAAATCCCATGGACAGAGGAGCCTGGTAGGCTGCAGTCCATGGGGTCGCAAAGAGTTGGACATGACTGAGCGACTTCACTTTCATTTTTCACTTTTATGCATTCATTGGAGAAGGAAATGGCAACCCACTCCAGTGTTCTTGCCTGGAGAATCCCAGGGATGGGGTCGCACAGAATCGGACACGACTGAAGTGACTTGGCAGTAGCAGTGTGCATGCTTTGGAGAAACTCAGGAAACTGAGTCAGTGACTGCAATGGCCCAAGATATCACCTTAGATAGCATCTTCATCTAAAAACAAAACAGGGGCTTCCTGGTGGTCCAGTGGCTAAGACTGGACACTCCCAAAGAAGGAGGCCCCGTTTCAATCCCTGATCCGAAAACTAGATCTCCCAGGGAAAAAAAAAAAAAAACTCTCAACCTCAACCTAATAAATATATAAGTAATTACTTCCTGGTTACATTTTTTCCCAGAAATTTACCCATCACAATAAAAAAATGACAGAGATCACTGATTTAGTGAATACCCACCTCCAGCATCTAGGACAATGTCCACTCCAAGGCCACCCGTTTCTTCTAAACAGCTGTCAGTCACGTGGGCTTTCCCGTTAGACACATCGATCACTCGAGCTGCGAAGGACAGAAAGTCAGGCGACTGTGCTGTTCTCTATGTGATCAGCACAGCTCCCAGAAGAAGAGAAAGAAAAGCAACTCAATTTCTCGTCTCTGAAATGAATTAAATGGTTGAAGCAGTTATTAATTCCTGTTTTTGTTATTATCCTGTTTTTTCATCTAACCCAGTGTTGGTAAGAATCAGTTTAAATGAAGAAACTGGTACAGTCAATAAATTAAAATATGAGCATTCTATAGATAACATATTCCAAGGTTGATCTGTTGACACAGAGGACTGTTCTTTATAAGCTAAAGGGTGTTTTGCCAGAACTGAGACTCTCTAAACTGCAAATGTACCTATGTATTCAGATGTGAACTGAAAGATTAAACAATTTCTTAAGTATGTTCAGATTTAATAGAGGTCAGAGCTCAAAAGTACAAAGATCTATTCTGGATTTGGTACTTGTCTATTAGAGGCAGTTTTATCCTTTCTCAGTCACAGAAATCCCAACCTGTACCGGCATTCCCTGACTTGCCCTCTAAAACAAAAACAAAGAATCCTGAAGGTGAAAAAACAAAACAAAACAGGATTATTCTAAGCAGAGTTAGTGAAAATAAAACTAACTTTAACTGGTTGTTTTAAAGTACTCTATAAAGAGAACAAGCCAATGAGAACTGAAAGATCTCAGAATTTGGGGACTTCCCTGATGGTCCAGTGGCTAGACTATTGCTCCCAAAGCAGGGAGACCAGGTTCAATCCCTGGTCAGGGATCTAGTTAGATCCCACATGCTACAACTAAGAGCTGATGCAACCAAATATAATAAATATTAAAAAATCTCAGAATTTGAATTGGAAAATGAAGACACCTCTCTTTGTTTCATTTTTGTATCTTTGAATACCTTCTCATTACAGAAAATTCTGCTCAGAGCTGCTCAGATTTGAGGTGTAGTCTAGTACTGACTGAAGTCTTGAGGGTGGGGTGGGGAGACAGGAGGGAAGGGCAGGGTTAACCAAGAGGAAACTGCTCCTTGCCCACAGTACTATTTATGTTCCTCCCCTCCATTTTCAATTTCTTCTTTTTTTCTTATCTCCCTCCTTTGTCAATCCCTGTTTCAACCTTCTTTCCATTTCTTGGTTATCTGCCAAAAGCATAACATAACCATGGAAATAACCCAGGCTTTACTGTTAGACAGGCCTGGGTTCAAATTCCATTTCAGGTCTAGTGGTACATACCCTGGCACATCCTTGGACAAGATAAATTCTGAGATGCTGCTTCCCAGTTACTTGACACAGGGTTGTTGAGGATTTAAGGAACTATCATTCATATTAACACTCAGTGAATCTTACTTTCCTTCCTGCGGGGCTTTCACTTACACTCTGCTCTTTATCTGTTAATCTCCAATGTTAATTCTGTTAACTCCAGTCTACTAAATTCCATTCCCATCTCTCCATTTTATTTTGTCAATTTCTACTTTCTTTCTCTTTCCCATGTTCATTGCTTTTGGGATAGGTTCAGTCCTTTCAAGAGCTCCCCAGCTGATGCCATATCCTGTTTATCCTAAACTATATGGGTTTCTGTTTAACTGGCTCATCTCCCATCCCAGCCCATCACAGGAAACGGGCAACTTTAGGGACATTTGTTGTTCAGTTGCTAAGTTGTATCCAACTCTTTGCAACCGGAGGAACTGCAGCATGCCAGGCTTCCCTATCCTTTACCATCTCCCAGAGTTTCCTCAAGCTATGTCCATTGAGTTGGTGATAGCATCCAACCATCTCATTCTCTGTGGGCCCCTTTAGGTACATGTCACTGGGTAAAAGAGTTTGAGTGATACAAAAATGTAATGACTTATTGACTTAAAAAACCAAAGAGGTATCGGGTATTTCTGAACTGTGTCAAAGTTCACCTAATTCAAACTTGACTAAGTTGATAACAATGGGGCAAAGAAGAAAGAACTCTGAAAAATAATTGGGACTTCCCTAGGGGTCTAGTGCTCACACAGCAGAGGGGTGTGGGTCTTCTCCCTGGTGGGGGAACTAAGATCCCACATGCCAGACTGGCCAAAAGAAAACAACAACAGATTATAGATGAATAAATAGTGAGTCTGAGAAGCTATTAAGTTTGTTAAAATTCTAACAAAATCTGCTCATTTTTGATGGGCTTGTTTCTATTTAAAAAAAAAAAAAACAAAAACAACAGAAAAACCCAAATAATTACAATGTAAACTTAAGTAACCCTGGACTTAGCACAGGAACTAAGTCCATTTTAAAAATGACACATATTTGGCATTTTGCAGTTTGCTTTACAAGTGGAGTTTTCAAGGTGATATGATATCTCTTCAAAATTTTATGTATTAAAGTCTGTGTTGAGTACTATTACTCACCTATAGGAGGCCTAAACCTTTCAAGAAACTGCTTGTCTTCAAGGCTGCATGCTGTTGAAATCACTTTGGCTCCTCTATGGTGTGCTAACTGAATAGCTATTGTACCAAGTGCCTGTGTGGGAGAAATACACAATGGGGTTGCAGATAGAGGGCAGAGGCTGTGTCTAATTCATCTTCTAGGTTGTTTTGAATAAAGAGTAACAGTTTAGTGCTACTTCAGTATATTTTAAAATCTTGTCTGATACAAAGAAAAAAATATGGACAAGCTTATTAGAAAGGGAAACATTTGATAGACTCTGCCTCAAGGAAAAGCTGTGTGCACTACAGGCTCCCAGCCAGTCTGACTGTAGCACATAACCTCAAGGACAGAAGCAGGCTGAATTCAGAACACGGCCTTGGAAAGATAAAAATGGGCCATTAAGGGCCTTGTCAGCATAATGTACTAAGCTAATTATATGGTACATATACCAGTCCAGTAACCTCTTTTTGAAAATCAAAGCACTTCAAAAGTTCCATCCTTTTGTTGACCTGTGGGTAAGTTCAGGAAAATAACTACTATTATCTTGATGTTGGACACAGGGCTGAAGCCAATGAAGACTGCCTTTTTTTTTTTTTTCCCCAAAGAAAAATCATTTTCATCAACAGATATAAAATCTGTAACATTTTTAGATTTTTATGTAATCTTTTATTGGTGTCTTTATATTTTGATGTTTATTTATCATGTATAAACATGACTACATATATGTAACATGTTTAAATTAGTACAGTTTTGATCTTGTGTGATATATCTATAAATGAGACACCTTAATCACATAAGTTTAAGTATGAGGGATATGATACAAAATAGGCAGGGAGACCTGGGGTCTAGCTTCAAAGATTAGGAGCTATTTCAAGTTTTGTGTAACAGGCATGAATAAAAATGGCTTGTCTGCTTTTTTAAAGTACTAGCAGATTCAAAGCAGTAAGAAACTAAACACTTTTATCGTCTGTTGACAAAAGCTGCTTATTTTAGAAAATGGGAGTTTGGTATAGGAAATCAGTGAATAAGTTAACTGACAATACATTGTATTAGTAAGTGGATGGCCCATTTCTCAATTTCCTAAGTTTATCCTACTTTGGTCTTCTTAAAAAAACATTTATTTATTTTAATTGGAGGCTAATTACTTTACAGTATTGTAGTTGGTTTTGCCATACATTGACATGATGGTTTGTTTTTTAACAAAACTATTAGCACCTACACTTGCTCCGTCCATTATCAGCACGGATTTTCCAGGCGAGAGATGAGAAAGATAATGCAGGGCTGTATAGGCTCTTAATCCATCCCGGATGGTTCCAGCAGCTTCTGTCCATGTGACTTTTTCTGGTTTGTGAACTATCACAAAGAATAAGAGGAAACAATCTGTTAGCAAGGCCCATTAGACCTGCCTCCTGGATCTGTTTGCTTCCATCTCTGCTGCCACCACAGCCCTGGTCCAGGCCTCTGCTCCCAGTATCTTTCACCTCCATCACGCTTTATCTGCTGCGATTTGTGCCCACACACACTCCACTGTGAATGCAGGAGTCAGTGTGTGCATTTTTTTAAATGTTATATGGTTGAAGTAAAACATGCAGAAAACATGAAACAAAGTATAGCTGGATGAATAAATATAAAGCAAGTACACGAGTAGCTACCATCCCGGTTGAAAAAGAAAACAAGCCCTCATGTTGACAGCCTCACCTCTCCCACCAAAGGCATTTTTAAAAAACTGAGATATAATTGACATCAGAGGTCACAACCATACTAGTTTAATGATAAAGTTGTTGTTCAATCGCCAAGTTGTGTCTGACTTTTTGCAACCCCAAGGACGGCAGCACGCCAGGCTTCCTTGTCTATCACCAATTCCCAGAGCTTATGCAGACTCATGTCCATCGCGTCAGTGATGCCATCCAACCATCTCATCCTCTGTTGCCCCCTTCTCCTCCCGCCCTCAATCCTTTCCAGTGTCAGGCAGGGTCTTTTCCAGTGAATTGGCTCTCTGCTTCAAGTGGTCAAAGTATAGGAGCTTCAGCTTCACCATCAGTCCTTCCAATGGACATTCAGGGTTATTTCCTTTAGGATTGGCTGGTTTGATCTCCTTGTAGTCCAATACCACAGTTCAAAAGCATTAATTCTTTATTGATCAATTGATCAAAAGCATCAATTCGGCGTATAAATTCCTAAACAACATAATTTTGTTTTGCCTGTTTCTGAACTTTATCTAAATGGAACTGTACTATACACATTTTTTTCTATTTTCTTTTTTTGCTTATCATTTTTTAAGACACATCCTTTTTTGGTACTTGTGGCTATGCATGCTAAGTTGCTTCAGTTGTGTCCAACTCTTTGGGACCCTATGGACTGTAGCCAGCCAGGCTCCTCTGGTTCATAGGATTTTCTAGGCAAGAATACTGGAGTGGGTTGTCATTTCTTTCTTCAGGGGATCTTCCTGACCCAGGGATAGAACCTGCATTTCCTGCACTGCAGGCAAATTCTTGACCACTGAGCTGGGGAAGCCTCACTAGGCTATAGTGCTTTTCATTTTTGATGTCTTATGGCAACATCTAATTTAATAGAATGGATGGGTTATCCACTCTTGAGTCAAGGAACATTTCTGTTTTCCCCCATTTTTTGGTAGTTAGGTATTCTTAACTTTTCAGGAGTTAAGCATTCTTTTTTTTCCCATTTATTTTTATTAGTTGGAGGCTAATTAATTACTTTACAATATTTTAGTGTTTTTTTTGCCATAAATTGACATGAATCAGCCATGGATTTACATGTGTTCCCCATCCCAATCCCCCCTCCCGCCTTCCTCTTCATCCCATCCCTCTGGGTCTTCCTAGTGCACCAGCCCTGAGCACTTGTCTCATGCATCCAACCTGGGCTGGTGATCTGTTTCACCCTTGATAGTATACTTGTTTCAATGCTATTCTGAGTTAAGCATTCTTAACTAAGAATGCTCATGTATAAAAGTATGCTTGTGCTGGTACACAGGTGTTCTACAGGGTATTTACTGAGGAATGGAATTCTGCCTTTGACGTCAATGAACACTTACACAGTAGCTTATGAATTGACTCTCACAAAGCTGCTGCTTTGAACGTCCTTGTCAACCCTGGTATTACACATTTTTGCCCATTGTATGGGTGTGTCATGGTTTCTTACTGTGATTTTAATTTGCTTTCCCCCACCTACTAATGAAGTTGAGCACCTTTCCATGTTTGCTGGCCATACAGAACTCCTTTTAAAAGAATATTTCTTTCTTTATTATTTATCCTCGGTTGTGCTGGGTCTTCGGTGCTGCACAGGCTTCTCTCCAGTTGTGGCCAGTGGGCTCCTCACTGCAGGGGCCTCTCCTGTGGCTGAGCTCTAGGGCGCTCAGGCTTCAGTAGTTGCAGCACATGGGCTCAGTAGCTGGTTCCTGGGCCCCAGAACACAAGCTCAGCAGTTTTGCGCCTGGGCTTAGCTGCTCCTTGGCATGTGAGATCTTCTTGGACCAAGGATCGGATCAAACCTGCGTCCCCTGAACTGGCAGGTGAGTTCTTTACCACTGAGCCACCGAGGAAGCCCTAGAATTCCTTTTGTGAAGTGACTGTTCAGGTGTTTTACCAATTTTTCTACTGTTGTTGTCTTTTTTCTTATTTATTTGCAGGAATTCGTAGTATATTTTAGATAAGTCATTTGCTTGCTCATGTGTTATAAATATTTTCAATTTTATGGCATCTCTTTTCAATCTCTTTAGTGGTGTCTTTGAAATGCAGCAGTGTCAGAATGATCTTTTCAAAACATAAATAACATCCTCACACTTCTTTGCTTAAAATTCATCAATGGTTTTCTATTGTACTTGAAACAAAACGTACACTGCTAATACAGTTTAAGTTATATTAGCTCTATATTTTCTGACCACTAAGCTGTTCCTTAATATGTTTAATTATTTAATATTTTGTTTTTATGAATGTGTATACTGAATGTGATTTTTTCACAGTATAGGTAATCCTTTCTAATTTTACCTGAAATCAAGTGTATAACACTTTCAGTAGTCTTTACCATAAGTATTTTTCCTCTTAAGGCAAAAGAGTCAGATGGGCTGGACAGTGAGAATTAAATTGGCTAACCAGTGCCATCTAGTGGGGACATAAAGCATCCAAGCACACGATGAAAAAGTTCAGACAAGCAAGGCATTAAAAAAGTAAAACATACCAAGCACCAGGGGATATCTCAGACAGTACTCCTTACAAATTTGAGACAGCAATTTTCCCAGTTTTCCTGATTATAAAATGGCGTTCAGGGTAATAATTTGTCTGATGCCACAAGTTTGAAAGAAAGAAAGGAAGAAAGATAGAAAGGGAAGTTGCTCAGTCATGTCCGACTCTTTGCAACCCCATGGACTATAGCCCACCAGGCTCCTCCATCCATGGGATTTTCCAGGCAAGAGTACTGGTGTGGGTTGCCATGCCCTTCTCCCGGAGACCTTCCCGACCCAGGGATGGAACCCGGGTCTCCTGCACTGCAGGCAGACGCTTTACTCTCTGAGCCACCAGGGAAGTCCGAGTTTGAATCTGACTCTAAAGCCCATCCACTCTCACAGTGCATGTTCAGTCATGTACAATGTACTTATATTTTTGAGATTATCTTCCATCATAAGAATTGGTACTACTTATACTTTCATTAGGAGAAGGCAATGGCACCCCACTCCAGTACTCTTGCCTGGAAAATCCCATGGACGGAGGAGCCTGGTAGGCTGCAGTCCATGGGGTTGCACACAGTAGGACATGACTGAAGCGACTTAGCAGCAGCAGCAGCAGCATACTCTCATGAAGAAATAAAAAATTTAGTGCTGAAAAAATGACAGGGCAAGGATACAGATGCAGACATAGAGAACAGACTTGTGGACACAGAGGGGGAAGGAAAGGGTGGGACAGATTTACAGAGCAGCACTGAAACATACAGTACTGTATGTAAAACAGATAACCAAAGGGAAGGCGCTGTGTAACACAGGGAGCTCGGCCCAGTGCTCTGGGACAACCTGGACGGGTGGGCCGGGAGGTTCAGGAGGGAGGGGACATACGCATTCCTGTGGCTGGTTCACAGGTATACAGAGACCAACACAACACTGTAAAGCAATTATCCTCCAATGAAAAATAAATTTAAAAAGTTTTATCACATAAAAATAATGCTAACTAATAAAACTACATTTAAAATTGCAGAGGCTTTAAAATTACATGGTTAGATGTGGTTTAATGTTGAGATCCTTGCTTTTGTATTAGGTGGTCCACAAGTACTTATCATGTTATAAAAACTAAGATAATTAATAAAAGAGAGCCATATATGGATCAATAATAACAGTATTACAATTCTTTGTAATTATCATTTCAATTCTTTCTACCACAAGTCCGAGGGAATAATGCTGAAAATGTGTGCCAATTTTTTTAAATTTAATTTTTATTTTATATTGGACTATATCTGACTCAAACATTGTGCTAGTTTCAGGTGTGCAGTAAAGAATTCAACTATAAATATACACATACCCATTCTTGTTCAGATTCTTCTCCCAGGTAAGTCACCAGAGAATACTGAATAAAGTTCCCTTTACTATACAGTAGGTCTCTCTTGATCATCTATTTTATATGTAGTAGTGTGCATATGTGATGGACTTCCCTCATAGCTCACTTGGTAAAAGAATTGGCCTGCAATGCAGGAGACCTGGGTTTGATTCCTGGGTCAGGAAGATCCCCTGGAGAAGGAAATGGCAACCCACTCCAGTATTCTTGCCTGGAGAATCCCATGGACAGAGGAGCCTGGAGGGCTAGTCTGTGGGGTCACAAGAGTCAGACATGACATAGCGACTAAACCACCACCACCAGTGTGTATACTCCTAATGTATTTCACCCCTCTACCTTTCTTTCCCATTTGGTAACCATAAGTTTTTTTTTCTAAGTCTGTGAGTCTGTTTTTCCAGATTCCACATATAGGTGATATAATATTTGTCTTCCTTTGTGTGACTTACTTCACTTAGTATGATAATCTCTAGGTTGGTCTATGTAGCTACAAATGGCATTATTTTATGCTTTTTTATGGCTGAGTAATATTCCATCATATATATGTACCATACCTTCTTTATCCATTACTCTGTTGATGGACATGTAGGTTACTTCCATGTCCTGGCTATTGTAAATAGTGCTGCAAAGTACATTGGGTGCATGCATCTTTTTGAATTATGGTTTTCACTGGATATATGCCCAGGAGTGGGATTGCTGGATCATAGAGTAGTTCAATTTTCAGTTTTTCAGGGAGCCCCCATATTGTTCTCCATAGTGGTTTTTACTAACTTATATTCCCACCAACAATGTAGGAGGGTTCCCTTTTCTCTACACTGTTACCAGCATTTATTGTTTGTAGACTTTTTAATGATGGCCATGCGAACTGGTGTGAGGTGATACCTCACTGTAGTTTTGATCTGCATTTCTCTAACAATTAGCAATGTTGAGCATCTTTTCATATGCTTTTTGGCTATCTGTATGTCTTCACTGGAGAAAGGTGTATTTAGATCTTCTGCCCATCTTTTGATTGGGCTTCGTTTTGGTTATATTGAGCTGCATGAAATGTTTGTATAAAAAGTAAAATTTTTATGTTTGACAGAATGGATTGAGAATTGAAAGCACAAAAGAGCTGGAAGAATTTATTCAACTTTTTACCTCTATCCTCAATATTCTGCAACAAGATTAGTAAGACAGCTTCAGGGAGTTGTTTGGAACCTAGTTTTTTTTGGTTTGGTGGAAGAACAGACTTGCTAGGAGGTATATAAATTTACTATTTTTAATAGTCCAAAATCCAAATTTAAGAGTCCAAAATTGGCCCCACATAGTCTGATTACCAGTTATATTATTCAAGAAAGAACTTAGGAAAAAATTTAATGAAATAGTTCAAGAATACAAAAGAATGTATGATGACTTATAGGTAAGTTATGAAGAAACCATGAATCCTAGCATAGAAACAAGACTGGCAGCACCATTGGAGGCCTGTGGATCTGCTGTGTTCATGTCCTCTTTCCTTGCCCACAAAGGTAACTTCCACATGACTTTTTCCCTACATGTTCCTTATATCCTTAAATGATATATGCCTCATTAAATTTTGTAGTTTTGAACTTTATAGAAATAAAATGGTATCACACTGTCGTATACTTCTGCAACTTGCTTTTCTCACTTAGCACAGTTTGTGAGGTTCACCCATCTTGATATGTTTGACTGCTATTTAAACACTTTTACTGATGAGTTAGTGAGAAATATCTTTGGTTATCCATTTTCCTGGTGATGAACACTTATGCTGTTTCTCTTTATCCCCCAGTGACAAACCATGCTACTATGTGGGGTCTTGTGCATGTCTACTGGTGCACATCAGGCCTCTCTGGGGCACGAAAGTACCAGGAGAGTTACCAGGTTTGAGCTGTTAATACATCATCACCTTTATTAGATCAGGACAAGTTATTTTTCTAAAGCATTTCTAGTAATTTATACTCCCAGTGCTCAAAAGATTCGGCAGCTCCTCATCCTTTCCAGCACTTGGGATGGTCAAACTTTATGACTTTGTCAGGTTCAAGGATGCATAACCATGGTTTTAATGTGCTTCCCCCTGATTCTTAAGGAGATGCAGCATGTTTTGTATGTCTATATAATTTATTCACTTTAAATATTTAAGAAGTAAATTTAGTTCAGTTCAGTCGCTCAGTTGTGTCTGACTCTTTTCGACCCCATGGACTGCAGCATGCCAGGCCTCCCTGTCCTTCACCAACTCCCGATGCCTGCTCAAACTCATGTCCATCGAGTTGGTGATGCCATCCAACCATCTCATCCTCTGTCATCCCCTTCTCCTCCCACCTTCAATCTTTCCCCGCATCAGGGTCTTTTCCAATGAGTCATTTCTTCGCATCAGGTGGCCAAAGTATTGGAGTTTCAGCTTCAGCATCAGTCCTTCCAGTGAGGACTGATGCTGAAGTTGAAACTCCAATACTTTGGCCACCTGAAAAGAAAATTTTAAAATTAGCACTTGAGTTAAATTGAGTATTGGCCAAAGGATATTAGCAACAGAAACCAAGAATAAGTGTTTTGAGTCTTTCCTGACTCAGACTCTACAGGTATTGTCTAGATTTTATACATTTGAAAATTTTAATAACCAAGAAAAAGAAGTAAAAAATTCTGATTAGTGATATAATTTCAGAGCCAAGGGAGAAACTGCTTTTCAAACCTCTTACCATGAACAGTGTAAGGGAAATGTAGAGGTAGGAACACTGTTCAGTTTCAAAATAAAGTTTATAGATAAAAAATTTAAGCTAGAAGTAGTCAAATGACGACCACCCAATAGTTATTTCCTAGGTACACTCACGGCAGATGCAAAGCAATCATGTTGTTAAAAACCACACACACTTGGGAAGTAAGACCTATGAGCTCCAAAACACCACACAACCACATACCCAAGTAATGCTCATGGACTCGAACAGCTTCACAAAGTCCAGGGTCTTCAGAATCCAGGGGCAGAATTCCTGAAAATTGAAACGAGAACCGTTAAGGGCAACTATCTAAAAGTGAACTCACTCCTAATGAGAGGCCAGTAAGCATTAGTCTAAATCTTCCTCAGTGGAATTTTGAGGAAGGTTCAGTACTAGTAAGGAGAGATTTCAGAAATAAGGAAGCAGAGTAGATAGTTTATTTTCTGATATGAGCACTGTAATACCTATACTACCTCTTTCACCTGAGTGATGACAGAGATGATGGCTGACATACAGAGCCAAGTCAGAGACTGGGGGGCATCTGAGCTCCTCATTAAACTGGCCCCTGACGTACGGCTAACCCTCCCAGAGTTTGGTTCTGTAAGATTCCTTAGTATGCTTCCAGTAAAATCCCATTTTCTCCTGAGTCAGTTGGATTTTATTTTTGGTCTCTTACAAACAGAATCTTGAATGATACAGTGTCATCTGACTTCTTTTTTCTTTTTAAAAGTTTATTTGTCTGTGGCTGCACTGGTCTTCGTTGCCGTGCTCACGGTTCTTCACTGCTATGCGCGGGCTTCTCTAGTTGTGGTGAGGAGGGGCTACTCTTCAGTTGCGGTGCACGGGCCTCTGGAGCTGCGGCCTGTGGGCTCTAAAATGAGGGGTTAGTAGTCGAGGCGGTCGGGCCCAGCTGCCCCTCGGCGTGTGGGATCTCCCCAGACCAGGGGTCAGACTGCTGTCCCCTGCACTGCAAGGTGCACTCGCATCCACGGGACCACCAGGGAAGTCCCTTACCTGACTTCCTGGGCAGATAATAAAGACAGAAATAGCAAATTCTCAAAGAAAATACCCCCAATCAAAGGCAATTCTGTTAAAAGCTGATGACAACTTTCCTACACATCTATTCTTAACAGCTTCAAGCATGCTGTAAAGCCGTATATTTTCTTAGTTTATGTGACTGTCTCCTATGAATACTTTCTACAGAGAAATGGCAACTTCAGAAATGACTGCTTAACTACTTCATAGTTGTTTGTATGAATGTCTAGGACACAGTGTAAAGAAATATATTTGCAAAATGGTATTAATCATACACTAAAAAAAAGAAAAGAATAAATGTCTTCAGCAAAGTTTTGGTTTTACGAGGGCAGTAAGGGAGCAGCTGCATATAGTTCATTCGGATGTGGACAGAAGAGCATGTGCATAGCCAAATCAGTCAGCAGTCTTCACGCAGATGGACTGTGACTTTTCCGTTCTCTGGAGCTGTCAGTCTAATTATAGACGGAGTTCCTGTCCGGGAAGGGCTGCACCAGGGACAGCAGCTCTGGCCATCTTTCTCTCCTGTGTGAGCTTAGTTGCTCAGGTGTATCCAGCTCTCTGCGACCCCGGGGACTGCAGCCCGCCAGGCTCCTCCGTCCATGGGATTCTGCAGGCAGGAATGCTGGAGTGGCTGCCATGCCCTCCTCCAGGGGATTGCCCAACCCAGGGATCAAACCCAGGTCTCCTGCACGGCAGGCGATTCTTTACCGTCTGAGCCACCAGGGAAGTCTCTTTCTATCCTATCTACAGGCTAATACTGAAAAGTTTTAAATGTTCTGCTATTGAGATCAAACTCCCAATTCTCTTCACCAATGGACACTTGAGAGTAAATTCCAAAACTTAGGTAAGTACTTGTATATGAAGCAAGGTCACAGTAAACATTAGCAATTGTACAGAAAAAAGAGACAACAGGAAGACAGATGACTTGAAATAAGAAGACTATGACCTATAACTTACCCACTACTTCATCATCTGGTTGAAAGAATGATACCTTGTTTCCAACTAAAATGTGGAGAAAATTAATAATCATTATTACAAGGTTATTAAATATAACCTAATAATTGAAATTCAAAAGCCATAGATTGATAAAAGTCACTGACTCAGAGAAAAGGTCAAGAACTTTTAGGACATTTTGACAGGCTGCAAGGGACCGTAGGATGTAACACTTCAAATGTGGACTCTGCGCAAAATCTGGGCTGTGCGGTTGCTGACCCCGTGGAGCAGGCCATCTCTCTGTTTAGCTAGGGACGAAGGTATAAAGGAAAAGAGCCCATCTCGCAGCTCTTACGCTGACCACACTGGGTGCACTGGACCCCCTTATGTAGCCAGTCCCGTGTGTCACGACTTTAGCTGCAGCACTGCAGACACGCAATGGGAATTCTGGTTAGAGTTACATATGCAATTACTTTGATTTGAGATTATGGAAATAAATTCAGACTGGGGCCAAGAAATTTGAGGACTATACAGAAGTGGTAAGTTACACTTCCCCTGTGTATGTAGAGAAAAGGCCTTCACCATCAGTCAATTCTGTAGAATATTTTTCTTCCAATAGTTACAAGAGCAAACAGGAGGGAAAAACCCAAACCTCACTGAATGTCTACTTGTGCCCAGCATTTTAGTGTGTTTTCACATTTAATCTTTACGGCACACCCATTAAGTAGGTATTATTAGACCTGTTTAACAGATGAGGGAACTGAGGTGCAGCAGAGAAGTAAGGCAGAAGTCTGCCATCTGGGAGTGGCGCCTCTGGCTGGCTCTGTCTGCAGAAAGGTCCCAATCTGCTGCGTCTCTGGATCCTGCCTGTGCCCCCATCCCCAATATTCTTGCTTTCTCTTTCCCTCCTGCTGTGCATTCTTGTCTTCCTGAAATCACCGTGATCCTTTTTTCATGGCGTCCTGCATACTCCTCTTATTAAGGATTGTCCTTCAGACAGTGGCATTGCCAAGGGGTCCATGCAATCTGTGTGTCTCCTTCATTTCCCCTCTCTCCCTGCATGAGCTCATCAGCATTCTATGACTTCAAACACAACCGATCAGCTGACAACTTTCAAATATAACCAGAATCTTATAAATCATTTTCTGCCTTTACATGTTTTGAATTCTCCTGTTCCAGTCAATTATTAAGTTCTGCTGATTTGACTTTCCCAGTATTTCTTGAATGTACCTTTACCACCTCTGTCTACATTATGGACTTTGTCATTTCTTGCTTGTTGGGTCTACGACTCAAACAGTGCTCTTGCCTACAGCCTGGGCTGCCTCAAATCCACTCTTCATATGGCCACCCTAATATGTTCTCTATAGCCCAACCTGAGATGAGATTCAACGTGATCTGGCCCTTGCCTACACTCCTGCCTCATTTTTTGGGGGCAGATGAAGGAATCAGTATTCATATCATCATTAAAAGATTTTGTTAGTTATCTTTTATTCTGCAATTTTTGAAGGGGAATTTTCTTGACAAACTTTTTTTTCTTCTGCCAAGTATCCTGCCTATGACTCTTGCCCAGAACATCAGGCAGAGTCTCAGTCTCCCCATCAGGGATCAAACCTGTGCCCCCAGCAGTGGAAGCTTGGAGTCTTAACCACTTGGATTGGCAGGGAAGTAGTCCCTATTTACCTTTTAAATACTCAATTTTAGGCACACTTTAAAAATTTAATGTGAGTGCAGTTATTGACCATTATGTAAATTTTGACCCAAAGCCAAGTTACACAAGTAATTTTTGCTGGTTTGTAAACATCATAAAAAGGACAATACTGGGGAAAAAAAAAAAGGACAATACTGGTTATACTATTCAAAATGATTACTCATGGATTTAAATACATAATCTTTAAATATTTATTTACTAAACTGTAATAAGCTCAATGATAAAATACCATTAAGTTCTATTTTTCTTTTTAATTAAAAAAGGAAAAACACTTCTGTATGGTTTCTTTGTATTGAAGAAGTGTGTATAATTTTAATGTGTCAGTAAAAAAAATTAGCTACCATTTAATTTCCACTATTTTAGAAAATAAATACAGATACTTCTATCTGTAAACTTACCATCTAACACAATTCCAGCAACTTCTCTCCCAACAGGAAAGAATTCCTTCTCCATCTTCATTTCTGCCAGAAGCTAAATAATGACAAAGTCTTGAATTTATTGTCAAGAATAAATTCTAACCTCTATTCATACATGAGAAAAGAAGGAGCAAAAATCAAACCACAGAAAAAGGAAATATGACTCCATTTTTGGCCATCAAGACAAAAAGCAAGTATCTTCACAAAATAGGTTCCTCTGTGGAGTAGGAAACCAGGTTTGCTAAGGGATTAGTTGATATGTATAATTTTAATGTGTCAGCAAATCAGTTAGCTACCATTTAATTTCCATTATCTTAGAAAATACATACAGATATTTCTGTCTGTAAACTTACCATCTAACCCAATTCCATATAAAATATTTTCATATAATATTATAAAATACATGAATTCAATTAGACTGACAATTTACATTAATATAGAAATACACAATAATTTTTTTCCCTACCTGTTCTGTTCTTCTAAGAATAACTTCTTGGTATTCAGAAGTCAGTTATTATTATTAAAATTTTTGTATACCAAGTATATTTGACTTTTGGCCAAATCAAAGCACCAATATCTTAGTGTTCATACCTTTGTATTTATCTGGCTCAGAGCACAAGCTTTAACTTGAAGTTTCACATAGTTATCTTCTGTAACAGGAAAATTTTCCTAGAGTCAAATGATAAAATAATTACACATTCCTTTGAGAATACTGCCTTCATGTTGCAAAAATTTTCATATATAACTGAACAAAATCAGAGACTCGAAATCTTACATCTAAGTTAACTGAAAAAGCTACAAACAATTCCTTTATAATATACAATATAAAAGAATGTAGGGAATTTGGCAATAAAAAATTTCAGAAGTCTTAAGGTACTAATCTGCAAATGTACTTCCAAGCTATGGACAAGAATATATGTGCAGGCAATGAACACAGGGTAACAAAGCAGAGCAATAAATGGTGTGCTTCAGTTCCCTTTAAATAGTCTCCAAGTATCAACCCTTCATGTGGGGATGTCCTTAAACACATGTATACTAAATGGATACACTGTACTGATTATGGAATTTTCGTAATGCTATATAGAAAGTTCTTTAGTGTCATTTGTTGATCTCTACCTTATTTAACATCTGTCTTGGACATTTTAGCATGCCCCATGGGTCTCTGGGGTTGAAATACAAACTTAATGGAACTTAATTTACCCCTCATATTCCACAGCTAGATATAACTTCAAAGGCAAAGATATTTCAAACTGAGGTACTTAGTATCGTCCACCAATGACACCAGTAATTAAAATGCTTTCTTCAATCCTTGATATGCCCCAAAATTAGATCAACTGTTAGCTAGATGGCTAGAACAGCTACCTGCACAGTGCCTCCTGTGTTCTATCAGAGTGACCACTCACTGTATTTGACATGAACACAGTATTCTGGGATATCCCTTTCTTAAACTCAGATTTGATACTATTTGGTGACTATATGAAGATATTCAGCAATACCGATAATTGTATACTCGTGATTTGTGTGAACCTGGTGATAATTATTTCTGGGAGCCAGTCAAACCTCTTGGACTCAATGGTAGAAACCAAACTGTCTGATTAGATTCCTAATCTAAATGATTTTGTAGTTGTTGAAAGATGAAACAGAAAAACTGAGTTGTGTTCACGATCCAGAGATTCTTATTACTACTCTGAAATATACAAACAATATGAAATACATACCGCACTTAGTTTTTGTCTCTAAACTAACAGTGGAATGCTTTGGCCTGACACAAACCTTTCAAACAATCACTAATAGATAAAAATTCTACTCTCTACCCTTAAAGTAGTAAAAAAAAAAAAAAACTGGAAACCTTTAAAGCTTAGTGCATGAAGTAACTTTGCAATGCTCAGAAGTTAGTGTGAAAAACAATGCTTTTCCACTTCTTTCATTTCACAATATGAAAGTATTTCTGAAATACGGCTATAATCTAAAAAATCATTTTATTGTGGTATTCAGAATAAATTGGGTTAATTTTGCAACACATACTCAAGTTGTTCAGTTTCTTATATCTTTTCTACTACCACACTGAGGAACTAAAAACTCTTTTGCAGCAACTCTTTAAAAAATATACCATAATATCGACCACTGTTTTCACATAAGATTAAAGTAATTTATAGGGTGCCACTCAAAAATAATTTGTAATGGGGTATTTAAAATTAGGTCTGTGACATTTGTAAAATACACTGTCTTGTTCCATCTAAAGATTAAACCATTTTTCTTACCCTATCTCGGAACACAAATGTTACTTCTTCACTTGTAGAACTCTGTTGAAAATATAAGCCTTTCATAGTCATCTGAAAACAATAAAAGAAAAAATATACATGAAATATACTAACCAACAAAACATGCCAGATCAACTGAAAGCATAAATTGAAAACTAGTTCTAAAGGATAAAATGACAATTTAAGTGTAGTCTTCAAATGAATTTAGGTAATAGTTCTTGAAAGCAATCAAACAAGAGAAGATGCAATAACCTCAGGTACGTATTTGAGAATGGGCTTATAGTTCAGCCTTCACACCAAGGTGCTTAACTTCATCTCACTATTCAACAAAAATTATGAGATGTACCTGAAAAAAAAAAAAAAACGTGCAGGCCAGAGGGCTCAATTTTAATAACCAAAAGTGTCATTTGAAGGGCTTTCAAAGTCTTAAAAAAGTCCATTGGAAAGGAAAAAGTGGACAATCAAGACAGTCGTTGAAATTGTGTCCCTAATTCCTCTGTATCCATTTGTAAGACATTTGTTGTTTTTAGTTGCTCAGTCATGTCCAACTCTTTGTGATTCCATGGACTGCAGCACGCCAGGCTTCCCTGGCTTTCACCATCTCCCAGAGTTTGTTCAAACTCATGCCCATTGAGTCAGTGATACTATCCAACCATCTCGTCCTTTGTCATCCCCTTCTCCTCCTGCCTTCAATTAAACCTGTATTCTGTGGACATCTTGAAGCATCTCTAAGGATTCCACAGTTGTTTCTTTAACTTCCATAGTAATTGTATGACAAGACTATTTTTTAATGTAAATTTCATACAGGTACCATATAAAATCAGAGAAAAGTTCACAGATCTGAAGTATATAGCTTGGTGAACTTTACAAAGTGAACAAGGCCATGTCATAGCAGGAAACATGTCACTAGAACTCCAGAAGCTCCCTGGTTCCCCTTCTAGTCACTGTCCCCCTTCTAAGGATACTCAATATCCTGATATTCAAGCAGAGTTTGGCTTTGTCTGTTTTTGACTTTATATAAATGAATTATGCTCCTTCTCTCAGTATTATGTTTATGAGTTTCACTCATGCTGTTGCCTGCAGTTGTATCTATTTCATTCTATTTCATTCAGTTACATAGTAACATAGTTACATAGTAACATAGTAACACTCAGTTACATAGTAACATATTTCACCTATTTCATTCAGTTACATAGTATTCCACTGCTCTGAAGATAGACATCTGATGGTTTCCAGTTTAACACATTTACAAATTATCCTGCTAAGAACATCCTTATACATATTTTTTGATGAAAGTACTACAGTATTATTGAATTTATTTTATGAATGAGGAAACTGAGACTTACAGAGGTACATTCCTAGGGTCTCATAGCTCCAGCTGGGCCAGAGCTGAGACAAATCAGATGCTACCAACTCCAAAGTCATTTACCTTTACCATTATACTTAATGGTTTTTACTGAGCTACTAACATTAGATGTAAAACTAGAACCCTATCTTCTTTAGTTCAGGACTGATAATCAGTAAGTGCTTGTTGACAGAACTAGCTACATAACTTGCAGGGTTCACTGCAAAATGAAAATGTGGGGAACCTTGTTCAGAAACTAAAATTTCAAGACGGTAACAGCCAAGCATCAAACCAAGCACGTGTGCCTCCTGACTGTGAGGTCCAGTGCGACTGCAGAGGTCTTGCTCTTATGAAGCTGGCCCTGCAAGCTGAATCTTAATGGATCTGAAGGGTCTTTATAGAGGGCTTTCACTGAGTAGTTCAGTAATGGTCGCTGCTTTCCAGAAGGTGGTAATCAAATGCTGGAACTAACAGAAATGAGTATACATTCCAGACACGTAGAGAATTTATGTGTCTCTAGCCTGCTGGTTAAGGAAGATCACTGTGTGTGTGTGTGTGTGTGCGTGCGTGTGTGGGTATACACACATCAGTAAGTTTGTCAGGGTGGTAGGGGAGAAGGGAAGAACCTAAGCACAGAACAGCAGCGATGTATTACCTTTGACAAATCTAACTTCTCCTTCTTAGCTGTCAAGGCCATCTAAAATGCATATCCACTGTCCCTAGTTTACCTTACTCCTTCATTCTTCAAACACATCCCCTGTCTGATCTAGGCAGTATGTGTGCGTGTGTGCTCAGTCGTATCTGACTCTTTGTGACCCCATGACTGCAGTCTGCCAGGCTCCTCTGTCCACGGGATTCTCTAGGCAAGAATACGGGAGTGGGTCGCCACTTCACTCTCCAGGGGATCTTCCTGACCCAGGGTCTGCGTCTCCTGCACTGGCAGGCAGATTCTTTACCGCTGTGCCACCTGGGACGCCCAGTGTGACTTCACAGCACATGGCCACCGCTGTCTCCAGGCGCCAGGCCCTGCTTGCTCTCTGAGACTCTGCTGTACTTACTCTACAGATTCTGCAAAGTAAGCAAGGCTCAAGTTATACTCCCTTTCTGAAATCACCTCCCAGTGACACGCAATCTACTCCATCTGTTCCATGCTTCTAGATTTCATTCCATGCTGACAAAACCTTGCTTTATTCACTCAACTAGTGGTTTTCCTAGCTTCGAAGAATCAATATCCATTATTACTGAATAAATAAAACTCTGCTTCTACTCAATCTGGAGCTACTAGAATTGCCTTTTTGAGGAATGAAATAATTACACATCAACACATTGATTTCAAAACATCTCCCTTTGTAACTCTGGAAGCCAACTGTCTTCTCTGTCCACGGCATCTGAAAACATAGCATGTCTCTCAGATCAGTAGTCACATGAATCTCATACTGTATGCACCCCAATTTCAAAGATCCTGGAAGCTGTTTGTATGTACCACAGTGTCCCTTAAGATGATTATTATATAGATAATAATGCCCATATTTTTGGTCAGATTATCTAAATAGTTCCTCCAAATTAGGTTACGATCAGCCTGGCTAGTAGAAAAAAGTAATGTTTAGTTGTTGGTTTAATAAGGAACCATGTGGGAACAAAAACCACCCCCCAAAGTTACAAGGTGAAGAAAAAGAAGTATTTTTATAAAAGTGACCAGAAGAAAACTGAGGAAATATTATTTGTTTTGCAAGCCCAAAAAGGAATACTGAGTTCTTAACACAGAGAAAATGGTACAATGAATGTTATTCAAAACCCACTTAATTTCTTAGGCAGTGGTCCAGATTAAATGGAACACTTAATCCATTATTTAATAAAATTTTTACTGAACATAAAGATATTTGCACACAGGAAATAAAATAACTGAACACTTCATAAAATAAAAATATAAATGAAATATATACTACTTATCATGCTATTTTCAAAAATGAATGTCATTAACCTCAAAATTATATATTCTACTATAACCTTGCCTTTATCAGAAAAGTGCTACATAAAACTTTTAATTGAAAATAAACCTGTTTAAAAAATACAGGTTGATATAAAGAGCCCTAAAAAGCCCCATAAAAAGCATAAAGTTTTAAATTCTTCAGGTACATCCAACTTTAAATATATTTAACATAAGTCCACAAATTCAAGATTATGTTTGTAATACTTTAAGTTTTTATAATATCAACATATTAAATCTATTATAAATCTGGGGAAACAAAAATTAAGACACCTGTTTTAAATAATTTTTGGTATGAAATCAGAATAAGGACTTTGCATAAATTAAACACTTACCATAAATAATACCAAGAAAGTAGTTAATGAAAGTAGTAATCTCTTAAAGGATTTCTAAAAAAAAAATCAACGGGAAGACATTTCAAATGGTTTCCTCTTAGTTATAACAATATGAACCTCACTTGCTCTTCCCCTGCTATCTTACTCCCCCAAGGAGCTCATCTATTAATAATTGTAAGTAAAACCTCTACAGATCAATCCTTACCTATACGTTCAAACCAAAAGTGTTCTGAGTATCAGCTCAACCTCAAGTTCAACAGTCATAAAACTAGACTCACTTTTCCCGCCTCCAAACAAGGTTCTGTTGTGCCAACTTCAGCCCTCGAGGATATCTTAGAATCTCTCATAATTCCCTCCTCTAGGCTTCCTTCTCCTTTACAATCTCCTGGCTTAAGTGCTCCTCTTGGATGTAAGCACAATTACAGGCCCAAACTGTGAAGCCTGAGGCCTGGGCAATGGCCACAGGCGGCCGCACAGCTTCCTTCTCTCCCTGCGGACAACTTCAAAGTCCAGACTTTTATGCGCTCAAATTTTCATTATTCCTAACACAAACTTCATAATATGGTGAAGTATTATGCTTCAACCACTCTCATTTCTGTTTTAAAGAAAGCAGACAAACTGTCAAGCAGCTGGGCTACTGAAAAAAAAAAACAGAAGAAGTCAGCTCTGAAAGGTGGCTCATCATCTTGCTGGGCTGAGTGGACAGTATTACAATGCTAGCGGATTGTTAGGGGTAAATCTTCAGTCATATTGAAGAGGTGCTTAAGTTTTAACCATGTTCTTACCCACCTGTGGGACTTTTCATACATATCCACATATCAGATAAAGAAGAATGTTAAACCATGTACCCATAAAACCTATTATGGTCAGCAAAATCAAAGTAACTAGCTGGAGGTCTGGTTCAAATACCATATACTTTGCAGGCTGCAGAGGAGACTGGTAGGCCGAACTAGACAGGCCAGCTCTGCTTCTTAAAGAGGGAGGGACGTCTCTACATTGTGCTGGAGATAGTCTCCAGAAATCTATAAATTCCAAGGACACTTGACATAAACAAGGAGTACACTGGCGTTATACACTGTACTGCTCTCCTGTGCCTGTTACAAGATGGGCATGGGAAACACTGTGACAGTGGCTCACACCTAGCTAAACTCTGCAAAGCATTTCTAGCTAGTAGCACATATCCTAAGAACTTTTTACTTTCACATTTTGGTGGTGGTGGTTTAGTTGCTAAGTCGTGTCTGACTCATTGTGACCCCATGGACTATAGCCTGCCAGGCTCCTCTGTCCATGGGATTCTCCAGATAAGAATACTGGAGTGGGTTGTCATTTCCTTCTCCAGGGGATCTTCCCAACCCAGGAATTGAACCCAAGTCTCCTGAATTGCAGCCAGATTCTTTACCAACTGAGCTATGACTTAGGAAAATGGATGAAGTGACATGGTCCCTATTAATAGATGGACTTAAACTAGAGGCTGGATACACATTTAGAGCAGCATCATAAGGGAGATTCAAGCATCAGTTGAGGGGGATGGGAATGAGATGACCATATCAAAGTCTCTTCTGATTATGAGAGTCTAGATTTATATGGACATTATCAAGACATACTTGATTGAATTTTTATACAAATGGGGCGTCCTCTTTACATCTCCCGTAAGTTGAGATCTAAAGCTAGGTGAAGAATTAGGAAAGGAAAATAATTTTTTGGTAAAGGCTTTATGTGGAAGCAAGACAAGAGACATTTAATTAGCTATGTCAAACTGTTGCCTATCCATGCAACAAGGGCTTCCAACAATGACCTCTTCTGAATATCAAAAGAATTTTTGATTAATTCTCCTTCCTCCAAGAGAGCTTAACTTTTGTTATTTGTTGATTTACAAAATACCTTTTTACTTAAGAATTCTTTTTTTTTTTTCCACTTAAGAATTCTTATTAGTGGGCCCCTTTGCCAGTGCTGCTGGAGGGTGGGTAGTGGGTGGTGTGGGGAAGTGGGACGGTCATTAATCCCAGACTAGAAGTCAGTGCTGCTGGAGGGTGGGCAGTGAGTGGTGTGGGGAAGTGGGATGGTCATTAATCACAGACTAGAAGTCAGTGCTGCTGGAGGGTGGGCAGTGGGTGGTGTGAGGAAGTGGGATGGTCATTAATCACAGACTAGAAGTCAGTGCTGCTGGAGGGTGGGCAGTGGGTGGTGTGGGGAAGCGGGATGGTCATTAATCCCAGACTAGAAGTCATTGCCCCAGTCTCTATGTGATGTCGGGCCATTTGATACAGTAAGACTCAGAACAACAGAAACTTGGCCTTCATTTATATTGCTGAGTTAGCATCCTATTTTGCCATGTTGTACTACTGGGGAACAGTGCAGCCAATGGTGCCATGAATGGCAGCCTTCCCTTCCTGCTGGCTTGATCACTAGGACAAGGCAAGGGATGAGGAAGATAAACTGAAGGATCCTCCCTACATTTTTACTACATTCTCCCTCCTTTCCAACTGACTTAAGGGATCATCTTCTCCATACACCAATATAATTGCAGTCTGTCAACACTTACTTAATTCTATAAATCACTATTGAGTCTTTAATCATTACTTACTTCAGATGCAAAGTAGGAACTGTACTTTTGATTAAATATTTACTAATAAATTCACCATCAAGGGAAAATAATTTCACAAGATGTCATCTTTACTACAATGTATAAAAAGACCTAACAGAAGCAGAAGATATCAAGAAGAAATGGCAAGAATACACAGAAGAACTGTACAAAAAAGATCTTCATGACCCAGATAATCACGATGGTGTGATCACTCCCCTAGAGCCAGACATCCTGGAATGTGAAGTCAAGTGGGCCTTAGAAGGCATCACTACGAACAAAGCTAGTGGAGGTGATGGAATTCCAATTGAGCTATTTCAAATCCTGAAAGATGATGCTGTGAAAGTGCTGCACTCAATATGCCAGCAAATTTGGAAAACACAGCAGTGGCCACAGGACTGGAAAAGGTCAGTTTTCATTCCAATCCCAAAGAAAGGCAATCCCAAAGAATGCTCAAGCTACTGCACAACTGCACTCATCTCACACACTAGTAAAGTAATTCTCAAAATTCTCCAAGCCAGGCTTCAGCAATACTTGAACCGTGAACTTCCAGATGCTCAAGCTGGTTTTAGAAAAGACAGAGGAACCAGAGATCAAATTGCCAACATACGCTGGATCATTGAAAAAGCAAGAGAATTCCAGAAAAACATCTATTTCTGCTTTATTGACTACATCAAAGCCTTCGACTGTGTGGATCACAATAAACTGTGGAAAATTCTGAAAGAGATGGGAATACCAGACCACCTGACCTGCCTCTTGAGAAACCTGTATGCAGGTCAGGAAGCAAAAGTTAGAACTGGACATGGAACAGCAGACTGGTTCCAAATCAGGAAAGGAGTACCTCAAGGCTGTATATTGTCACCCTGCTTATTTAACTTATATGCAGAGTACATCATGAGAAATGCTGGGCTGGAAGAAGCACAAGCTGGAATCAAGGTTGCTGGGAGAAATATCAATAACCTCAGATATACAGATGACACCACCCTTATGGCAGAGAGTGAAGAGGAACTAAAAAGCCTCTTGATGAAAAAGTTGGCTTAAAGCTTAACATTCAGAAAACTAAGATCATGGCATCTGGTCCCATCACCTCATGGGAAATAGATGGGGAGACAGTAGAAACAGTGTCAGACTTTATTTTTTTGGGCTCCAAAATCATTGCCGATGGTGACTGCAGCCATGAAATTAAAAGACACTTACTTCTTGGAAGGAAAGTTATGACCAACTAGATAGCATATTAAAAAGCAGAGACATTACTTTGCCAACAAAGGTCCATCTGGTCAAGGCTATAGTTTTTCCAGTGGTCATGTATGAATGTGATAGTTGGACTGTGAAGAAAGCTGAGCGTCAAAAAATTGATGCTTTCGAACTATGGTGTTGGAGAAGACTCTTGAGAGTCCCTTGGACTGCAAGGAGATCCAACCATTCCATCCTAAAGGAGATCAGTCCTGGGTGTTCACTGGAAGGACTGATGCTGAAGCTTTAGTACTTTGGCCACCTCATGTGAAGAGTTGACTCATTGGAAAAAGCCCTGATGCTGGGAGGGATTGGGGGCAGGAGGAGAAGGGGACGACAGAGCATAAGATGGTTGGATGGCATCACCAACTCGATGGACATGGGTTTGAGTAAGTCCGGGAGTTGGTGATGGACAGGGAGGCCTGGCGTGCTGCGATTCATGGGGTCGCAAAGAGTCAGACATGACTGAGCCACTGAACTGAACTGATAAAAAGAATTATTTTGCAAAAATACTAAAGTTGTATTTGAACTATTCTATGTGAAGTTTGCATGAGCAAGGAAAGATTCACTTTTATCAATGAATAAAAGATTTCACCAAAAACAAACCCCAAAACATTGTGATTGTAAGGTGAAACGTTTTAAGAATTCCCAAGCCTTCCCACTTTCCTCCTTCAAGGTGGTACACAGATGAACCAAGACACACTGTCCAGGGTATAGTACTGGGTACAGTATAGTACAGGGTAAAGCCTATATATCTCCTTGAGGTTTGGAACACTCTTCTTCAATTTAGAACTTTGATATTGAATGGACACCACAGAGAGTTGTAAGACTACCCAAATATTTCACTACAACCGAGGGAACTGTGCCTTGTATGGTGAACCCTCTCTGTTTGACATCTGAATGTCTTAGGATTAGCGGTAAACTAGAGCAGACGTGTCAATGAATTGAAATTAGTGAAAAAATGTAATAATTATACACTGCGGTGATTGATGGATTTAGAAGTCCTAAGTGACCCTACTCTGAATCCTGGCTTTTCCACGTATTCAGAGTATGACCTACATACACTAGGTAATTTTAACCATCTGGTCCTTAAACTCCACACCTATAAAACAGGAGAGTAACAGTAAGGCTTAAATAATACATGCAAAGCACTCAAGTACAATACCGGGCACAAAGGAAGTGTTGAATAAATGCTGGCTGTTTGTACTATTATTTCTGTAAATTGAGTGGAGATCTAAAGTACTTCCAAAAATCCATCTCACAGAGCATCTCACAGGGGTTTTGTCAGAGGCAACCCAAGATTTAATACCTTTTAATTTCTGCAGTGGGTTGTATCATCCTGAAGCCCTTGAACTGTGCCTAGTCAGAACTGAGATGTACTGTTAGCATAAGATGTCCATCAGGTTTCTTCAAATGTGAAGAAAACGAATGCACAAAATCTCGATTTTTAAACATTTGATTACGTGCTGATATGATATTTTAGATATACTGGGTTAAATAAAACTCTAGCATTAATTTCACATATTTCTCTTCATTTTTTTTTTTAAAGTGGCTCCCATTACACATGCAAAACCTTGCTGCCTGTAACCTGGACTGGCAGCACCTGAGAGCTTGTCAGAAACGGAGATTCTCAGGACCCGCCCACACCCTCAGCATCGCCGTCTGCACTTCAAAACGGTTCTAGGTGTTTCTCACGCGTTGCTCCAGAGTATTCCTCCCTTTAGCTTAATCTGGAGGGCAAATCTGGCCCTAGAGTTACATAAACCCGAATGCCCCTGCTTTAAGTAACTGTCCCCGGCGGGGCGGCGGGGGTGGGAGTGACGGAGGAGAAAGCAGTAGTATAGAAGCAGTAAGGCAGAAAGAAAAAGAAACTCAAAGTATAGAAACAAAAAGACGCGGGAGTGGGTAAAATCCAACCTGGGAGTCTCGGTGGAAGGGAGCTTCCAGACTTTTGCTTCCATGAAAGTGGAGGAAGATGCAAGCTGAAATAACATCCACCATCAAGACCAGTAAAGACCAGGAAATCGTCAGGCAAATCAAGTCTCTCCCGCCCCTCAGCGGCCTCAGCTAAGACAGCTAGGCCTGAGCCCGAGAAGTGTTAGTAAGGTTGGGGTGCTACGGAAACCACCCTGCGCCCCAGGGCTGGACGGTCCCGCTGGTCGTCTCCCAAGCTTCCGCCCAAAGGCCGGTTTCCCAAGACACGTAGCGCGTCTCTTTACGCTCACCTGCCTCGGAGCGGCTCCAACGGCCAGCAGTTTCACCTCCGCCACCTTCGAGCCCCTCAGTAGAGGACCCGCCCCCTAAGCGCCAGGGCCTGTTCCCATTGGTCAGGTCGCTCGTCAGTCTCGCACTCTAGAGACCGCCGTAGCAACCGAACGCGGAACTACATCTCCCGGCATGCTCCAAGGCGACGCGCCTGGGGCTTACAATCAATGCGCGGAGACGGCCATAGCAACCGAACGCGGAACTACATCTCCCGGCAGGCTCCACGGCGACGCGCCTGGGGCTACCAATCAATGCGCTAAGTCCTAGAGGCCGACGGGTTCAGCTTTATGTAAATTTGTTCAAGACCACACCCTTCCTCATTCCAACCGTATTCCCATCACCTTCCTGGGACTGTGCCCCGCCCTCCTTGTGCCTCTACATTGTTCTCTCTTGTGACACCTGCCGTTAGTTAGTTGAAGACGTCCTAACTTGTACCTCGCCTCGCACAGCAACGGCCAAATGGCACCGAGACCGTGGAACAAAACGTTCCGAAGCCCCACACAGACGCTGCTATGCCCTTCGGGAAACCCTACGCCAGAGGCCTGCTTCGGGAAAGGGGGCGGGGCGGCGGGGAGGGTAGGGCGGCCAGGTCCCGCCCTCTCTGAGCTTGCTGATTTGTCGATGCGGGTGTCACTCCGTCCTCCTCCAGATTTTTTTTTCAGTTGCGTTACCCCCGCGGTGGGCGGGGCTAGAGGGAGAGGGGCGGGAGGAGGTGTGAACCCTTTCTTTCGATTGGTTGCTTTTTCATTGTCCCCACCCACGCCCCCGTGGGCGGAGACGAAGGGGCAGAGAGGGCGCGGGGGAGGCAGGTCCCCGGGGAGATGAGGAGATAGGCGGGAGCGAGGGACTGAGGGAGGGGAGCGAAGGGAGGCAGAGAGCTGAGGTGGAGACGGGAGGGCGCGCAGCTTGGTTGCTCGGTAGTACGGCGGCTCGCGAGGGAGAATCCCGGGCGGACTCCGGGACGCCCCGAGAGGCGGGCGGGGATGGTGTGCGGGGCTGCGGCTCCTGCGTCCCCTTCCCGCGGCGACTGAGTTGCACTGATTTTTTTTTTTGTCCCCCTGAGGCGGCAGCGTGGACCCGCCTGGAGATGAGGTGAGGAGAGAGCTGGACCGCGTCGGCCTGCCTTGCACCGGGCAGGCGGCGGGGGCGAGGGTGGGCGCGATGGCCGCCCGGGACGCCCGTCCATCCCCTTCCGACCCCGGGGCCAGTGTGCGCGTCCCTCCCGGCACCCTTCACCCCGAGCCGCGCGCCCTGGAGGCGCCCGTGTGTCTCGTCCTTCCCATCCTCCCGGGCCGCCGGGGGTGGCTGGGTGAGTGGTGGGTGGTGGCGGCCGGCTGGCACGCGCCGGGAGGCCGGGGCTCCGCGGCGGACCGAGGCTGGGGGGTGGGCGGCGGCCGCGGGACGGGCTTCGGCGGGGGGTTGAATGGGCATTGGTTGCCGTGGCCGGCCGAGCCGGGGGGAGGTCCCGTCCTTTCTCTAGGGGCCCGCGGGGCGGTGGGGTCCCTCGCAGGGCTGACCTCGCTGCCCGCGGTCGCCCGAGTGGGGCGGTCGGGCCGAGCCTCGCCTCCCCGCCAGCCTGCCGGGGATCCGGAATGCCCGGCCTCTCCTCCCCGGCTCATCCCTTCTTCTCTCTCCTCCGCCCGCAAAAAAAAAAAAAAACAAAAAAACAAAAGACCCACAACCCTGTCAGTGAAGGGCAGTCAATGCCGTTTTGGCCCCGCGTCCTCCTGCTGGAACTGACTTGACTCCGGTGGTATTTCACAGAAAGCGGCTCTTCCTTTCAAGGGGGGAGCGCGTTCCCGGCGTCGGCCGCTTCCCTTTCCCCTTCTTTACGCACTGACACGGTTTCACGGTGTGGACCGGAGGCACAGTTGCCAGGCTCTGTCTGGCTTGACCGAGGAAAATGCAGCCAGAATCCCCAGGAAGAGGAAACCGACGAGGAATGGGGTTGCGCCTTTCCCTCTTACTTCTTGTTTGCCTTTTGGATTAGGAAGCACTTTCGTAGATTACATTTCCTGTGGGCATCTTTTGTTGTGATTCAGACTAAAGGTTTTGCTTTTGAAGAAAACAATTAGGGGCTTCTGCGTTGAGTTAGAGGCTCTGGAGATTTTTTTGCTAGCCTCTTAATATGAAAGTTTCCTTTAGAACTTTGCCATTCTCAGTGCTCTTCTGGAGGCAGCACCAGCCTGGAAATTTAAATAGATGCGACTCCTAATAGCTGCGTTTCTTTGTGCTTTATCTGCTGGCATCCTGCTCTTAATGTATACGTGGTCGGGACGTCCAAATAAAAGCAAGTGCAATAAAAAGTATAGATAATAAAAAACAAGTACCGTGCCAAAAATACATCTGGAAAATCTCAATTCTGTCATCGGAGAGGCAGTTTTTACTAATCCCTTTGAATGGATGAAGACCAGGCTCAGTGTTTATGTAGTGGACAGGATCTGAGGGTAGGAACTGGGACCGTGGAGCCAGCAGGCCGGCTGGTTTATGTAGTGCTACGCTTACCATCTGAAATAGGAGTATATTTGTTGGGGTACCTTTATTTTTATATGACTTAAGGTGAAGAAGCTTAGTACCCCCCCAAAGTTATGATTTCTACTTATTATGGAGAACAAAATGCTGTGTTTTGTTTTAAATTTTTAATAGTTCACCTGAAACATTTATGTTATTTTTATGTTTGCTTATAACAAAAGAAGAAAAACATTTTTCAATATTGAGTTCTTTCTGTAGGACAGTTGTAAAGAAGCCAAAAACTTTAGGTAATCCAAATTCAGAAATGAAGGACACTAATTTAGTGATGGTCCAAAAGCTATTTAAGACTTCTATAAGTAGCTCCAGTAGGGTGAATTTCTGATGGAATTGTTTTTGAAGGTTATTTCTTTATTTAAGAATGTATCTATTGAAATTTCTGAGGCACATGGTACCTTCACAAAAGTCTATTATTATTCTGCCTGAGTAAGAGAGGAAATGAACACATTTTTGATGTACTTTGGAACCCTGTGGATTGTTCAGATACTAAGCATTGTGAAATAGGGCATAAAATGAGCGGTAGCAAGTTAGTTCCGTGAAATGTTTGTCTCTCTTAGCTTTTTTTTTTTTGCAATTGACTAGCAGTTTCCTTTTTCTTAATGCTTATCTCTCTTATCAGAAATAAAGCTCTGCTTAAGTTCATGTTTTCTCAAAATAACTAGATTGAGGCAAACTCAAATCTCCATAAAGGGGGTTAAGGAGGAGGTGCTGTTAAATTCATCTACTCTTACTCAGCTTTTTAATGTGAACTTGTGAATTACAGGTAATTAATTACAGGTCAGTCGGGTTTATATTCCTCAGTTCACATCCCACTGCCATAGGGCTCTTCTCTTGTGAGTGATCTTTCTCTTCTGAATGGTTCCACTTACTGGCAGGTTTCTCCATGTCTAGACCTCAGATCACTTACATCAACATAACGTGAAGTTCTTGGTAAAAATGCAGACTCCTGGGATCTGATTTCCAACTTCTCCAGGAAGTTTTCTTACACAGTAGCATTGGAGAACCGCTGGCATTGTGGTTCCTTATCACTGAGTGTGTCCCCAGACCGTGTCCTGAAGAGGATGGCATGTTTTTCAAATGACAGAATAACTTTCATACCTTGGACGTCTAATAAAAAACCATGACCTTCAGATATGTAAGGCACCTGTAATAATATATCTCAGAAGGGCAGAGATCACTGTACCTCCTAGAGTAGTGCCTGGAGGAACTCTATGAAATATTTGAGTGAATTACGTCACAGTGAGCCCACACCTTTAAACTTTTACTTGTAAAGTTAATCTTATCATTTCATAGTCACTTTATAAACTGGGAGCCATAAGTACCACACCCCAGTCATTTCTGTAAGTTTGGTTGTCTCTGAAAGGAGAGAACCTTTCCCAAGCATAACTCAAGAGGATAAGCTGAAAAGAAGGCTCCTAGCAAAATGTTTGCTTAAACTCAAAATGTAAATTTAAGTCACAGCATAATGGTAAATTATTTGCTATCAGTACATCAGAATGCCATTTTATAACCTATGATAAGACCAATATAATGCAATAAAAATTGGATTTTCCCAAAAGAAAGAAAATTGGTAATTTTCCAATTTTATTTTTCATACTCCTAATATATGACCTTCACTCCTTTCTGTCAGAGCCCAGTGTAGGCCCCATAAATAACAGCTTCTGCTGTGTAGTTGAGGGTATGGATAGTTAAGAGTGCAACCTCTAGAGAATATTGGGTTTGACCATACATAGTCTGTGACTTGGGGCTTCCCTAGTATCTCAGCTGGTAAAGAATCTGCCTGCAATGCAGGAGACCCCAGTTGGGTTCCTGGGTGGGGAAGACCCCCTGGAGAAGGGATCAGCTCCCCACTCCAATGTTCTTGGGCTTCCCTGGTGGCTCAGAGGGTAAAGGATCTGCCTGCAGTGTGGGAGACCTGGGTTTGATCCCTGGGTCAAGAAGGTCCCCTGGAGGAGGGCATGGCAACCCACTCCAGTATTCTTGCCTGGAAAATCCCCATGAACGGAGGAGCCTGGAGGGCGACAGTCCATGGGGTCGTGAAGAGTCAGACAGGACAGAGCGACTAAGCACCACACGGCACGGTCTGTGACTTTGATCTGGTCGCCTAACCTCTCAGTGCCTCAGTTCTCTCAGCTGAAAATGGGAATTGTTGTAGTAAAATGTAATACTTCGAGGACTTCTGTGGTGGGCCAGTGGTTAAGAATCCACCTGTAAATGCAGTGGACATGGGTTCAATCCCTGGTCCAGGAAGATTCCACATGCCACATCACGGCACAGCTAAGCCCAGTGTGACGCAGCGACTGAGCCCACATGCCCTGGAGCCTGTGCTCCGCAAGAAGAGAAGCCTGGCAGAGAGAAGCCCGCGCACCACAACTATAGTTGTACAGTGCTGGGCTGTGCTGTGTTCTCACCCTCACCCTCACCCTTCACCATTGGAGCCACCAGGGGCGCCCTGGTTGCACCCACTGATGCAACTAAAGAGAGCAGCACAGAAGACCCAGCACGGCCAAAATTTTAAAAATCAAATTCAAAAAAGGAAATTATTTTAAAAATTTAATACTTCTAAATTCTCACTTAAGTTCTTGAGACACATTCGTTTAATATATGTTAGTTATGATGATAAAATATTGAGATATATAAAAATGTATGAAACTCTAGCTAGTCTGTTCAGTTTTTGTACTAATGTACTTTATGGTAGTAAGTAGAAATCCATTGCTTAAAAAGAAGTCTCTTGCTAACTTTCTGGCACTGAATATGTATAATTTTAAAATTACAGTAATAATTAAACATTAAAAGTAACTAATAAAGCATCAGGTTCTAGGCAGATTTTTTTCTAAATAAAGATAAGCCTGTCATGCCTCTCAGCTTAATTGTACTATTTCAGAAAGAATCTGTTAATCAGTTTAGATGATCCCTTGTATTTTAAAGAATTGCATGTTTGTGGTAGAACAATTGAAATACAGGAAAGTAAAGAGTAGAAAACCATAAAATACTTAGAGGTCCACTACCTGAATACATTTCTCCAAACAGGTTTTTCTCTGTGCTATTTGCCAGCATATGTAACTTTGGTTAGCAAATATGGGATCTTGGTATACATATGGTTGTTTTCTAACCTGTGCTTCTTAACATCTCATTATGAATCGTTTCTTCTCTATGTAGTTAGTTGTAATGTTGACTGAATAATATTCCATTTTGTGAATCTATGATTTATTTATTTATTTATTTGGCTGCATTGCGTCTTCGTTGTGGAATACAGCCTCCGTTGCCCAAGGCATGTGGGATCTTGGTTCCCTGACCAGGGATTGAACCCGAATCCTCTGAATTGGAAGGTGGATTTTTTTTACCTCTGGACCACCAGGGAAAGTTGCCAACCAATTTGTTTTTATTAAACATTATTTTTCTCTCACTGCTATTATCATTATCTCTGCAATAACTGTCCTCCATGCATCTCTATATATACCTTTGAGATTTTTTTTTTTTCCCTTTAGGATAAATTTCTAGAGGTGTGATTGTAAGATCAAAGTACATATTATGGTTTAAGGGTTTTTGATACATCCTTTCAGTTAGTCATTTAGAAAGGCTGTAGCAATTTACACTCAACATGTTGTATAAGAGTTCTATTTCCCTCCCCCTTCCTTTTTTTGAGGAATGACTTATTAAGTGACCAACCTAGGGAATTGTTTTATCTTTAGAAAGAAGAGTGGGTTGTTATTGTGAATATGTTAGTGATGTGATCTGGAAGCTGGAAATTCATACACCTGGAAGAATAATAGCTAAAACTTATCAAGTCCATTTATAGCATTTTATAAGTATAAACTCGCTTAATTTTTACAAATTCTCGGTTTTTTAGATGAATGTGACTTGAGAACCAAAATACCCTCTGTTAAATCACAGGAGCCAGCAAGTGACTCTGCAGAATGGTTACTCTAGAGCCCAAACTCCACAGCGCTGGACTGCCTCTTGCCTGCAAATGTTGTACGGGTATTGGGGTACTTTTTGCATTCCTGATTTCTGTTTGAGACTAACCTAGCAGTTTCCTGGCATGTATTCATTTATAAAGTAGGTGGCACACAGATTCAAAGCCCTCTCAGTGAGGAGTTAGTCTCATAACTTAGCTCACAAATAAGCCTCCTGTCCTGTCTAGCATTCACCTCTGAAAGCACTATGCTACCCTGTACTCTGTAGTAGTTTTCCTAAAACACCCCCATATG